CTCTCTTTCTTTGCACCGACCATGTCGATACACCATGCAAGGAATACATCAAATCCCTGACCTGGATCCACTTCGTAGTAACACCAATTTCGTTTGATAAAGCTTTTAGCTCAGCAAAAATCTCCTCGATCGGATTCAAGTCCGGTGAGTAAGGAGGCAGATATACTAATTTCACCCCCGCGTCCGCGCACATCTGCGGAATCCGTTCTGGATGATGAAATGAGGCATTATCTATGACCACAATAGATTTGGGTTCCGGCCATCGTCCACAGTGCTGAAGAAGCTGAGATAAAAAGTCTTCGAATACAGTGCCATCGGTTGCACCGCGGAATACACACGAGAGGATGATCCCATCCTAGGCATACGCAGGTAGTATCTGATATCGCTAGTCGCGATAGAACTGCGATACCTACGGAGGGGCCACGCCAAATAGTGACCAGCCTGTGCGCCTGAACCCGGCCCTCTTGTCACATCCCGATTCATCCACATAAACTAGATACTGAAAATCCGACAAATTATGGAGATAAAGTTCTCGCAAATCGGCATTACGCTCCTTTGCATGCTGTCGGGATATCTTTTTAGACCAGCCTCTGGCGACAAGGGCTCTTCTGATGCTAGAGGTTGTGATCATCGTGCGAAACTCATCCCAGAGGAAGACAGCCATCTCATCAAGGTACAGGCCCGGTTTTTCCGACAGGTGGTCGCAGGGCGCGTCGATCATTAGAGGTGTTACGGTTGGTTTCCGACCTATGCGAGTTAGGGGCGCGTGGACGCTGCCAAACTGCCGCAAGTTTCTGCGAATATTTATGATCGTGACCTTGCTGCGTTCGGCCTCTTCGGCCATTTGAGTTGTGGTTAGTGACTGGCTCTCTATCATATCACGGATAAGATGCAGCTTTGAGGGGACAAGTCTCGGGGCCATATTGCAAGCCTAGTGTAAGGTGTCGGTCAAAAGTCATTTACAGGAGAAGCCTGTTGCTTAGGGAAGAAGGGTGGAGTGGTATAGCAGTTTCCTGTAATTTACAAAAAGACAAGGTCCCACCCGCGTCATGTAAAATACAGTTTCTATGCTAGGAACAAGGGGATCGGCGTTAGTTCTCTAGCTAGAACACTGCAGCCTTCTATTGGATGTCAAAGGAGTGTAGGTGAAGGCTGCTGTTATGAGAGATCAAAACGGAAGAGAAGACGATGGGGATCTTGTCAGATTGTTGGGATTCCCCCTTGTTTGTCTCTTGGCATTTGAAAGATTCGATCAAATTCTAAGGCAAATTACGGTATTATAACAAAGACCCATCTTTTGTTACCAGGGAATACGATACAGCCTGACGGGGTTCCTGCGGGAAAGGCTAAAATTAGACTAGCGTGTTTCAAGCTAGGCGTCGGGAATGAAAGTCTAAGAGTGTAGAGGTAAATCTGATTTCGAATATCACTGTATATATCTTTCTCGCCCCATGCCGTGCACTTGAGCAACTGAGGACCACCTCGGCTCTACCGAAATCTTACAATTCTATCTTGGAGATTCAGGGACTGGAATATGGACCGGAGAAAATGATTCACACAAGAGCAGTGTTATTCAACTAATAAAACCTACAAGAGAATCCGGTTATAGACCCCTAATTTTCCCAAACACCACCCAAATCCATAACGAAACCCAAAAAACTCAGGACATTCGAAAGCGCATAACCAGTTGACCCTTGGAATGATTTCAAACCTCAAAAGACATAATTGGAACAGTCAGTCAAACTCAGGGAGCAAACATGATATGATTAGCCATTACACATCAATCTCCGAAAAACGAAACCAACCAACGCAACGCCAGTCCGCCAAATAAATAAAATGAATAGACGCCGACACAAATTCTAATATACAACGGCGGAATGGGGTATCTATAAGCAGCCCGATGAAGACAAGCCGGCGGGAATACCAAGCCGGTGACACGACAGGGCGTAGCTAGCGCTCGCCGAACTTGCCGAACTCCTGCTGCCACTTGAGGAGATGGCGCGTAAGCACGTCCATCATCTCCACGCTGCTGAGTTCCTTGAAGTCTTTCTCGTGCGGCTCGTCATCTGCGCCGGACTCGCCGTCGCTGGGCAAAGGCATGGACTGCTCGATCTGCTCGACCATGCATTTTAGAAGCAGGCCTTGTGTGCGGTCGCCGTTGCTGTCTGTTGGCGTGGACGAGTTCTCGCCGGCGACGGCCATTTCAACTTGCATGCGCGAGATGAATTCCAGGATGGCGGCTACGCGCCGCTTCATCTCGTTCATTGTTGTTCGCTGTGGGTGCATGTGTCGTGGCTTGCTTGGGCGTCCTGTGTCTCCGCCGTTGATGTGGGCTCCGTTTATCCCGCTGTATCCTACTCGTGGTGAATCGGCGCCAATTTCGTGGGATTGGCCGCGGCGGGGTGATTCGGTGCCGGTGCCGTTTACATCGCTGCCTTTTGTGTATTGGTTGTTTCGGACGCGACCGCCTCGTCGGGCTGGGGGACGGCCGGATTTGCGCGTCGAGGGGCGAGCTGGCGTTGGTTCTAGGGGTGTTGGGGTATCGGGGCTGGCTTGGACCGGTTCGACCTCGATTGGTGCTGTCTTCGTGGGAGATCCGGGTTCTTGCTCGGATTCTGGGGGAGTGTAAGTAAACTGAAGGTGTCGATTATTGTTGGGAGCTTTGGGACTCACCATCTCCTTTGCGCCGGTTTGTCCTTTCTTTGCGGCGAATTGTAGTCTCGGGCACCTCCGGCTCTACTTCTTCGGGTTCCTTGGGGGGTTCCTTTTCACGCTGGCTTCGGGAATTGGCCCTCTGTCGCCGAGTTCCGTTCGTTGATTTCGACTTGGACTCGTCATCGGATGGAGCTCGTGAGGCTGGGTTGTCTTGCTTCGATACGGCCGTTGGCGACGGAGAGGTGGTTCGAGGACGCTTGGAACCTTGTCTGTTTCTGGAAGACAACAATGGTCAGCTAAACATGGCATATGGTATTGGACCCAGGAACACTCACGGTTCACTTTCACTTCGACTCCGCTTGGTGCGTTGTGTAGCCCCATCGTCGTCCGGAGTTCCGTGTTCATGTTTGCTTTCCTCAATGGCGCGCCGGATCAGTTCTTCTTCATCGTAAGCGGCATCCCGGCTGTTCATAGTCGACCGCCGTTTAGCATTCGCTGCGCCTTCACTAAGACGTTGTTTGGGGTCCTTGGAGCGTCGGGAGACTTCCCTCGAAGAAGCGCGAGAGGACGGCGCCGGGGATGTGACTGGCGCGACGGGAAGGTAGGTCGAGGAACGCGAGCTGCGGGGCTGTTAGCAAAGTCGCCCTCCAGAATTTTTGCACGTGAAGATGGAAAGAAAGAAAACAAGGATCATAAATATCCATGATTGCCGCAGCTTTGCTCGTGTCTGCGCTGTCCCCGGAAAGAAGACGAGAGCCGCTCCAGTCGCCACGGGCAGTGTAATCCACTCAGACGACTCGAGCTCAGCTCAGACGCACCACACAGCAGAGTTGCAAGCCAGATGCAAGGATAGCTTGGTAACGAGTGTAAGAGACCCTTCTCAGACTTACCCATTGACTTCGTCCCGGATCGTATGCAAATCCTTCCGGCACTCCTCGCAGAAATATTCGTCGGGACTCGTCTCTTCATCCATGATGCCCACACAACCACCATGCTGCCAGACCTTACAGGAGTCGCACTGGATGAACATACTCCCGACGTCATCAGGCAGTATGTCGGATGAATCTGTGGCTGGGTGGCCCTCCAGCTTGATGGTACCGCGACTGAGAGCTTCGCGGCGGGAAAGAGGCAAGCCTGGGTATTCCTGTTGTCCACAAAGACATCGAGTCACTTCCTCCTCTTCATCATCTTCGGGGTCCTCCTCATCATCCTCACGAGGAGGCTCGTCATCGTCATCGCGGGCGCGCTGGCGCGTGCGCGTGTGTGGGAGGTCGGCTTTAGAGCCGTTTTCGGCATCTTCGATGGACTGGGAGCGATGTCCCGATGAGCCTTGAGGAGAGGGGTTTTTATGGTTTGAGCGAGTGCTTCTTTCGCGGGTGAGGGAGGTAGAGGAACTGGAGGAGTTGGTGTGTTGGAGAAGAACAGGAGAGGGCTGGGTGGTGCGAGCTCGCGAGGAGCGACGAGGCGACATGGTGGACTGGCGGAAAAGAGTAGGTATGCTGAGATGCGCAGAGGTATAGAGATTCCAAGTCGGATTCGAATGAATCACAAAGATTCAACAAGGATCTCGAGCAGGAGTGAAAGTGCTGAACAAGGCACCTCGAGCAGAACCGACTGCGAAGGAGCTCCACGCGATTGAGAGCTCCTCGAAGAAAGAGGCAGACAATTGGAAATCGCAGATGGAACTGTAGCAAGGCGTCAACAGGCTCGAGGAAGAGCCCGATGACTACATAGTCAGGAGTGCAGGAATTGGCGGGGGCAGAGGAGAAGAGAAGTGAGAAAAGCGCCGGAACGGGACTCCAAAAGTCCAATCGCCCGTCCTTCCCCGCTCTGACGCCTCTCGACGCGAGCCTTTTTACGTCGTTCTGTCTTTGTCCTTCTTTTATCCTGTTATTAGACCTGCTTGTATTCATTCTTTCTATCGCTACAACTATTTTCTGCCGTGTTTTATTGTCAGACGTTGCCGGTGGCGTCCCAGAATCTTTTCTCTTTCTTCCCGACCTTCGCCCCTTCACCGGCACGGCAACCGTATTGCCTGCTACCCATCATTCCTGTGAACCCGATATCCTCGAGTCCTCCTCTTATAATGTGTATTTCTCCGAGACGCGAGATCCGGACGTGGGCCGCAAGGGCAACCGGGTGAGCTCATGGTGGGGACGGCTCAAGCTGCACGGCGGGTTGGGGAGGAAATCTGCAAGAAGCTGCTGCGTATTAAACAGTTGATAGTTTTCCGTGTCCGCAGCTCTTTCGAGGGCTATGCGCTTGAGCCCCTACGGTCGAGGGAGCTTCGGCACCACTGCGATCGGTCACTTTGTATCAGCATGTCAAATTCCACGCTCTCGACCATGAACATAGGATACTTGATGACCATGACGAAAGAGCACGATGGTGGCACAGGGGTTCAACTGGAGTTGTTCAAATTTCTGGCACGGAGCAGTCTCACGCAAGGCACTGGGATTGCCTTCGCACCGGCCATGCAGGTACGGCGAGTTCAGGTCCTTTTATTAAATTCGTAATCCAACGTAATCCAACGTAACCCAATTCCATAGCCTGTAGGTATCAAGACCTCAGGTCATGCTGGGCACTTGCCGGATCGACTTCCCCTCCGCTGGCACCCCGCTGTTCGGCAGCGTCCAGGGGACGGGAGCATTGCAGATAGACCGGTCAACACAGGTCAATCCGAACACAGCCAGTGAAGACAAGGACGGCACAGCGACGCCATCCCGGTTCGTATGATCCTGTCAAATAGCAAATATGCGTAATGGCGAAGCCCTGGGAAGCCGGTTGGGTGCCCAGATTACCTAAAGAGGTTAGCGTGGGAGCGTTCCGAATTCCCGTGACTCGCTGGCATTTCGCTTCACATCTTAACCCCTCCGCATCATCTTGTCCCTCTGGCTTGTTCGGGCTTTTGGCTGTTCGAGCTGGGATTTCTTATCTTGATTTGGGTCCAACCTATCCCGCTTACCACCCCGAGTTTCGTTCGTGCTAAATAGTAGCATTTGTTGTGGGTATGTGCACCACCTTCGTTGTGGAACACCGAGGTAGCTGGTCAGGGCCCGAGAAGGCACCAAGACCCTGCTGACCTCAGTGCTATTCTTCGATGCCTGGCAACTCCTCCTTGGCTGTTTTTTCTTGACGTTGGCTAATCATGTTCGGATCCCATTAGTTTCCGAACCCGCATTTCCCCCCGATATATCGAACCAGATCTCCGTGTTGCTGGCTCAATCTCGACGAAATTGGTGGAGGGGGAAATACGGAATAGAACGGAAGTGGGCTGGCTTCAACTCATCCATATAGCTGTATAGCTGTGGTTGAGGGCGAGTGTGAACTTGCATGATGACTGCCACATTGAGTACGTCCATTCGTATACCTTAAGGGGCCCTTCATCCTCGGAAGTTCTACAAGGCTCCAGCCTCACGAGCACAATGGTCTACTACTTGTTCGGTTACTGACGTGGAATGTTCTCGTTCTCAGACGGGACGTTCAACTCGGCCCCTGACACACCTTCTCTCGTCTACCCCGATCGTCTCATTCGACCGCTCCCTAAACGCACCCTGCGCTCTCGACTGTCCACCGACGCCGCCGACGATATCCACTATCCGCCAACGCCGCCAGCGTCGCAGATCTTCTACGGTGTCTCCGGAGACTCGGAGGAGGTGGTGACACACTCCAAAGCCTACGTGCGGCAGACCATCGAGACTGATAGACACGAGCTAACCCCGGAGGCGGACCACGAGTTCGAGACCGCGGTGGAGCTGGATAGTGGGGATGAAGACGGACCGGTAGTCGTACGCCGAAGTGCTGGATTTCGAGGTTCACTCTCGCCGAGCTCACAACCCCAGGGGTTTGCTGGTAAAGACGGTGCAAAGTCGTCGGCTGGTCCGGACGGGTATGACGCTTTTGAAAACACAAATAACAAGAAGAAACGAAAGATCCCTACACCGGGGAATATGAATGGCCATCATTCTGCTCTGTCGCCGGAGTTTGCGAGTATGGGATTGGCCAGCTCGAATCCTCCGGCCAGTGATGGAAGTACTGGCACTTATTATGGAAGTGGGAACCCTGCTTCACCGCTGGGAAATGGTATCTCGGGATCTGGTAGAGGGCGTCTGGGCCGGAGTACACGCAGTAACAGCGGAAGAAATCCGTTGTCTGCGAATGCTCAGAATGCTTGGATGAATACACGAACACCAAGTCGGCGAGATATGTCGTCTCCAGGACCTGGTAAGTTCTGCATTGGGGCATTAGTACATTGGCAGTGCCATTGCCCTAGGCTTTAAGAACATCTGCTTACTTGTTACCAGGTGAATCATCTGATCAAGGTATCATTTCGACTGCAATTGCAAACGCGGCCAATCTTTCATCTCCACCTCGAGGTCGCAGCAACGTGAGCTTGCTTGACCAGGAGAACAATACCACCCCCACCAAGACTCAGTTCACATTTACCTGCGAGTCCGATTCCTCAAAAGGAATGGCAATGCAGCGTAATTATTCTCTTCCTCACCGTTCACCTACTTCACCACTCGCCCCGACTTCTTCCAATCCCCGCGGTTACTCCACAGGAACCCAGACAAGCCCAAACATGTCTCAGATACACGGGCAAACCTCTCCGGGTACACAGCCCCCACCTGCTGGAGACCAGGGCTCGCTTGGTCGCAAGAAGAAGCGATCCCCAAGCAGCATCTATGCGTTGTCAGCGCGTCAACGCAAAATTCAACAGCAATACACAAATATCCACCACCCTCCCGCCCTGGAAGACATCTGGATCTGCGAATTTTGTGAATACGAGAGCATCTTCGGCCACCCGCCAGAGGCTCTCATTCGCCAGTACGAGATCAAAGACCGCAAGGAACGCAAGCGCCTCGCCGAGAAGAAGCGTCTACTGGAAAAGGCCAAGATGAAGGGCCGCAAGACCAAGAAGGCGCCCAAGAACGCGAAGAATGCCTCTCAGGGCTCTTACCAACAAGGTTATGACCGAGCCTCGGTCGATCACTCCTCCACGGCCGGTTCAGGCCTTCATGACGACGAATACAGCCACGAGTATGACGATGATGAGCCGGGATCCATCCCCGCCCCCGACCCTGCATCCCCGTCTGAGCTCAAACCACCACTCCCACCCCCGGCCAATATTGCCAGACCGGTACCCGCTGGAGATGCGACAGAAGCTGGGACGAGTCGGCCGGCCTGACAATTCACCTGATTGCGATCGGCTTTCGAGTCGTGTCTCTGTGGGTTTCGGTTGGGTTCAGACTGGGCGTTACGAGTTTTGCATCTGAAATTCCCCTCTCAAGCATGTTGGATCGGCGGATTCATTCAGCGGGGTTCTATACGAGGGTATCTATGTAATAATAACGACGGAAGGCCATGTAGGGCAATGTGCATATTTGCAATTATCTCTCGAGCCTCGTAGATAGCTCCTGGTTCTCTTGTCGAAGTTCTATTCTTAGCTAAAGCGAGCTCTGGACCTGTAATGCAGTCCAATCAGCTTGCTTATGCCCTGTATCGAGAAAAGTAGAATTAGGATTAAACTCTTGGCCAATTCATTGGCTCTTGGTTGTCCAAGTTAAGACCCCGGTGAAACAACAATTCCCCTCATTACCGCGCGCGAAGTGAAGCGCCAAACCACACCGACACCGGCGCCTCATATCAGCGCAGCTTCCCGCTCTTGCAGATGTTTATTTTGGTCTGATCTTCTGTGGCGCGTTTCATGTTTCTTTGACAGCGGGATAACCTATGGAGGAGCGAAGAGAACGGCGAACCGCCAGCACTCAAAGAATACACGGGAATGTAGTTTCAAGTTGGCTTGGGCTTGGGCGCGATGGAAAATAGAAACAATCGAGCTTGGTATGCAGCCTTATTCGGGAGGTCTTGGTGAGTCGAGTTGTATAAAGCTTCAGAGACCAGGCTTTGCAACCAGAACCAGAAACCAACATCGATCTTTGTCTTCTATCTCATTGTTTCCTTTCTATCTTTCCTTATTCTATCCCAGACTTTCTTTGTGCCTGCGTCATCCTGGTTGATGACCCCATCGGAATAGACTTCCATTGTTTCTATTCACCACTCACTATCCACGATTCACTACTCGTCTTATCTGGCCAGGCTGCCTTCTCGACTATTCTGTTGGATACTTGCATTCCATACCGCTGCCTATACTTGATTTCATATATCTTGACGATCTTCGATTGCTTCGCGCACTTTCTCTTGATCGAGCTCTCTGATCATACGTCTCTTTCTACATCTTCATATTCATTTGCATCTACATCCACATCTACATTCATTCAACCATCGAGCCAACTACCACCATGTCCTTCCTCGCAGTCAGCCTCCTCAAATTCGGCTTCTCCCAGGCTAAAAAGCAACGCGCCAAAAAACAAGGCCAGCAATTCCAAGACCCCTCAGCCTACCCCCAATACCCCCAACCCTACCCAATGACCGAATACCCTCCCGGCGTCGCCCCAGGCTCAGACGTCGCCTACCCACCCTCCTCCGAGCCCACCAGCAAACGGTCCAAAGCAATGGGCATGCTCATATCCGCCCTTCGCTTCTTCCAATTCGTCTTCGGTCTCGCAGTGATAGGCCTCTACGGCCAAGACGTGCATCATGACCACAAAGCCAAGGATACCTGGAACGCCAAATGGGTCTTTGCGCTCATCGTCGGCTTTCTGGCCACCAGCACTGCGGTCATTCATCTTATTGTTCCGTTCCTTACGCGGAAAGTCAATTATAGACCTGGCGCAAAATTACAGTTGCCGCGCTTTGCCTGGGAGTTCGTGCTTTGTGTGCTTTGGTTGACGCTTTTTGGTATCTTTGGGAAGTTGTATATCGGGGTTTATCCTTCGGACTCGAATTCGGATTCGAGTAAGAGGGATGCGACTTCGACTACAAGCGAGTTGGGTGATGCGAGCAAGATTAATCGCATGCGGCATGCGGTTTGGGTTGATCTGGTTAATTTGGTGTTCTGGGCTGTTACTGCTTCTTGGGCTTTGTTGCAGTGGTTGAAGGCGAGACGGGAAGATGGGCCGGTTGTTTTTGATGCTGAGAAGGAGGCTGGGAGTATTTAAGGGGCTTTATTCAGCGGGTTGATCCTGCTCATGGGCTGCTTTAGACGAGGTTGAAGTGGAAAAGAGGATATGGGTGCATGTTTATCTCTTTCTTTTTATTTGGTGTTTGCAGCCGGTGTTTGTGCAGGTTCGGGTTGGCGTTTTCTCTGTATCGAATACTTTCAGATCACAGAACCATAGTTGCATGTCTGAATATTATGGCGTTTGGGACAATTCCACGTCTGTGCGACAACAGAAACTTTTCGTATTGGAGAAATGACTCATGGCTCTGTACTAGGCAACAGAGTCTAGATTAGGATGAAACCATTGGAAGCTAACGTATGGCATATATCGGTTTCTTGCAGCTCGAGTCGATTGAGGCTCTAAGCGTAAGCGCCAGGGCATAAAGGGAAGAAGCCGCCGCCCGTATTGCTACACCCCTCACAAAATCATTACAACCCCCAACAAGCCCGAACTTGGCAGATGACTATTCCAGCGCGGAAAAATGGAAAAACTCTCCATCCTCTGCTTCGGCGATTCCCTAACATCGGGTTATTATCGCTACGGACTCGAGTACCACTCATACGCGATCAAACTCACGGATATCCTCGAAGCCGAATTCCCCAACGCCAAAATCCACCTCGAGGTGGACGGGCTACCAGGCGATATGGTGATAGACCCAATGGGTGATTTCTTGCCTCGGATACGAGATAAATGTGCGAAAACCAAGTACGACTGGGTAATTTTTCTCGGGGGAACCAAGTATGCTCAAGTTTCGTGAATCACTCGCGCGTTTTTGCTAAATGCTTTCTTATCTTAGTGATTTGGGTAACGGGAACTCTGCCAACATGATTTACTCCGCCTTAGAAGACTGCTGGGATGTGGCGCTCTCAAGTGGCGCGAAGATTCTCGCCATGACGGTACCTGAATGTGCGGTCAAATCTGACAGCCTGGATATGAACCGTGATACATTGAATTCTCGTATCCTGGAACGCGAGTCTGAGCAATTGTGAGCCTATCGGATATGGAAGTTTTAAGAAAAACTCATTGACTTGCAATAGCCGTGTCGTTGATTTGCATAGCAAGATTCCCTATCATTCTGCCACGGAGAACTTCCAGATGGAGATGTTCGATGATGGATTGCATCTTACCGCCAAGGGATATGACCTCATGGGAATTGTTGTGGGAGAGCGTCTGGTGACCTTGATTAAAGAGGAACAGGGTCTTTAGGGCCAGGCTTAGGTCAAGATGTAGCCCTGAGTTCTATGAACGAGATGCTTAGCAACATAACCTCGAAACCTTCAACGTTACTGAATACCGAAGTAGCTCTTTCTCGGTACCAGGGGTGTCTATTAATGTCCAAAATATATGACGTTCTTAAAATCCTTGCAAAGTCAAATCTTGGAAGGAACCACATGACATACATTATCTATGTATAGTAATCCACAATCATCTATAAATGCGCATAGATATGCCTGGCTCTGGTGGTAAGAAGGGTAGTGCTTAAGACGCGAATTCATACCTTTGTTTCATGCTCTTTCTCAATCTTCAAAGTCAAAGGTACGAACAGCAAGCACATCTGCTAATTTCAAGCTGAAGGCAACAAAGGCATCAGGACTTGAAAGATTATAAGCAACGACTTATTCAAGTTGCTCTACTGGACTCGGAGCTGACTATTAAAACTCCATCCTTCTCGAACATGGACTTTTTATCAACAAACCTCAAGTATCTTCGAACCATATACTTGACCGACTACATCTAAAGCCGTACACTTGAGGCAAGGAATCTATTCCAGTTTCTCATGTCAAGCACGGCTACTTGACGTGGAAGATCAGGATAGTTCACTGAGATTGATAGTCTACGGAATGCTTTTCCTCTACATAGAAGAGATTTCACGAATGATCTCTACAGAGACTACTAAGAACTTAGAAGGGGCTAATAAAACGCCAGAAGGGAATTTACTGAAGTAGGTAACCTGGCTTTTCTAATCGCCCCTGGGAATCTATGGATGGCATCAATTTCTACTGCTTCGTCTCAAAGATCCAGAAGAGAAACCCCGCATGTGAGCCGCCCCAAAGGCCATAATCCTGACAGCATCCATGTCTTTCTGCTTTTCTGCAGACATCAGAAAGCATTTAAAGTACAGTCAAATGCAACTACGAGACATAACCACGAATTCTAATTAAAGTAATACTGTGTATCGATACTGATACTGGAATATTGATGTTCCGTAGCTACCCCTAAGATAGACAAACATGACCGTGAATACTTAGTAATGTAACTTACAAGAAACGGCCCCCTCCTCGCCTTATCCGAGCGCATTCTGCTCACCTGAAATGCATATTTAGACAAAATGAGAGAGCATGGAGGATCTGCTCCTATGGAGTCAACACAGTTTCCTAGAGGTGGCGGTCGAGACACCCGCGAAGTCGAGCAAATGGTCATGGATGAGGAGCAGGCCGATATGAGACAGTTAGAATCCAAAAGAACAAAGCTCTTTGTTCTCATAGGTTCTGGGATACTCCAGTTACCAATATGGGGTAAATTTGATCCAATCTCATGTCTGGAACGTCACGCTAATCAAGTACGGACGTGTAGGCTTTGCTATGAGCTACGGCGTATTCCAGGAATATTACTTCGACAACTGGATATTTGAAGGAAATCGCAACATTACTGGTGTAATCGGCACGACCGCTAATGGTGTCATGTATCTATCCATGCCCTTCCTCTTCGCACTATTCACCAGACGGTGGGCTCATCGGCGCCAACTTGCCGCTCTTTGTGGAACCGTCATCGCATGCGTCAGTTTCTTCCTGTCCTCTTACAGCACCACTGTCTGGCACTTGCTTGCGACCCAAGGCGTCACATCTGCACTGGGGTGTGCCCTCATATATAGCCCAATTACGCTGTCTCTTGGCGAGTGGTACAGTACCAGCAACCGTACCTTGGCGTACGGAATTGTTTTATCTTGCAAAAATATCGTTGGAACCAGCTGCCCATTCTTACTTCGGGCTTTAATTGATACGTACGGCTACCAGACCACCCTGAAAGCCTGGACCGCGATTGTTGGTGGATTGAGTATCTTTGCTATCTTCTTGATACCAACGCATCCATCGAAAGTCTCGATGAGTAGAACTCGAGCACGCAGAATTCCGTGGTATTTCCTCAGACACCGAACTATCTATTTCTACAGCATCGCCATCATCTTCCAAAGCTCTGGCTATGGTATTCCGCAAACATATTTGAGCACCTACGCCCGCGAAATCGCTTCATTGTCGCAAACTTCAAGTACCTTGATGCTGGTTCTCTTCAATGCACCAGGGATTATTGCTTCTTCCTTCTTTGGATGGCTGAGCGACAATAAGCGAATCACCCTTTCAGCACAGACTGTTTCCGCGATTCCACCTGTTTGCTGCGCCCTGGCCACTTTCATCTTCTGGGGCTTGACTACGCAAGGCGCCATTGGCCTACTCCTAGTCTTTTCTATGACGTTCGGGTTCTTCTCCAGTGGGTATAGCGCTACATGGGGAGGGATGCTCAAACAAATGGAAAGCGAGTCTGCGGAGAGAAACGAAGCCGTTGATCCGGGAATGCTCTACGGTCTGCTGAATGGTGTCAGAGGGATCGGATATGCAAGTGGGGGGATTGCTGGCGTGGGACTATTAAATACTGGAACTATACTTGCCAACCAGCGCTTTGCTTTTGGAACCTCATACGGACCACTTATTCTCTTTACGGGGCTTTCTTCGCTCCTTGGAGGGTGGGTAGTTCTATGGAGGTGGAATCCGAAAAGACTCTTGCCAGTGGTATTGAGAGGTAGTTAATTGGTGGACCCATTTCTGTCAAAATAAGAACCAGAAGATTGTCGGGTAGTCCAACGTTGAAGTCGTCTAGATCTGATGCCAGAGCGGTGGCCATCTCGGGTTGCTTGTTCTGATGAAAAATCGGGTTAATTGTTCAGATTTATGAGATCATTCCATTTCCATTGGATATATGACTATCTCAGATTCTAGCCTCTATTTATATATGGCGAGTCTGTTGATGCTTTAAGGGTGGCCACTGAGAGAATAATTTATGACCAGTGATAAGTAGACAACGGTATAGTCTTAGTCTTGGTTGGCACTTTACTCATCGTGACTATAAATTTACCGTCACGGTTAGTTAAGTGATAATTAAGACTAAGATTAAGGGTCACGCCTGACGAAGACGTTTTACATTTAACCAACAAACCTCCACTTGAGTTACTATAATGGGCTTGGCGCAATAAGCTTGGTCGTGACGCTACTGTAGCTTGGCCCCCTACATCTTACGAGAAATGGGGGCCAAGCTCAGCCGCGCTTGACTTAGGTTGCCACGTCTTTTCCCGTCCGTAAGGCCTTTTTAATGTATAATTTGGGCAAAGATCGGCCAATTTCTGTGTAGTGCTGTTTTCTTTTAGTATTAAGCTCAGATTTGATCTTCCGCTGATTTCTCTTCATCGAGTCACCGCGCGTATCCGTGATACTACAGGTATTCGAGGGATGCGGACCTCTGTGGGTGGGACGTTCGAGCTTGAGTTGCCGGGGGGTTCATCGGCCAACAAGACCTGGAAAACAAAGCATCTTTTCAACCCACAAGTGATGGCAAGTCATATCAAAATGCGCCGTGTCAAGTGACTTTCAAAGTCCCACGTTCTTGCATTCCAACGTTCAAAACGTACAATTTGTATGTGAAATGGAACATCGCCGTGGAAATAGTGCTTAGGGGCTTGGACCAAGAAAAGACAATAGAGCTTGAAAGTGAAATTGATCTCGTCCCACGGCTCAGAGGTATAACGACGGATGAGGAACTGGAGGAGGATGTTGTCGATTCGGAGTTACCGGGTGCTGCTCAGGATGCTACACTATCAGATGACTCTTCAGGCGTATCAGGCGTATTTGAAGCAGTTGAAAACATAGTAGATCTTGTTCAGGCCTTCTCGAGTTAGTTCACAGGTCGAGAATAGCTTGGGACCGGGGCACCAACGAGCTGGATGAAATTGAAGACTTCAACTCGACTTTTCACCATCGCCTTTTGATTGCGCTAGCCGCAAGAGCGCAAGGATTCTGTATAAAGCGGATGAAATTAAATTGATTAATCGTGATTAAATGTGCCATTCTAGGTGATACCATTAATCGCGCTATCACACATGGCGTTAATCACCGCGATAGGCATGGGGTGGTCGGCTCGCGTGTGAATTACATTAGCTCAAATTCAGGAGCCCTGAGCCCATAAGGACTGGGCATGGCGAATTTCCATTATTTACGCCAACGGGAGCAATCTAGCTAATCTCTACCATGAGCTCCATGGGCATATCTTGCAAGGTTGCCTGTTTTTATCGAAATTGGTACAGGTTGAATATGGCGTGCAAAATGCTTCTTGTGTATTTCCAGTCTCCCAGCAGTCGCATTTCGTATAAAGCGAGGGTCCCAAAAGAGTATAATTGCTATGTTAACGGTGGTAAATATTCCTGAACTCCTTGAACTGGTAACAAATCCGATCAGTCAGCCTTGACTTTCTCGTTGCGAGGCTTGACTTACTATCTATAGCATGAATGTAGATGCTAAGATTGACGGCTGATATATGCAGAACGCTTCTAATCCTCAATCTACGGCCTCTCGGGTTGTGTCGTTTGATAAGCGGGCCGTATATTGGGTTATATACGAAAGCTCGTGACCAAGGACCCCTCTGCAAAATTGCAGACTTTGCATAGCGTGTCTACTGCCCTTCAGGGCGTATGCTGTAGCCTCTTGTGATAGGTCCTCCTCCATTTCGGCTAGAACGAGTCCAAATAGTTTGAAATCCCGCATTAGATGATTGAGGTCATTGGGTGCATCACGAAATTGGCTCCGGCAATCCTTGATCGTGATTATAGATTCCGTGACTTGCGCAACAACGGTTGCGAAAGTGATGGCACTTGAAACCACACCAATAACTTCCGCCATCGCGCTAATGAAATAGATCTGCTAGATTTAAGGATATGCCTTTAGTATATTTGGAGTCGATCAGGGTTTCGTGAATGCCAAAGCAAATGTGTTGCTGTGCCTCCAGGTCACTGCACCCCTCTTCGGGCGGAACCAGCCCCGCAGGAAGATATAGATCAGCCGGACAGTAAAGAGCGCGGCATGCTTGTATACCAGCGTTACTTCTCTGGAACCTCGCTGCACCCTTCCATAGGGTATTAAACAAGTCTAGAGGGAAGGCTTCATGCGACGAGGAGACCAAGATGCGATGAACGATAATTTGGTCCGTTTACACGAGGAATTCCAACAGATTCCACGAGAAGTGGAAGTATTATGACAATGACTCATGTATTGTGACCAACGAATACAATACAGTCCAGCAGGGATCCGGGGAAAGAAGTCATCAAACAAACCAACATATTGAGCGTTCGTTACTTCCTAAACTCAAGAAGGCCAAAAATCAACAATGACCAACCCTGACCCCGTTCATTTCTTCGACCTCTTCTCCACTCAACCAGGTACGTATACCAGCTCCGAAATTCAAGTTTCCTAACCATCGATACCCCGCACCCCAAACTGATGCAAGACACCCAAGGTGCTTCGAAATCATGGTCTCACAACACTTTGAAGATTCGAACAGTGCTTAATTTCAAGGGCATAACCTACACTCAGAGTTGGATCTCCTACCCGGACATCAAGCCCCTTCTCACCAGCTTGAATGTGCCGCCTAATAAACAGGGCAGACCATACACGCTGCCAGCAATCATTCACAAGTCCTCAGTGACTTCAAATCCAGATGGAGCCATGATGGATTCGCTTCAAATCGCCATGCACCTTGATAGGGTATTCCCGTCCCCACCGCTGTTCCCATCCGGTGACGCCAGCTACACACTAGTAGTCGCCGTGGGCAGATTGTTGAGTCTTTTGGAGCCTGGGTTCAGACCATTTATCATCCCACGCGTGGCGGATCACTTGGATCCTCGTGGACAGAGGTACTTTCACGAGACACGGTCTGCGGCCCTTGGAAAACCTTTGTCAGAAGTGCGGCCCACTGACGCGGAGAGTCTGGACAAGCTGTGGAAGGTGATTGAGACCGAGTCTGCGACCCTAATAACAATGCTGAAAGGAAGAGGGGGAAAGAAAGGTCCGTTCTTCGAAGGCGAAAAGCCTGGATTTGCGGATTTGGTATATGCTTGCGAACTGGCATTTATCGAGCGCTTCGATAAGGAGCTCTTTGAGAGGATCATGGGCCTGGGAGATGGGGAAAACAGGGCTCTGTACAAGGCTTGCTTGCCCTGGTTGGAGGGCCAGGGTGAGGACAAGGGGTGGCCGATTTCCCAGGCTGTCTAACTCTAGAATAACCGTATCTTAGATTGTTAATATCTGCAAGCAGAAATTGGGAACAGTTTGTGAATTTAATAAATACCTCGACTTCCAAAACCTTCCACAAGACCCCGCATAACCGAACTCACAACAAAATCCCTCTACAGTTTCGAGCTTTTCTTCGGTAGGCTTACAAGGGGAAGATTCGATTATCATAGGTCTGTTGAGGAAGACAGTTGTAAGTAGCTAGATACCTTGATATTGATTAGAACCTCTGGAGCTGAGAATGAAAAGGTATTTAGCGATATGTGGACCACGGGATGAAACCAAGATGCCAGAACAGCTGGGACTTGCATTTCTTTCATATCTTTGAGTTTTCTTTGCCGCACTCGTCAATGAACCGAATATGGTAGAATGGTTCTTTCATGGGTATTCCTTTGGGCCTGCCTTCCAAAACTTAGCCAACTGTCTCCAACCCGGCCACTGCAGCAGTATAGATAGCTGCTGGCGCTTGTCCTGGGCCATCTGTTCATTACCAGCCAATCTTTCAAACTTTTGCTCTCAACAAGAGAGACACTTTCCCATCCCGACATGTCCCATACCAACGAGAGGAAGAGACGCCGCTTCTCTCTGCAAAATGACTGCATAAGCCATTTGCACACCTCCGAAAGTCTCATAAGTCGTTCGCGGCAGCAAAGCACAAAAAGGTCCAGAAACGCTACCCTGTGTATTCCCGCTAAGATATGCGATTTAGTAAGGCCCTTGTTGTATCATACAAGACTGGGACTAAATCTCGCTTTATAGATTATAGGATATGTTTGGAAAGAGGGGTTTTCAGACGATGGATACCTGTACATGGAGGATGATTCCAGGCGCTACAAAGGCTTTGGAAGCGCGAGACGAAATCTCGCCGCTCTGCGCTTTGTGAACAGGACGTTTCGCCGTTGCGCCTCGCCCTGGCTTTTTCGACACATTGATGCTAGGCATAAACAACAGGCGGATATGTTACCCCTCGAACGGCTCAAGAAAATATCGGAAAGCAAATATGCTAAGCACGTGCGTCAAATTGATATTGGATTTGCTCCGGATATCGTATATGCCGGCAATACCCTTTATGACTGTGTAATGTACGTAGGAGATCTCCAGGGGCTACTCGGAAGCTATCTAGCCCGATTTCCCTACATCAAAGCACTCGAGTTCCACGAGCCACCTCCTGCTATGGATAAAGACCACAGAACAATCTATATCCACACGGTTGTTTCAACCCTGCGTTATGTGAGGTTCCCCAAGCTGGAAGAACTAGAGATTAAATTCCCCATTGGCGATGATTTCATGTTGTTCGATCCAGACCAGCAATTCTTTCAGACAAATTCTTTGCGGATACCCATATATAAGGTGCTGACACGAGTACGTCATCTCGGTTTGCATTCATGTGCATATACAGCCGGGGTAGAAGGAGAAGAAGTACCCGAGTTGATTACACCGGAATATGCTACTTTTCCGAGCTACATTTACTCAAGCAAGATGTTCAACATGATCAACCAGACCTGCTCCCTTGAATCACTCACTATATCTTCCCAGGATATTGTGAAACTCACTGAAATGCCCATTTCCCACCTATCTAAACTTCGATGTCTCCATCTCGAAGGACTTACCCTTTCGCCCAATGATCTCCTTGGGCTGATGGATCGATGCCAGGAGACAATGAGATACATAGCTCTATTCAATGTCAAGCTGAGAGATAAAACATGGTATTATGCGCTGCTGAGAATATGCAAGTTACGCCATCTTCTCGACATTCAGATGGAACATTGTGGATATTATTCGCTAGGAGAGAGTGCCCATCTGGGGCACGATATTCCCAACGAAAACATCTTCCAACAGATTGAAACAAATAGTCAGTATGACAGAAGCGCACTGGGTACTTTACAGCGGCAGGTAAATAAGAATCGAGTCGCTGTGGGGTATAAGCCGTTCTCACATGAGAGATATCACTGGTGCCTCGAACCGCCTACGGGGCTTAAACGTGATCCGTATGAGCGGTCAGATAACGAATACTCGTGCGATGATTACTCAGGCGATGAGAAATCCGGAGCATGATGTCAAATTCATGGTCAAATGCGATCGTTAGGCACGTTTTGTTTGCCTATTGTGGACTATGCATGTATCATAAAGAGGGTTCTTGATTTGAATGAGTGACTTCTTGTACATTGCTGTCTGGCTCATGTTAATCGTCGAGAGTCTACCCAGACAAGATGTAGATGATATTAGGGAGATTCATCTCAATGAGATCGTAGAATAAGGCATGATATGGAGGAGATACGGTAACATTCGAAATTAGTTTTATCTCACATTCTTATAACTTGATTCCCGAAATACAAATCCGAGCTGCGTTACTCTCGTATCAGGTTACCGCTCTGATAATTTAGCAGAACTGTAATGGCAATATTTATTGTTCGCAGTGAATGAGGGGCTTCCCTCTCCACCGCATCCCTTGCCTTGAGCCTCATAATAGTCTAGATCCATAGCTTCCATCTCTAGAATCTACATCGCTCTCCTTTCCTACTTCCCTTCTCATAGTTTCTCCTAGAAAGGCCATCTTTATGATACAGAAATACCTATGGAATCACATGAAATCGCTTAGTAGATCAGAGGTCCTGGTAAGATCGTCTACCCCGCTTTGCCTCCTTATCTCATACGTTGCAGCCTTCGTCTAGGCCCTAATACGTTCGACCTAGGGGGCTACCTGTTTATTATTTGCGCTTTGATCAATGACTCTAAAGGATACCAGTCTGCCTGGATAGCTACCAGTGTCCCATTTCTACAGCTAGAATGTGGTAATCTTTGGAATCGACACCGAAAATGATCACTTTTGAAATCAGAAACGTTACTTCACCGTGATATTTAGCGGCACTAGTGGCGTTTGAATTAAGGGTATTCTCAGGAAGGCTAAATACCATGACGATACGAAGCCTATACGCATACTCATAACCGTCAAGCAGGTAAGCCCACCAACGCGTAAGATATTCGCTGTATATTGTTTTCTTATTTACGTCATGATGACCCAATTCTATTTTGTAGCGCGTATATAATTCCCTGCTCAAGACCATGGTTGTTGACTTTGCATTAGAGAAGTAATTATATTTTCGATAGAACTGTCCTTTCTCAGTGGACAACATGACAGATAAAAAACACGCTCCACTGGCCAATGAGTAAGCTAAGAGCTCCTCCCCGCGTTCCCAAATGACCGCGATGTTCTTCCTCAATAGGTCTGACCGCCAATTAATTTTCTCTCTAGTGATGATGATGGGAATAAGAATAACAGCAACTGTCGTAATTGCGAAGGTGAGCCAATAAGTGTTAATAAAGGTCAGCAATGCTAAACGTCGCTTCACAGGATGCCACAATGTATGTCCTTACGCCATCTAGGTCCATTCCTGCGCACATCACTAAGTCACACTACCTGGGTGATGCTTACTATAAGATTAGTGCTCCAATTGTACGGACTGTATCGACTGTTCATTCTGCAGCAACTGCAATGACTGCGAAAATTGCGAGCAGTGTTCCAACATGACGAACTGTACCGATTGCCAAGACTGCTCTAACATGGTAAATTGCACGAACTGCAAGAACTGCTCTAACCTGAAGGTATGTGCAACAAATGGAGCAGGCTGGGACATTATTGACTGACCACTTTAAACGGATAGGACCGAGATGGTGCTGTCAATGAGTCTGGATAGACATTTTGGAATCAAACTTGTTTACAAAGGAAATCTCCTCAACCATGCGATTGCTGTATGAAAAACAAGAATCTCATTCAAAGGGGTTACACGCAACTTGGGATAAGGATCTTGATGAATATTACGAAGGTGGGAGGGAGAAAGAACTTAATGAGATGCAGGTGTATCAGTAACACGAATGATGCAAATGATAAATATTGTGAAGGATTGAGGAAAGCCCAGTTGCTATCTCGGGTAAATTACATTTGAAGAGGGTTAAACGTCGTATTGTGAAATATAAAGTCCGATTTAAACCATGGTATCGTTAATCATCCTATCAGGACTGGCGAATGAAACCATAGTGAGTGAAAAGTATCTTAACCTACTGAGTTAGCTCTTTTTGTAGTCACTACAGCCTTCTATTGGATGTTAAAAGAGTGTAGACGAAGGCTACGCGTGACGAGAAGACATAAGAGAGTAAAATGAGGATATTGCCAGACAGTCAAGATTCCCCTGTTTGGTCTCTTTGCATGAAAGATTCTGTCTCATTCTAGGGCTAATTACAATATTATAACAAGAACTCATCTGTCGTTACCGGTGAATAAGATACAGTCCGACAAGGATTACTGGGGAACCACTAAAATTTGGCTCGCGTGTCAGACTATTAGTTCGGGAATGAATGTCTAAGAGTGCGGGGGTAAATATGATTTCAAAGACTACTGTAACTCAACATTGAAGCCTGCCAGAGCAAGTCTTCCTTGTCCACAAGCTCTCAATCCGATTCCGCGTACTCCGATGAAAGAGCTTCATGGGAGTCACATGCCAGAGTAGGGGTATCAGAGTCCCAACTATCATTCCAGATCTCCCTGACAGGGCCATGCTCCAACGCAAGAGCCACTTGACTCGCTCTCTCAAGCTCAGCAAGCATTTCAATCTGATACTCCATCTGATCTGCAAAGCCCTGTCTAAAATCGCGCTCAACAAGCCGTCTCTCCGAAGGCTGTTCATTAAGAGTCGGTTCCTCGAGAATCATCCAGTCGAAGAGATAGTGCTGCTGTGGAATACGGTACCAGGCGTGCTCGGTGACGAACCAGGGACGGATGGGGAGATGGATTCGGTCCTTTACAGGCTTCGGGTCTTCGATGATATTGAGAAGTTCATTCATCATGCTCCTAGGCATGGGGATACGTTTTGCGTTGATTAGACCGGGAATATCGCCGCTTTTAGTGGCATTGACGGAGATGCCTGACAAGGTATCGGTGCTTAAGAAGGATTCTTCGGGGGTGCCGGGAAAGGCATCAGAGAAACTGAATTCCGTGGGTTCAGCATGTTGCTTGGCTCCGTCCTGAATGGGGTCTCGACAAACCGTTTGAATTCCTGGGGGGAGAATAGGGTCTTGCTTATCTGCAATTTCGAGGACGGCAGGGCTGATCTCGGGGTTCTTGATGGGGTGAATACGCTCGGTGAGACTTGTTGCTGGTGATGCGACTAGCTTGCTGGCTCGTTTTATGATAGGCACAGCTGATTCTTCATCTGCCCAGCTGTCTTCTGGCTCGACCCCGGCGTGAATCTCTGCATGCGAGAGCTCGTGGGGAGACATAAGGTCGGCATTCAACAGTGGGTCTATTGGGTTGTCGAATTTAGCAGGGTGGGAGCTCACCAGGCGCTGGCTCGGGGATGAGTTGGACTTGGGAATGGTTATTTGTGATGATTTGCGCCGATTAAATACAGATCGACGACGCGAGCCTCGGCCTCCGCGATTAGCGTTCACTTGAGGCTTCTTCGATGTCTTTCCTCCTGATGAGTTGTGCCTCGCGTCGGGTTCAGTTGTGTCTGATTTAGGAGGGGTTGAGGGATTGAGGGTGACAATTTCCCCGTCAGGATTCTCCAGAAGAAGACGAGCTGACTTTAGCACGTCGCCGTGAATACTGTGGGGCTTCTTCAAGATTGGAGGAAGGGGGCTCTTTGAGCGGTTGGTCGACTGAGGCTTGGATGGAGCCTGTGGAATGGCCCGTGGAGCTGAGAGGAGCCCCGGAGAAGGTAACACAGACTCCGATGATGGGGGGATCTGTATGGGAAGTTAATGCTGATGAAAGGAGAGGCAGGGAGATGAGGGGGTTGCAGAAAGACGTGGGAAACTGACTTGCGGTTTGGTTGTTTCACTTGGGGACAAAATTCGGGACACCAGTCGATCCAGAGACTCGATACTGGCATCGTCTTGCAAGGTCTCGCTACTCCATATTCTCCAGAACAAATACTCAAGTCGACGATCTGTCTGAGTATTGGTGGCCTGTCGTGAGACGTAGAAAGCTGTATTCAAAACTGTGTTAGCAAATTCCTGGAGTCTGCCAGGCCCAGACATGGAAGTGAATACCTTGCCAGAAGCTCTTGATTGCCGTGACGTCTAATTTCTCTCGTCCCAGTAGCTCGCTGGGAGACTGGGACATCGTCAACAGCCCAGGCGGAACCTTTGGTTCCATATTGAGAGATAAGAAAATGAAACAGAATATGTTACTGGGTACAAGAAAACAGTAAGATCATTCACAGAAGTGTTCTCATCCAGGAATTGCTAACGCCTTCGCCTCAGGCATCAACCCTGTAAAATCTCGGGGGCAAATTTCAGAAAGTTGGTCAAGTAACTTTTGCTATCGATAGATGCGGTATTTCTCCACGGAGAACTGCGGAAAAAAAAGTCAGTGTGACAGGTCTTTGATTATGTGGCAAGCAAGATTCTCAAAATGATGCAATATCAAGGGAGCCAGAAGACGTGTAGTGTGGGGAACAGATGATTCTAGAATGCACACCTGCAGGGATTGAAGGAGTTGGAAAAAGAAAAAGATCCCTTGCTTGCTTCTAGCAGAGCGTATCGAGTGCTGAAACGCAGTCAAATGCCAGGGAAAGGGAATAGGCGAATTGGAGACAAATCAAAGCAACATACAAGTGCTGTCCTCTCTGGAGCTATGACATACGCGACCAGTCTGCGGAACTGAGAGAGCCTGTTGAGTCGTGTACAGAGCAGTACGCGACCTTTTAATAACAAGTATGAAAGCGACAGGGAAAGAGCTCCCATCGTTTATTGCGTGAATACAGAAGCGTCAGATCGTTATCATCTTTCGGGACAGCCGGGACGGGCCGGGATTGGGCTGATTTTATTCTGGTCTGAAGCCTGTCAACAGCAGACCAGTCATTTATCAAGGACCGGTGACAGGCACGAATTGCTAAAGTTAGATAGCTCCATAACAAATAATTCAGCCCCCTCATCATCGCATTCCAAGGTTCCGATTTGTCGCCCCTTGCAACCTAGGCCACGTAGCCCTATCGGCTGCCACCCGAGCGACCTAGGCGCTGCATGATGAAGTGGCTAACTATTCGAACCACTCTAGGATCTATCAATTGTGGAGCCATGAGACTACTATGTTCTCCTTTGCGAGAGATACCATTAGGGGCCTTCAGGGAGCATTTCAATGGACCTTCAAATCTGGTTACGCGCCGAGTCTAAGAGGATGTATGTTCCCGGTAGTGGAGATGAAGAGTCGAATCATATCGACGAGAAAGGGCACGGAGGAATGTAAAGAATTTCTGTAGACGCAAGCTCGCCTCCACTAGGCCGCATTTGTCGAACGCGAAGTTCAGCCCCTAGGTATCTCCACATCCCCCAGATTGGTATCCACAGGGGTCTCCAACACTTGGTATGTAGGCTATGCGGAGAAGATAGACATGTTTTTAGACTTCCAAGGCCGGGAATTTTTTTTTTTTTCACTAGGGGTGACCGGCTGTCTCTAGATTGTTTTGAATAATGACACTTAGCCTCTAATTAATCATGAATTCACATTGACAAGAATTGTGTCTGCCACAGATCATATTCCTACTCATTGCTATGGTAGGTAAGCCAAGAGCTGCCAAGTTGCCTGTTCTGGTCTCGGCAGGCCGATGCCAGCCGCTGCAAACCCAACCCAAGGACATCGTGACGTTATCGCGAGGTTGCAAGCTCTTCATGGCAATACTACCCTGTAAAAATTCAACCATGGAACACGCCATATAATTTCGTCTATTTGTTCGACACGTCCCTTGTATCATCCAATATCAGGTTTTGTCCTTGGCATATGAAGGAAAAATTTCCGCGATCATGATCTATGAATCATAAAAAATGGAATTGCTCCAAATACCTGACTCTGACCTTTGGAATACTTTAAGCGTAGAACTAAATGCGTACATTACAGAAATTTAATTGCAACTCGGTCTTCAAGTATTATTATGCGAAGTTCACAGCCAGCTAAGTATTTTCACTGCAAAAAGTTGCATTACTGCTCGCTGCCAATCTCATCTAGGGCCTCTCTGAGCACGCAAAGCATAATGTGGTCAATCTTTCCGTTCACACTGTTAGTGTGCCAATGCCAAGTTCTTGGTATGCCTGGCGGAGGCAGAGAGAATTGGAGTTCAGGCTGGAATGGCCAATCGCCCTGCCCATCCTCATCAGAGCTTCCTTGGCCTACTTCAGACACGATTGTACCATCCTGAGCTTTCATACAAGGTCTTTGTGCTATTGGGTGTGCCATTTGATACGACTTGCATGATGCCAATTCCCCATCTTTGCGAAGATGTACCTCTTCTCACTGACCAGTGCTCTATTGCTTAGAGATCATGGTAGTGGAGATTGTATGATGTTGAATTCGCTTCTTTGTTGATTGACTACGAGATTCAGAGTCCTGGATACACATAGGGTGCAAATATAATTGTAATGTAATATAGACTATTAAACAGACTATTTTCAAATATAGTGAATGCAATCGTGAACGAATGAAGACTGTCAATAGACCCTCCGCTTTCTACAAACGAGCCTCGGTATTTTTCTCTCCCCGCAGCCCCACCCATCCCCAAAAACCGCCCCCTCAGCTATGAACCAAACCGTTCTTCAACCACACCCAACATGGCAACTGTGCAAGGCCACTGCGACGCAGCGTTCACTCGCGTGCGCGATATCATCCAACAAAACATAGCAACCTCCGAAGAACTCGGCCTCTCCCTCTGCGTCAACATATCCGGCAAAAATGTGCTTGATCTATGGGCCGGTCACGCTGACCTTGCGCGCTCAAAACCGTGGACCGAAAATACAATAGCCTGTCCCTGGTCAATGACCAAATGTGTAACCAACCTCGCCGCCCTAATTCTGATCGATCGAGGTCTCCTCGAACCCTCAGCTCCCGTATGTCAATACTGGCCTGAGTTCGCAGCGAATGGGAAAGAGAACGTGAAAGTTTGGCACGTCCTTACTCACTCGGCTGCGCTTCCGGCTTGGGAGAAGCCCGTTACTATGGAGGATGTCTATGATACCGAGACCGCGACTGAACGGCTTGCAGGGCAGGCGTTGTGGTGGGAGCCAGGCACTGCCAGTGGGTATCATCCTGTGACTCAAGGGCATTTGGTCAGTGAGTTGATTCGACGGGCTACGGGGATGCGGGCGAGGGAATTCATTCAAAAGGAGATATCGGGGCCGCTGGGAGCTGATTTCCAGCTGGGTGTGCCGGAGAGTGAGTGGTATCGTGTTGCGGAGTTGATTTCGCCTCCGTCATTTGTGCCCCCGCCGGGTTTCGATGCGACTAGTCTTCCGGCGCGAACATTTTCTTCACCGACACTGAAGGCTGAGTTTGCTGCGACGGCGGAATTTAGAAAAACCGAGTTGCCGGCGCTCAATGGGTTTGGAAATGCTAGGAGCTACGCTCGTATCCTCTCGGCGATTTCTTTGGGAGGGACGGTGGATGGAACGAAGCTTTTGAGTCCTGAGACGGCGCAGTTGGCAACGAGGGAGCTGATCAGTGGGAAAGACCTTTGTCTAAGGAAACGGCTACGTTTTGCACTTGGGTTCGGTCTTCCGGCGGATCCGGCCAAGGGCTGGATCCGTGAAGGGAGCTGCTATTGGGGCGGCTGGGGTGGTTCGATGGCTATTATGGACTTTTCAAAGCGCATCACGATTTGCTACGTTCAAAACCGCATGGCCACGCCTGGTACTACTGGAGACTCCCGGATTGAGGCATATGTGAATGCGATCTATGATGCTCTGAAGAGTGTTGGAAGCGAACGTGTGACAGCCTGTCTATAAGCTCCAGCTGGGCATCTCTCTGCGCCACACAATGTATGTATACAGTGCTAAACGTGTATAGCGCGCATCCTCTCTTTTACCGAAGCAGTTGAATCTCAAGAACCTGCCCACTGACCTTCTTCCCATCCCCACGCGTCGTAACGTAAATAGAGCGTCCCCCATTGGCAAGCTGCACAGACGTAGGTTCCTTGACCTCCTCACTCGAACCACCCCCGGCAATAACAGAATGTGTCCCACCAGGCATAACCCTCGCAATTGCATTATCCGGCTGGGCAACGTACGCCACACCAGCCGAATCAACAATAAAATCATCCCAATCGGACCCCGAGCTCGAATCTAACCGTGCCACAATCTCGACATCGCCAAAATGCAGACCGTCCGCGCTAACGCGGATATGCGCGAAGATATTTCGCGCACTATTAGTGAAGAGGACATAATCATCTACTACCTTGAGGCCGTTTACGCCAATAGGTAGGGATGCATTCGTTGGCGCAGCCAGCAAATCATGTTTGAAAGCCAATCTGGATATTCCAGTCGTTGTATCGACACGAAATATAGCGCCGAGTCGAGAGTCGCCTATCAAAATGATATGAGGCTGTTTTGGCATCGAAGACAAGCCATTGAGCATGGATGCATTGGGGAGGCGAGCGACGGCGTGAACGGATGGGTTTACAGCATCCATGCTGAAGTCGACGGTATACACGGTTTCATTTGTATAGTGATAATGACCCCTCACACCACCGACAATGGCGAACTTATCGTTGGCAATGGCTGCGATACCGCATAGGGCCGTAGCACCCGGCAGAGAGGCGACTAACTCAGCCTGTGGGGAATCACTGAGGGGATTGAGTGTGTAGAGGCGACCTTGGTCGAAGGTTGTAAGGAGGATATGGCCGTTTGGACGGAGGGCGCTGTTTTCAATGTCCACGTAGTTGGTGAAATTGGAGAGTTGTGTGATTGATGTCGCTAGTATGGTATTGGCCAGGAGAGTGATTAGGTGGGCGCGCATGATAGCGTTCAGGGTGCAGAGATGAAGAAGGGTACCCCGGGGATAGTTTCTGCTTTATGATCGGTTTTGTCGGGGCCATAATTCAATTGATCAGGGTGCCTCTTCCTAGGGGAATGGCTTTCGGAGATAAAAAGAGATCGATCTCGGCCAAAGTACAGTGTTGAAGATCAGCGCTAGAAAGGGGAACTTGCGCCGAGTCGCGGAAGAAGATTCTTCAGTTTGTTTTAAGTTAATTTGGCTGTCAAAGTAGAGGGTATAATTGTTCTATCTAAATGAGCTAGGAACATTTACTACTATCAGTTTCTTGCTCCTTTGCGTATCCGGAACCCACCGATCACGACCTATTAGGACACTGTGCTCAGTCAAGCCAAAACCATTCCTACAATGCTTACATCGGTACCGGGGCAGAAACCCTGGTCCTCCGCTCGGGTAAGAAAGCGAAAGCCTCTCATGCCATGCCGGGTTCCGGGTTTCTGACAGCACAAGTTAACTGCTACCAGACCCACTTCCCACTTCCCCCACGTTCATTTCTTCAGCTTCCCCATACAGTCACACATAACTGCCCAATCAAACTTCAATGCTTGTAGATTGTCCTATAGGCTCGAAATGAAAGCCTCAGTCACAAAAGGACGATATCCAAAAACAGCAAAATATCAACAACGCCCCGAAACACAATCCGCCCATGGTTTCTTTAGCCAGGCACCAGGGACCAAGCCCACCACCGGAACAAAAGTACCAATACGTCTGAACACCACCAGAGATTTTTTTTTTCCGGAACTTGTTTCCGATTGAATACATTAATACGGGGAATCTGATCAAGGCACATTCCAGATATTACTCAGGGGTAAACGGCAAGGGATGTTATCTGGTATCGAATTTTTGAGTATTCTGTTTTACGCCTTTGGAGAGAAAGAACGAGTAGTTAGCTTTTGTGGAAAGCGACAGCTTCGAAAAATAATGAATAATAAATAAATAAAAATAGGCCGTGACTGATGTGGCTGCTTACCTGTACACCGGAGATTATAAGGTGGTGTAAAATGTTGCATATGCTCCCTACACCGCAATCTGAGTTTATGCAGGTCTTGGGTCATGGGGCCTTGAGTCACAAACCTACAGCCCACAGCTAGTTTCAATGTGAACAAACTGGAAAGTCAGAGACCGCAAACATACTCTGGCAAAAAACGGTTCCATGTTAGGTCTGAGTACCGGGTACAGCCTATACCGGGATCTATACTTTGCAGGGTTCCCCGCAAAAATAAAGCGCACAGCGTGAAGATGATGTCAAGACTGAACAACGGCTCAATCGGATCTCTTTCTCCGATTTAGCACGAAGCTTACTTCTTGGATCCGAGCTCGGACAATGCCCCTTTGACTAAAGACAATGAAAGAGCCCACTCAACATATTAAAATGAGGTTAGAGCAGTTTGAACCCGATCTAGTTTGCATCGCACTGTAAAATGAGCCTGTAATCATGCATTTCATTGATAGATCGAAGGCGAAGGCAATTAAGTCACGGTATATCCGCCATCAACACGCAGCTCAGCACCGGTAATGTACTTTGAGGCGTCGGATAAGAGGAAAGTCACAGCGCCCATTAGGTCTTCCGGAGTTCCCATCTTGCCGACGGGGATGAGGGAGGTCCATTTATCGCGGAGTTCAGGGTTTTCGTCGAGGATTTTGCGGGTACTGGTGAGGTATTGTTAGCACAACTTTCAAGCTAGACGATTTCTGGTTGTAAAACCAGAGTTATTGACTAAACCACTTACAGAGCAGTCAACATGTATCCGGGACTGATACAGTTGACACGAATATCCTTGCCAGCCCACTCAACAGCTAGAGACGCGGCGAGGTGCCGCACAGCGGCCTTGGCAGCGTTATATGGAGCTTGGGGTTGAGGCACATTGACGATTGCGCCAGACATGGAGCCGATCATAACGATGTTACCACCAGCGTTGCGCTCCATTAGATGCTTAGCCACGCCTGTGGCGAATAAGTAGGTGCCATCCACGTTGACGCCCCATAGCTTCTGCATGCGCTCGAATGGGTAGCTGATCGCGTCAAAGTTCTCGGTGAAACCTGCCGAGGTGACCAAGTTATCGATCCTGCCGTGCTTGGCGAGAATTGCGGCCAGAGCTGAGTCTACGGATTCTGGATTGGCGACATCGGCGTAGTGGGCTGTGATCTGGGGCAGTCTGAAACCCGAATTAGCAAGCCGTAGCGTACACTTCTCAGTTAATATAAAAACATACTGCTCCAGGCCGGGATTCTCTATCCGGAACTGCTCAATGAGCTTATGCGCAGACTCCTCAGCTTCAGTCTCTGTTGACAGTATTAGCGGCATGTCTAGACCAGGTAAGTATTGAAAACTTACTGTTCAAGTCAACAATCGCCAGATCAGAGCCGGAAGCAATCAGTCCCTGGCCCATGACGAGACCCAGCCCACGAGCACCACCCGTCACAACGCTAACCTTGTTCTCGAGCGAGAATTGAGCCAGTGTACGCTTAAAGTGCATCCCACCCCGGCCCTGGACAACGGGCTGGGCGGGATATTGGCTGTCAGGAGGATATTGGATTTGAACGCTGTCATCGGTACGCGCGAATTCACCCTCATGCTCGCCGGAAGCTCCTTTCTCGGCGCGGTCGGTGGCGGCGAGGATAGGGTCTTTGTTGGGGTCTTCCTTCTTTGCGCGAATGGCTGTGAGGGAAAATGGGCGGGTTGAGGCTGCATAGAGAGCTGGACGGGTATTGATTGCCTTGATGGCGGATCGGGCGACCGTGCGGTTGAACATGGTGGAGATGGCTTCTAAGCTCGAGCTGGAGCTGGAACTAGAGCTAGAGCTAGAGCTACGGAGGGGTAATATACGGTGAAAAGGATGTCTCGAGTCTGGGGAGAAGAAAAAAAAAAAGGGAAAGGCGAGGATAACAAGAAAGCTCTGAGCTCCCAGGTTTTTATTTTATTTTATTATGATTTCTAACAGAGCTTGATGGCCTTCTGGAACAAGGATGGCGCGGGCCCAGGAGCTGGGGAATGCAACAAGTGCGGTGAAAAGGGGGCGCATTGGAGGATGCCTCCAATGGCAGGGAGGATCAATGGTCGGTGAACCAGTGAGTGGTCGAGCGATTGACTTGGGAATTTTGGTCTCATTTTATTGAATTGAATGATTTAGTGAAACCTGCCGAGTGATGTCAGGTGGACAAGATCGATCTGGTTTCATTACAGTCTGGCTCATGTAACTGATACTTATCCAGGTACCAGAAGTACTGGGTACCCCTGTACTGCTGCTACTCGGTATCGGTACTTAGGCGTAGCCTTCTACGTATTCGGTCTATCTTTGGTCTATCTTTGCTTCTTTCAATTCTGAAATATATGACTTGTCAGGCCCGCAGTTGCCGCCCTCTACAGCACACCCGTTTCGCCACTAGGCCCTAAGAACAGTGGCAATCTTATCCCCGGGCTTTTCTGCTCGAGTCAACATGACGAACGTATTGGTATTATCTCCAATTATATATAGTGAACTCGCTAAGATCTTCCGGGGACATCGAAACGGGGTTAATCACGGTGGACCCCATCGTATCCACTCGATCTTATCGTCCCAAAAACCAAAATGTCAGCCACGATCCTTAGTTCTCTATGCCTTGGGCCACTGGGCCAACGTGCTTACATGTCAATTACTAGAGTGTACTTCCCGTGCTCCTGAGAATCTCCAAAGCTTATAGGCGGATAGCGCGAGTTTCAGAAAATTCGAATGCTGCCTGAAAGCTACAACTATACTTAGGGTCCACAAGTCTACCACGCGCTCTGGCACCATACAGCAATCCCATCCCGAGCTGTCAATAATCGTCACATTTAACAGCCGCATATCTCAACGGTGAACTCAATTTGCTATTATTGATCTTGATCTAATTTATTCTCCTACTCCAAATCCTCAAATTCTACCAGGGGCGTTCCGCTTTTGCATTGGTCCTGCAAGGTACAGTTAGCATTTGTCAACTGAAGCCGGCCTGTATTGTCTTCTTGTGTCTTGTTTTCTTGTTTTTCATACCAGTCCGAAAACCAAAAAGCGAGACACCAAAAAAAGGGGGAGCTAAAAGCCAGAATGTAATATGTCACGAGACCCAGGGTCTAGAACATAGCGGAAGGGGCGCGTGACTTACTCCTTGTTGATGGACGACGCGGGCAATTGTTCCCCGCTGCGGACTGCGAATCACCGTCTCCATCTTCATGCTTTCAATGACCACCAGCGGCTGGTCCTTTTCCACCGCTTGCCCTGCCTGCACTTCCACCCGCAGAACCTTGCAGGGCATTGGGGCTAGGACGCTATTGGCGACGTCTTTCATACCCAGTGCTTTTTCCATCCATTTGGCCCGGGGGACCGTGAGTCGGTATTGTATACCGCGCTGGAATGCAATGATGGTGTCTTCGTCTCGGACGACGGTCGTATCTAGGCGTGTGTGAGGGTAGAAGGAGGTCACAACGTTGGAAGCTGGGTCCATGCGACTCGAAACTTGCTCAAATACTCGGTCCCCGATCTCAATGTTGAAGGTTTGGCTTGATGTCTGCTGCACGCGCACGCTGTAGGTGGGTCCGTCGTGATGAGCACCCGCTGACTCGGTAAATGACAGCTGGCGCTGCTGGTAGCTGGGGGTGAACCCGACCGCACCAGCGAGCCCCGGGGATGGAGACACGGTGTGAGAGTCTCGGTGCAGACATGCCAACGCGACCTGAGCGAGCACCTCATCGTCAATGATCTTAGGGGCAAAAAGCTCTTCGCGGTGCTTTTCAATATAGCCTGTCTCAACCGCGCCCGCAATGAAATCCGGGCTGCGGCAGATGGTCTTGAGGAACTCGATATTGGTCACGGGGCCAGCCACCTCGTACTGTTGTAAGGCGGCGCCGAGTTTCCGGATTGCCTCCTCGCGTGTTTCTCCCCTGACGATCAGTTTGGAGATCATCGGATCGTAGTGAGCCGAGACATCATCTCCTTCTACAAATCCAGCGTCGATGCGAATGTCGTCTGAAGTTGCGGGGGTGCGGACGTGGATCAGACGGCCAGAGTCAGGAATGAATCCCTGGTCGGGGTTTTCAGCGTAGATCCGGGCTTCGATGCCGTGTCCACTCTTGGAAATCTTTTCCTCCACTTGCTCTTGCGTCAGAGGCAGCGAAGCCCCTTCGGCCACCAGGATCTGCCAGTGGACTAGGTCTTGGCCTGTGACCATCTCTGTGACGGGGTGCTCAACCTGCAGGCGGGTGTTCATTTCCATAAAGTAGAAATCTCCTGAGTCGTTATCAAAAATGAACTCCACTGTTCCTGCGCCTTCATATCCCACCGCTAGGGCTGCAGCTCGAGCTTTTGCCCAGAGATCCTTCCGGGTTACATCGGGGAGATGTGGCGCTGGCGACTCTTCGAGAATCTTCTGATGTCTCCGCTGGATGCTGCAGTCTCGCTCTCCCAAAGCGACAGAGTTTCCATGCTTGTCCGCAAAGACCTGGACCTCGATGTGACGAGGAGTTGTAATGTATTTCTCGACCAGGACATTATCATCTCCAAACGAGTTCATAGCTTCTGACTTTGCTGATTCCAGCTGGGCCTGGAATTCGGCTTTGGAGCTTGCAATACGCATTCCCTTACCGCCGCCTCCTTTGATGGCTTTGATAAGCACGGGATATGTGATTTTGTCGGCCTCGGCTTCTAGAAACGCAGGATCTTGGTTATGACCGTGGTAACCGGGGACACAGGGCACGCCTGCCGCGAGCATGATCTCTTTGGAGCGACTGTTTTTTCGTCAGATTGTCCGTGTAGGTATCTACAAGTTGACAAACATACCTCTTGTCGCCCATATCTTCGATTGCCTTCCATGGCGGGCCAATAAATACGAGTCCAGCTTCTGTACATTTTCGGGCAAAGGCAGAATTCTCGCTCAGCTAAATAGAAGTCATTAGCAGTTATTCTCCTCTCAGTCCACATGAGGCCAAAGGCAAAGGCCCATGCTCCCCCAAGTTAGGTAACTCACAAATCCGTAACCAGGGTGTATCCCTCGACACCCTTCCTTCTTCGCAATCTCGATAATCCGATCCCCGTCCAAGTATGCCGACACCGATCCCAAGTTAAACGCATGTGGCGAGCTCAAAGCATGCTGAGATTGACTATCGGGATCAGTGTAGAGAGTGGTAACGCGAATCCCATGCTTCGCCGCAGTCTGTCCTACACGTCTAGCTCCTAGTCAGCAAAAGCCAATCTCCAAGATTTCCAAGCCTCATACAGTGCAATTTCTCCTCTATTGGCAATGAGGATTGAATCTAAAGAGTTGGTTGTCCGGGGTTTCCCTGCCACCGACGATGCAGCTCTCGTAGCTCTGCGGGTGACGGTCGGGGCAAGGCGGGGAGTAATGCGGAGAAGTGATGAAAGGGTCATGGTGATTGTGAATGCAGTTGTGCAACCTTGAAATGCGTCAAGTTGCTAAACAGATCTGCCCAAGGTTACAGGGACTCAGCAGGCTTTCATTATCGGGATTTGGAGAGGTTAAGCTGGGGAAGGCGGCTTTCAAGTGAGCATTCAAGGCGCCGCTGTTGACCCGCAGAAGCCGACGCAAAGCGAGACTGCGGGGAAAGCCGTGGGAGGCGACCGCTTTCCTATTTAGGAACATACTATGGGCTCCCTAGGTAGTTGCTCGGAGGGTATATTGGCAGGCCTTATATGTATCTTGCTATTATGGCTTGTTCTTGAAACCCTGATTTTATTCCGCTTCCGTTTTGTATGTTCCGCGTTGCGAAACTGGTTACTCACTTCCTTACCTCCGTGCTGAGTCGAGAGAATTTAAAACTATGCGAACGCCCTCGTCTCATTGCTGGAATACGGTCGAAATAAGTTGTCAGGCAATATCAAAATATGTAAGACATGCACCAGGGCGAAAGTCGTGAATCGAGAGAAAGCCAAGATAATTCGAGATAATTCGAACATTTATTGGGAAACATTCAATCAGTAACGAATCAGTGAGCTTCTAATAGACAAGCTCAATTCAAAGGGCATTTTCAAAACATGGAGCAGGCACAACTCAACCACTGCTCTTTGTGGAAGCGACTTTGGAACATAGCGGCTCCGGTACAATGCAATGAATCCATCGAAATCGGGATCGCATTCGAAGGACTCCATGCGATTAGCGATATCGACGCGTAGATTATGGACGTCACCTGGAAGATATTCGCTAGCTATTGGAGCCAATGACCTCATAAGCCGAGGAAGGAAATTCCGCATCATAGAGCCTACGTATTCTCTGTCGTCAGCAGTACAGGGACGAAGGTCGCTTCTTCCACAGACCAATACTGCACTGCAGTACTCAGTTAGATGACGTAAGTATATCTTTGAAGGATTTCCTACATGTAGATGAAAGGATCCGGCGTCTCAAAGTCATTTCCCATGCAGTGGCTGTTTATTAGTCATTAGTCACGACCGACGGAAACAGGGGGACAGACAGGCTTACTTCGGGGTTTCAGCCAAAACAAGTGTAGGCACGGAGACATTCTTTAGAAGTCTTTCTGTAAAATGGGATGCAGGAAGAGGGCGTTCGTTCTGGCCATCGCCTTTGTAAACCCCGTTGGTGAAATGGTAAACCGAAGGGTTATTCTCGAAGTTTTCGCCGAAAAGACTTATCCATCAGAACGATCTTCAATGAGAGAGATAGGTAGGTAAGATTACATTTGACCCTGCCCGGTGAAAGCCACGATTTTTGCTTCGACCGTCACGGTTTCAGGGATAGGGACGTCCCCATGGTTTCCATGGAAGAAGAAGTAACGCAAGGAGCCTTGCGGGTATAGTAAATCCGCCATTGTGGGCCACAGGGAGATTGCGTCGTTGAAGTCAACTTCTTAACTTTTTTTCTTCGTTTGAAGCGAATCGGAAGATGACACTGTTTCTCCTCCACGCGGCTACGCTTCATTGGCCATTCTAAGGAGTCTGAAATGGCTCCACATTTGGTTACAGATCGGATTTGCATCGGTGGATGCCATGAATAAGTAGGATCATGTGACTATTGATTGGCTTCCTAGGCTGTTAGACCACATAATATAGTTTGTCCTTCTTACCGGGCTTGAATTCATTTACATCAGGCCCAAACTGGGTAAAACCTACATCACGGCTCTCACGACTCGGGCCGGCACGGATGAGGATCCACATCCCGAGGTAACACCGACTAACAAAAGTGAAAGTGACTTGAGATGACTTAGAGATCATCTACTTCTGGGCTAGTCTTTCTTTGTACCTCCAAGAATCCTTCGTCCCACGAAATGCATCAAGACTGGATAACGTCTCCAGAATCATGTAACAAATTAGTCAGTCGACCTTCCTTGATCTTACCACAATCGTATAATCCAAAGCGATCAGCAATCTGAGAAGTAACCGAGACAAGGGTTCTCAATGGCGGGAGCGGCATATATTGACAAAAACGCCAAAGCCCATCATGAACAAAAGCACCCGACCTGGTTCTTCGCGTCGGTCAATGTATCACTTCAAATAAATAGATCAGGTTGTGAAAACCGATGATCTTCAAACGCGAGGAGCATTTCCGAAGACCATCGGCACCGCCCTCCTTTAGAGATATCGCCTGTTTGTACGCAGTCTCGATCGAGAAACCTTTCTTCGTAATAGCGAGACAACCACAAAGATGCTCCTTCTCCGCACCTTCGCGGTCATTTGCAAACATTTCACGAGACTTCTGCTCTGTATCCCAGGAGAGGTATAGGCAGCCAATGTGAGAGTCAGGAAAGCGTTGTTCTGTTGGAATGCCTGTGTGAGTTCATCTGGGATTGGATCGAGTGCCAAGTTCCACATAGGCTAGACCACTCTCCCACCTTCAGAACATGGCGCTCGAGTGTTTGCGAGTTGGAAAGATCCGAGAGCACTTCAAGTTCACTCATGCTCGACTTTGCTGAAGATACCTGGGTGGCAACGTATTTATCGAAGTTTTGATCTCGGGCCAGCCATATCGTGGAGTATGTGCCAAGGCCAAGCTTGTGAACCAATCGATTGCGATCATGAAGCTGGTCCCCGATTGTTATAGGACGATAGCCTCCCATAAGTTAGCCCTCTAGTTTCCCCACGGCCTATGGGATCGTGCGGGCGATGAGACGAATGGTCATCTCTTGATATATTGGACTTGAGCATGGGCATGCATAGAAGACCACGGATTTGATGGCGGTAAAGGGCCTCTATGGGTTTCTTGGAACAAATGTGGAGGCATAACAACTGTGACCATAAAACGGACACTAGGAGTAATGCATTTCCCATGATTGAATCGGCTCTAAACTCCAGTGAACCCAGCTTTTGGAAGACAAGTTTGACTGAAGTTGATCCCTTATAAGAGGTGAGAATATCATTTCAATGGATCTCAGCCACTGAGTGGCCTAAGAAGCAGAAATATTAGAACTGAATTATCACTTGAGCCCCTTTCAAAGCAATACATTTCACATAGCGACAGTGAGACAGCTAGAAAGGGGTCAGGAAGGGTCAGCTATAGAAAAAAATGTGGGGCCGCGCAAAAAAAATGCCAAGGCTTACATTAGCAATCGCCTCTTTGATGCAAAGATCAGCCGGATCTTCGTCACGTTGGTCACATCACCAGCTTTGCTTCATTTGGCTTGCCAGAACGATTTATCCATCCTGCAATCTCACCTCATTTGTTGCCGCCTTAGTGCATCCTCGACGGGCTCTTGCCTCAACCCGAGTCATCTCCACAATGTCCGACGATGAGGAGTACTACGAATGGGAGGAGGAGTATCTAATTGAGGATATGCCGGACTTTGCAGTGAGTGCTCAACCCTTTAACTCGATATTACCGGACCCAATCTGACTAGGACCGTGCCCTGCAGGACGAACTCGCCCAAACCTCATACTACGAAGCGGTCCTGTACGAAGACCCGGGAATTGAAGCGGAGGACTACTACAGTGACTGGGAGTACTATACAGACGATTATTACGATGAAGACCCGACCGTGAAGCCTGCTCCAGTCGCGAAAGACACGGACACGAAAACCCGCCGAGCAAACCGCGCCCCCCGGCTGAAATCTTCCTTAAAGCCAGACATCGCATCCTTCCAAGGTGTAGTCTGGAAGACATCCAGCCTGGAAAAGGACCAAGATATTGCCGTTCAAATTTACGAGCCGGGTGCTGGTGAGCAAGTGGCGCTGCTGAAGAACTGGCGCGAGATTTTCAAATCCGCCCAGCCTGCATTGGACAAGTCGCGCTTGCGCAAGAGAAAGGCGGAGGATATATGCGAACCGGACCCTGCCCTTGCCGATGACGAATTTCCATGCGAAGACGACCAAGACGACAGTTCGGATGACATGTCGGATATCGTGTCTATGGACAATACGACGGAGAATGGCGACGCGGGCGATGCGTCAAACACAACACCGGAACTGCCTCAGTCGCCGAAGCGAGAGTCTAACTTGGCTGTTGTGATCCCGGCGAAGAGAGGCCGCAAACGAAAAGCCGAGGTTCCTCCCGAGACGAATAAAAAGACCGGTGAGACTGCGCCGCGGGCGAAACGCATTGCGTCGAAGAAGAGGGATGTGGATGGTGGGACGACAGCTTCATCTGGCCCAGTGCGCAGGTCGACCAGGCAGAAGAAGTAGGCTTTACATGTATGAGATCGGTCTCATGACTGTCATGAATGGATGATGGAAACATGCATTTCCAGTATACGGAGCAAATCAGGCATAACGTCGAATAATACATTCATTGCAAGCACTCAAGGTATCTAATTCTGTATAACACTCTAGGCATACTCTTTGTTGAAAGCGCGACCGATAACTATCCGTCTGATCTCGCTCGTGCCAGCTCCGATCTCGTACAACTTCGCATCTCGTAGTAGGCGTCCAGCGGAGATCTCGTTGATGTAGCCGTTTCCGCCCATGAGCTGGATAGCGTCCAGTGCGCATTCTGTGGCGCGCTCGGCAGCGTAGAGAATCGCTCCAGCGCAGTCCTGTGTCCGGATCACAAGCGGACTCGGTGAAGCGGCACCGTTGTCTACTTCACGTGCTGTAGCGTATGTGTATGATCGCGACGCAGCAAGCTTGGTGTACATGTCTGCCAATTTGCCCTGAATCAACTGGTTGTGAGCAATGGGGGTACCAAACTGCTTTCGGACGTGGGTGTAAGGTAAAACAAGGTCAAGAGCAGCTTGCATGATACTAGAAGATGTTAGAAGGGCCAAAATGGCAACGTTGACGGCGACTTACCCAAGAGGTCCTGCGCTCAAGACGAGTCGTTCCAAATCAAGACCTTCCATCAGGACTTTGACGCCGCGGTTCACCTCACCAAGAAGGTTTTCTCGGGGCACAAAGACGTCTTCAAAGATGAGTTCGCCTGTGTTGGAGCCGCGCATGCCAAGCTTGTCCAATTTACGGGCACAAGAGAAGCCCTCGAAGCCCTTCTCAACCACGAAAGCAGTAATACCTTTGGAGGCCTTCTCGGGCTCGGTCTTGGCATATACAACGATGAAGTCTGCGTCAGGGCCCTAAATCTTGAATTAGTTTGATTCCTTGCGGTCGACGCAATTGGGACCTACATTGGTGATCCACATTTTGGTGCCATTCAGCACCCAGCCACCATCCACCTCCTTTGCTGTAGTCTTCATACTGACCACATCGGACCCAGCAGAGTGCTCGGACATGGCCAGAGCGCCAATCTTTTCACCCGATAGAAGACCTGGTAGGTATTTCTCTTTCTGCGCTACTGAGCCGTTCAAGGAGAGCTGGTTGACGCAGAGCTGGGAATGAGCGGCGTAAGACAAGCCGATACTGCCTGTGTAAGAAGATGGATGAGTTTGGTTTCGGAATATATCTTTATGACTCTAAATGCACGGTATTTCTTACCTGAGGCTCTGCTAAGCTCTTCCATCACCACGCAGTGGGCCTGGTAGCCCATCCCCAAACCACCATATTCTTCGTTGGCAGTGACACCGAGTAACCTGTAACCCAATTAGCAAATTGCAAGCAGCATGATCACGGAAATTCATTACCCAGCATCACCTAACTTCTTCCACATGTCCGCTGGGAACTCATTCTGCTCGTCTGTCCGTGCAGCTACCTCTTCCGGGATCTCTCTCCCTGGACGAAGCCAACGTCAGCGTAAATCACAGGCCGGATGGGGGAAAGACCACTCACTCGTGAAGTCTTGTACTCGTTCTCGCAGCTCGATGAGGTCCTCCTCTGTGGGTGGCGTAAAACCGGCCGGGTGCTTCGTTGACACGCTCCGCACGAAACCTGGGGAGAGTGCGGGGATGGCGCGCGGCCGCAACGAGCGGGCGGATGTGCGTAGGAGGAAAGGGATGCGTACGGAGGCCATTGTTATATGTCAAGGCAGTCGGCCAAGGGAATAAGGAAGATGTTTTCGGAACGCAGGGGCCTATTTAAGACAATAGAAACTATGCTGAGGGGAAACCCGCGGCAGTCCTCGGCGTGGAGACCGCCCACGGGGTATACAGGTATTATTACGCTTCGCTATACCCTCCATTCTCAGCGATTGACCTTTTACTATCTTTCTAGAATACACAATGGCTATTTAATCTCAAAGCACATCAAGGTATCTGTTTATCTTCTCATATTCTACCGGCCTCGATGCCATCGACTTCTCTGTTCTTTGAGGCGGTGATGACGGGCCGCGGGTAGACGCGGCAATCATCGCAACTCCGCACATCTGGGGAACCTGGAGCTTCTTTATCCCCATATCATCCCTCACCTCTGACGCCGAATCTATAATATGATTTCCTTGGTCCTATAGCACCCTTATTGGAATCATCTCACTCATTGTTGAAGTAGCAGTCGGTCTCATTAGTTCACCCCTCTCCCCGCAATGCGCGCCCCTTCTCCGCTTGTCCTCCGCAGCCTGGGCTCGCGTGTCGCCCAGCGCACCTGCCGCCCAGGACAATTCTCCAGACAAATAACTCAGATCCCTTCGAGATTCGTCGCAAGCTATACGCACCCTCATCATGCTTCTGCACTTAACGTCTTGCCCACAGCTGTGGATACTTCATCACCCGAGTACCGCGAAAACAGCCAACAGATGCAAGAACTTCTGGACCGAATGAGCAGCCTTCATGGCCAAATTTCGAAAGGCGGATCAGAAAAAGCCCGGGAAAAGCACATCTCACGGGGAAAGATGCTACCACGAGACCGAGTCTCAGCGCTAATTGACCCGGGTACCTCGTTCCTAGAACTGTCCCCACTTGCAGGCCACGAGGTCTACGAAGGCGAGGATGTTCCTGCCGGTGGTATCATTACTGGCATTGGTACAGTGGAAGGCGTCAATTGTATGATCGTGGCAAACGACAGCACGGTCAAGGGCGGCACATACTACCCGATCACGGTGAAGAAGCATCTCCGCGCACAAGCAATCGCCCAAGAGAACCGGCTACCATGTATCTACCTGGTCGACTCGGGTGGTGCCAATCTCCCCCATCAGGCGGATGTCTTCCCAGACCGTGACCACTTCGGACGCATCTTCTTCAATCAGGCTCGCATGAGCTCCCTCGGCATCCCACAGCTCTCCGTCGTCATGGGTCCCTGCACTGCCGGTGGTGCCTACGTCCCCGCCATGAGCGACGAGACAATCATCGTCGAAAACCAGGGTACTATTTTCCTGGCCGGCCCGCCGCTCGTCAAGGCTGCCACCGGCGAAGTAGTGTCCGCTGAGGATTTGGGTGGTGGTCAGTTGCACTCTTCTATCTCCGGCGTGACGGACTATCTAGCCGTCGACGATGCCCATGCCCTCATTCTCGCTCGTCGCTCCGTCGCGAATCTGAACTACCCTACTACCACCCCTCCACTGCTTCTCGAGGATGCAGTCAAAGAACCAATCTACGATCCCACTGAGCTGAATGGTATCGTCGGGACCAATCTCCGTCGTCAAATCCCCGCTCACGAGGTCATCGCGCGTATCGTCGATGGTAGTGAATTTGCCGAGTTCAAGCGTGACTATGGCACGACTCTAGTCACAGGCTTTGCAAAGATCCATGGCCACCGCGTCGGCATTGTCGCTAATAACGGCATCCTGTTCTCCGAGTCCTCGCTCAAGGGCGCTCATTTCATTGAACTGTGCGCCCAGCGACGTATCCCGCTCGTTTTCTTGCAGAATATCTCAGGGTTTATGGTTGGCGCCGATGCCGAGAAGGGCGGTATTGCGAAGAACGGTGCGAAGCTTGTGACTGCCGTTGCCTGCGCAGATGTCCCCAAGTTCACCGTTGTATTTGGCTCTAGCGCTGGTGCTGGTAATTACGGAATGTGGTAAGTATTCTCTTTGAAACCTGTGGAAGCTCAAATCTAACTGTACTCCAGCGGTCGTGCCTACTCTCCTCGGTTAATGTTCATGTGGCCCAATGCTAAGATTGGTGTCATGGGCTCCGAGCAGCTTTCTTCCGTTATGGAGGCTGTTGGTAAATCAGCCGACCCTGCCCTCAAGGCTCGTATTGATCATGAGTCCGAGGCGGTTTTTTCCTCGGCCCGATTATGGGATGATGGTGTGATCCCTCCCGCTCAAACGAGAAAGATGCTAGGATTGGGATTGGCAGCTGCTGTTGGAGGGAAGGCAGAGCCGGACATCCAGACCAGGTTCGGTGTTTTCCGAATGTAGAGCAGATTGGCATATAGAACCATCAGATGAAAGGGTGAATGGCGTTTCGAGTATGAATCCAACATGATCTATTTCACATACCTAGGCAGTTCCCTGCAGACATCAAATTTAAAAAAAAAAAAAAAAAAAAAAAAAAAGACAGGCTGGGCCAGAATTCACAGATTCGTCAAATGAAATCAAATATCAAAGCTTTTATTCAAGTCGACTTTTGGAAGCCTTCCAATCCAGGCCTTAGTTGTGTGATTAAGAAAAAGAAAACGGCGCGAGCGCGCCTAGCCCGACAAAATAAGGAAAGAAGCATAATGGTATAATATGAGTTATGAGATGGGTAGGCGGCGACGCATCTTTCTATCAGGTTGATGCATAAGTGTGGTAGAGGGGGAACAAAAAAACATCATATGACGCGTCAAATGCGTAGAAGCGGAGGCAGGCGTGACTTTCAGAGGCTCACCGTGGACACAGGGCCCGGTAGATAAACCCATCATTCAAATGTGTGTCAAAGAATAACACAAGGGCCTCTGCGGCGCTGCGTCCTATTGTCTCTCTTGCGATCTCGGCCTGGCCCTTCGCGCTTGCGATTCGAGTCACTACTTGAGCCAGAGCCTTCAAGGTCTTTCCGAATGATTTGCCGGCATAGGTCGACGAAAACTTCATTTACGTTCGCGCGGCGCCGGGCGGAGGTCTCGTAGTATGGAGCGTTACCCCAGCTTTGGGAGAGGCCGAACGCGCGGGCTCGGGGGACGGCACGGTCGTCTTCTAGGTCGGATTTGTTGCCGACAATTACTAGGGGAACTTTTTCGTCGTCTTTGATTCGAATGATTTGTTCGCGGAGTTCGGAGAGTTCGTTAAGGGAGGATGCACTGGTGATTGAGAAGACGAGGAGGAAGCCTTGGCCTTGCTTCATGTACAGTTCTCTGAGAGGAGATTAGTGGGTGGAGGGATGCCGTGGTTTCGAGTTGGGTTTACCTCATGGCCGCTGGAGGGTCGTTAGCTTTGAAGAAGACGACAAGAGGGAGTTGACTCACTGAACTGTTCTGTGCCCGCTGTGTCAAGGCTGCAAAATAAGATCCATTGATCAGTTCCGTTCTTGTTGAGCACTGTTCCTTCGCCATAGAGCACCTACATTTCCAATATGCATTGTCGCCCCTAGATGTGAGGTTAGCGAAAGTCCATATCCAATCGGAGTCGAACCACATACATCTACCTCGATCTGTTTACGGTATGAATCCTCGATCGTGGGGTCATAGCTTTCGATCCAAACATTCTGGACGAATTGCGCTGTGAAGTCATAAGCTTCTGGCTCCAAACCCAGTTCACAATGTTTGCAATGGCCTTGCAAGCATGCGATAGCCCCGCAGGTGATATGTACCAGTCAAACAACTCTTTCCCACTCCTCCAGCACCGAGCACAACAATATGGTATTCGCGTCTATCACGAGCGAAAGGTGGTTAGAAGTTCGTATTGACCCGGGTTGGACAGGACATCCACGACTTACTGCGGCCGCATTGTGACAACTCGAGAAAATCGTCCAAGATAATTATAAGGTGAAAGGCAAGCGGGGCCGAAGAGGATGGCGGGAGTCAATGGCAAGAAATCCGGGTTGTGTGATTCTGGGGTGGTTCGACACGCGATCGGTCGAGGATTTTGTCGCAGTCGTCCAGGAGGTCGCCAAGATGATCGGGGTAGTAGGCCGGCAATTCGTATACAATGTAATCCGCGTTGTGCCCCTCAATGGTTGCACGATCGACCAGCTCTCTTAGGGGCCGATAGGAAGAGCAAGGAGAAGACCGAATCGGTTACATCGGTTTTCAAGCTGTGCCAGTGCCCCTTGGATGTCCGTGCGCGATCAATGGCGATTCGGGGATTCGGTCCACAGGGGGGTCAATGTGGATGAGGGATGAGGCTGAGGGTTTGAGATGAACGTGGACGTCGTGGAGTGGGTGTGTGCGGGCCAGAGACTAGTATCCCGTCTAGTGTTGTCGAGGAAAGGGGGAAGAGAGAGAAAAGAGACAACGTTTGAGGCTGGGCTGTGTGCTGCGCCAGACTTTGAGGACCAAGACTTGAGTCTCGAGTCCAATCGGTTCTCAGTGAGTTTGAATTCCCCCTTTCCCAATCACATCATTACGGCACTTGTCCCTGGCGGTGAGTCTCGACTGTCAACTTTCGACTTTCGACTTCCGATTACTCCACAATGCCATTCATTCCCGTGTTTTTGTTTTTACCTAACATGCTCCACTCGTATTGTAAGTATTGAAGAATTTGATTCTTCAGGGTGTTACAGGTCAAGCGTGAACGTGTTGGGAATTTTAAGTGTCGGATTTGCCGACAAAGGGTGAGGATCAACCCCGCAATTCTCAACTAACTAGGAAGTTGGAGGATATCCACCCACATTTGCCCCTAGAGATAACAATTCCTCTTATGTGGAGTGAAATAGGTCTTTACCCAGCTACTGGCCCATATGAAAATGGGTTTCTGCCAGCACAGCAGGTATACTAAAACATCACGTGACAGATCCTACAGTCTGCATGAGTGAACCGCATCCCGACTCAATGGCTGAAGCCTTTCACGTCTTGGTACGTCATGTCGGGATATAATCTTACGAGTCTGAGTACCGTTTCTTTTTTCAACGGGTATTGGACATGTCACATTATACATCATGCCAAACCGATGTGTTGGACGTCTCACCATTCCCAGGGCGGCCGAGGTTGAGCTAAGGTAACTTACCCTATAGGAACGCTTCCTAAGCGACAGGGGTATACTAAATCCGAAGCCACCACCGGAACCACTTCTTCACTTTCCGCACTTGAAACAATCGCAAGAACTAAAGTACTAAACCGTTCTCGCCTATCTCCTAATGTACCTGATTTGCGACGGCTAAGCTTTCCCTCAAGAAATGAGGATCTGTAAAAGGCACCATTTACTAAATTCTCAATGGATGAGAAAGGGAAATATAGACAATAAGACGAGGGTTTAGAATTCAACCAACTCTCTGCAATGGGCGGGTAATTGCTTGCTATAGTGTATCAGTGCCCTGGTTCAGATGTAGACCCATTTCATCGATTCGGTGCCTTTATTCTCCGCGCTATCCGCCATGATCAAATATGTGGTCAAGCACAACATCTGCGACTTCCTGTACAATGTTGACACAGCCAAGGCCCCATCTGATTGGAAATATCTCGCTCTCAGATATGACCCGGTGGGACCTGTACACTACCACTCTGGTGCTCCGGGCCTATCTCTCTCTTTTCAGCTCCATCTCCAAGGTGTACGTCCAAATCTCCCAAGATGATATCATGCCTGGCTTGAACCTCTTTTGGCGAGCTCAGCTAGTGGACCAAGGACCCCAGTGCAATGAACGACCGCTTGAGGAAGTTGGACCAGCTCACAAATACCGCCCGGCTAGCTGTGCGTGAGTTGGTGAGCAAGGTGTCAGGAGCAAAAATCTATTACGAAGAGTCTGAATGATTGGGTGAAGTTGGTCAAGAAGAGACTGGAACGCTTCCTCCTCTGTCAGTCAGTGCCTAGCAGGCCATCGCTGATTGTAAAGAGAAGATCACGGAGGTGGTCTTCTCTGGCATGGACACTTATGTCAATCCGGTTGCTGCTGCTGAGAATGTAAGTTCTCTCCCTGTCTGCTCACTTGGGCGAAATGGCATTGTAACTATTTATTTTAGTTCAACCCGAACGATATGTGGTCGTTGAAAAGATGGGGTTGGAAGAAATAGGCTCCAGGATAGCGCCATATCTTGCTTCTCAGTCATTCGATCCATGGATAAACTTGCTTGCGCAGACTGAAACAGGCAACGTGATGCTTTGTGAAGTACTGCTTAAGAACGCACCGGCGCTGTCATTTGGGTGAAGAGTCAATTAGGAATAGTTCCAATACTTAGGAGCTGGCTGCAGAACTTAAGAAAGAAAAATTTTCTCTGGCGAGTGAAGTGAAGGCATCGGAGTTTAGTGAGCGCCCGGACGTAAAGGAATATAGAAGATAGAGCACCTTGACAAGTAAAGGAATGGAGAGAGAAATGGAGAGAAAAGGTGGACCACCAGAACCAACATATCATTAAGTTGTAGACCATTTCTCTCAAAAGGGTCACAGGGAGCCTAGTAGAAAGATGCAAGCTCCAAAGTCTGAAGAAGCCCTTGCGAAGACTACAAGAGAGCCAAATTTATGACCTCCTTCGGAAGATCCTTTCCTGCTCCCGGCGTCATTTCATGGTTTTCTTTTCTCTTTTATTTTGACTTTTGTTTTGTTGTTTTTCCCTCTTTTTACTTTTCCCTTCCTCTTCTTTTGAACTCATCATTTTCTCTCTAGTCGAGAAGGCCGCGGAAATAAGAAGGTGAAAGCGGAATGGCGCTTGGCGTCACCTGGTGGGGAAAGCTATGCGATCACCCTCTCCACTCGCGCTTGACATTTCGACACTTCGCCTCTGGTCATGTTTGCCCATTAATTGACCTATCTTTCCCTGGCCAAGAAGCCCCCTTGCAGCCATGGCTGAACCGCCCGAAGACGCCATCGACGAGTTTGTCAGCTTCACAAGCTCGACGCGCGAGCAAGCTATCAACTTCCTGAAGGTCCGCCTTGCCCCAAGCCCCCTCAAAGAATAAGGACTCATATTTTGTTTATCGCAGGCCCACAACAACGACTCACAGAAAGCGATCAACGCCTATTTCGAAGACCCTACAGGTCCAAAGGTCAGGGTGACAACATTTGTGATGCGCGGGGCTCGTGTTTGGAATGGAAACTGACTACCTCTCCGTGGAGTAGGCAACGACCCTTTACAATGACAATAACGCACCTTGTACGGCCTCTTGATCACAAATCCATACTCCAGTGACTGACAACTATTCTCCAGTTGGCCCACAAGAAAATGCGCTCCGAGTACCCGCAACAGCTCCTCCTTCGCGCCCTCCCTCCCGAGCAAACATGAAACAACCCTCCCAAGGCGTCGATTTCGAGTCAACTGCCACGACAGCTGCCCAAAGCTCCGCTGGTGAGGAGCCTCCCGTGGAAGAATACTGGTCAACAGCTACTGACTGGGGAAACAAATCAGGCGGTGCCGGACAAGGACTAAGCTTGGCCGAGCGCGAGGAACAAGAACTGCAACAGGCGGTTGCTATGTCCCTTGGATCTGGAAAACAGGAGACCGGTGTGACGCTTAAGGGTGAAGCGCAGTTTGGCAAAGCAACACGCGATCATTACGATGAAGGCGCTTGGGCGATGACTCTGTTTAACACCTCATCTGAAGAAGTCTTGATCAGTCCGGATCCCGAGGACCGCAAGAGGGTTGACGGAGTTCCTGCGTTTATTCGCCCTACACATGAAAACCTCTATCTGGGAGGTCTTCTGACTATCCTCCATGAAATTCCTCTTGCGCGCGAAGCTCTGTTGCTGCGAAACAAGGTGCTCTTTGACTACGGTAATGACGCGAATTGGTGGAACGGACAGGCAATTAACCTCCCAAAAATTGTCACAGTTCATGATAGCCAGGACACAGATAATGACTGGGACGATATTATCCACGAGTCACAGCGGCTAATGGCGTTCCTGGACTCTACCAAACGTGCCTTTGGAAGCAGTGATGTGCTGGCAAACCTCAAACACGTCATGTCATATTCTTCCGATTCGGAGGAAATCGTGGCCCGTTTCCTCGAGAAGTGGCATGATGCGGCGCTTAAAGCGGACCCGGACAATCCTCTTGCAACAATATTCATGTCTCATGCTTACAAAAACTCTCCTTTCGAAGTAGATGAAGGGGGAGAGCCCATTGAGAAGCAACTCTACACGTTCAGCCCCCAGGTTGAGCCAGATCATGGCCAAACGCTGTACGACGTCTTGGACAACGCGATTTGGGGTGATAGTCCTGGCGAGGAGCTTGACGACGTATGGCTCGAGACTGTGGGAGAAGTCCTCTTGATGAAGCTTGATGCCCCTGATAGTTCCAAGTCTGTGGATGTGAAGATCCCCTCAGTTTTCTATCCAGATCGCTACCTCAGCAGCTGTCAAGAGATTTCTCGTGAATTCCGCACCCAAAGACTCGAGGTTGAGAGTGAAATGAAGAGCCTGGAGCAAGCCGTGCAACGTTTGACATATCCAAGTTCGCCGGCGGGCACATTGACTCGGAAGGAGATCCTCGAAAAAGCTGCCACTGTGGTTCCCATAATACTTGCGAAGAAGATGGCCGGGGACGATGAATCAATGAACCCCCAGGTGGCAAACGAGAAAGCAGAACGGCTTACAAAGGAGCTGAAAGTGGCCTCGGCGAAGCTTGAAGCGAAGCTCAAAGAGCTGGACGAAAGAAAGCATGTGGCTCACGAGACCATGCGAAGTTACTCCAGGGCACTCACGGAGCCCTCTCCCACCCCCGGGGAGCCTCCTCTTCGAAAATACACTCTTCGAGGAGTCTGCACTCAACCGCATGTCACCTACGTCTTGAGAGCTAACGACGCCGCCAAATCGGGCGATTTAATGGACATCGATGATCGGAACGATGGCGCTTCTCAATGGTGGCGCATTAGCTTCTCCGCTGAAGATGGAAAAGCGCGCCAGGCCGCGAAGAGGGAAGCTCAGGGCACTCAATCTGCTAGTCAAAACGGCGATGTCGTTGGCTACACGGCTCACAGAGTCCGCGAGGTCGAAGTTCTTCGAGCCGCTCGCGAAGAATATCGCTCAGTCCTGCTCGTCTATGCCAACGATAACGCGGTGAATGCCAAGGTGGAAGCAGCACCTCATGCTCTCAGGGTAAGATAAGATCGGTACATGTGGTTTGACGTTGGCTAATACTGCGAATAGGGATTCGTCAACAAAGACAACGAACTATTTGCAGCCGAGTGCGAGCAGAGTACCAACCCAGGCGAAGAGCCTCAAAGCTCGCCAAAAAAAGACGCCGGCCGGCAACAGCAATCGACATCTCAAAGCGGACATCTGGTGAATGCGGTTGACTACGAAATTTCCGAGGACACTGATCACGGTGCCGGCCAGGAAATGCAAGAGAAGGGAGGATCCCGGCTCCTAGGCTCACCCAGTAACACTGCAACCCCATCGGTATCACGAACCTTGGATGATGATATGGAGTGGAGCATAGGTGATGAAACGGGCCACGTGGAAAATGCGAGGACTTGAGTCTTCATGTATGAGTGACGAATAAATGATCCGTAGAGCGAGCCTGATGCATAATACGAATGTATAGGGAGCATATGCCTCGACTTTGACTTTTTGTTTTCTTGATCCGTATACAATCATTTGATAAGGATCTCCGGGTCCCCACATTTGTTGTGTTTGCAAGCTACAGTCGACCTCAACAGAGCCAACTCCCCAATTCCCCCCATTGAACTATTTTGCCCCGACGATGTCTCTCGAAAGCGAAGCCGTGGCTGGAGCGACCATCGAGCTTCTCGAGGCGCGTCTGCGCCGCCTCTCCTACCTCCTAACGGGCGCCACAGAATGGACGGGAGTCCCTACCGACCCCGAGAAGCCCACCTCTCACGAAGAAACCGTCTCACGCCGAGTCGCCCGGCTAGAAAGAGAGCTGGAAAAGCTCAGTCGAAATGTTCCCGCAGTGGGGGATGTGATTCAACTCCGTATGTCGCGCCCAGCCCTTTGTTGACATGTGTAACCTCCGCGCGCATCGTCCAGTCTGAGTCTACTATTTCACCAGCAAAATCCAGACACCAATTTACACCTTTCTAATCAGATTCCAGATGACCGCTTCCCAGACCTCTTTGAACCCCCACCCACCCACGAAGTCCCCGAAGGTCTTTCCACTCGCACATTATCCTCAATCGTCCTTTCCTATGCAACCGCCTTCCCCGAAACCGCGTCAAGACTTACATCTCTGAACGACCTACCCGTGCCCGACGCGCAGAGCTCAGCGGATTTGATTGAATTACAACCTAAATTGGACAGCCTCGCGCAGACGCAGGCTCAGCAGGCTGAAACTATATCTGAGCTGCGTGTGCGCACGGCTCGTGTGTTGCAGAGGTGGTATGAGGTGGGTCTTGTCGGGGGTGGTGAGTGTTGGGCTGAATGGGAGGGTCGACTTGAGGACGTGGAGAGGGAGGTGAGGAGGAGGGAGGTTGCTAAGGAGAGGAGGGAGAATGAGATTTGATCGAATTCAAGCCCAGGTGTGTTGTAGATTGCATTTGCGTGTTGCGCTTTATGATATCCTCGGTTTTTATGTGCTATTTTTTTTGGGGCGCTTCGGACTGTACATTAGAAGTCTTCCAGGCTAGGTCATAACTATGGATGAATTGAATATTATCAATTGCTGATGGCTTCGGGTCTCTCTGTTTCAGAATTTCCCTTGTGAGTAGGAGTCTAGAGGATATAGTAGGATCAGACGGCCTGCAGTACACACTGATCTCCACGGAATGCAACGGCATCAGGGTCTTCCCTGTTCGGCACCGTCGGATTTCCGGAGTCTGTCGCAGTGTCTTGGGCCCCCCAGGGTTGAACGTTGAGATGGCGTCATGTGGTGTCAAGATGCATTTCGTCGCCAATCTTGTCGGACCCCGGCCCCAATGACACCCGACACATTCCAATTGAGATCAGAAGGAATGTCGAAAATGACATGTGAATCTACCCCGGATTCTTGACCATGGCCTTAGGGTCTGAAACATCTTAGGCGCCGCGCGGGGGAATTCGAAACATAGTTCTTCTGGGGACAATTTAGATAAGATTGATGTCTCTGTATATAGCGGGCTATGTGCTATGGCATACATGTGACGAGTGTTTTGGTACTGCTATTGACGACATACACGTGTCTGAAAAGGCATGTCGGAGCAAAAGTACCAGATCGGATCAAGCGAACCACTCGGTGGGGCGTGGAGGCGAACGTTGGAAACTAGTGAAACTACGGGGGGAACTGCACACTGGTATAGGCTATTCCAAGTAGCGCAGAGCATAGAATACGACGAATATCGGATCAAAGGCTTCAACCGGGCTTAGACGCAGAAGACGAGGTTGCAAGGTGTCAACCGCGTCAGCAGCGGAGCCTCGGCCATACATGACTAAGACTTTGACCGGTTATTTATAGATTCCTGTTGACCATAACCATTTCATCGATTTTCGATTGAGGATTGATAGCAGAAAAGTGTTCAAATCGACCGATTCGAGATCATTAAACGAGCCAGCATCATTTGCAGAAATCGATCGCAGTGGGCCAGAAAGGTGTGACACTTCATTTCCCGGATTCCACCGTGGTCTCGATTCTCGATTCCAGGGGCGCGTCTGTGTGTTTTGGGGCCGGGCCCACTTCCTTCTCTTCTCTCCTCCTTTTCCACTCTTCTCGATTTTAACGCCTTTGGCCTATTCATTCGTTTGTATTTCATTCTCCAGCCTGGTGCTGCCGTCGCCTCTCTCGGGGCCTCTTTGCGTTCTTATCAACCCTCCCTCTTTCGTCCCGTTTCGGTCCCTGGTGAAATCACCCCCGTGTTTGTCTCAGGTACGAACCATAATTTCCCGCCTTGGGGTTTTCTTCTTTTTCTTCTTGCCTTCGATCCTTCGATCCCTCTTCTTTTTGCGTCCCTTGGTTGCGATTGTGGAAGGCACCGAGTCCATATTCAATCAACTTGGGAACCGTTGTTGACTTGGAACCCCACGCGACCGGGGCTGTGGGAACAGTTGGACTGACAAGACTCTCCCTCCAGTGATCTCAACTGCGCATTCCATTGCAACTTCAACACACCTGACCTCAAGTCTCGACTTCCCATCATACGTCGACTCATCTGCCTCCTCCGATTAAAGTCGATTCACTTATACGGCTCCTGAACAGCGAGATCGACCCCTCTTCGATCTATCCCTTCCTTCAACCTCTTATTGCGCAATCTTCATCACTCTCTACACCGAGCGCGAACATTCGTCAGAATGGCCAACTTCCGTGCGAGTAATATTCTAGGCGACCCGTTCGCGCTAGCCACCCTCTCCATCTCCCTCCTGGCATGGCTCATTGCTTTCATCTCATCGATCATTGCAGACCTCCAGACTGATTACCCCAACTACTCTTGGTGGGCCATTTGTTACATGTTCTGCGTCATCGTCGGCCTGATCGTGACCTTCGGTACTGACACGTGCAATGTATACGGTGTCGCAATCGTCGGATATTTGGGCTGTGGCCTCGTCTTGACTTCGCTGAGCGCGAACAACACTGTCTACGGTAACCAGGGCGCCCTGCAAGCCGCTGGTGCTGGCTTCATCCTCCTTTCCATGGTCATTGTAAGCAGAACCACCGGATAAATACCAATTGACACATTTGCTAACCCAGATCTTTAGATCATCTGGATCTTCTACTTCGGCTCGACCCCCCAGGCTTCGCACCGTGGTTTCATTGATTCATTCGCCCTGAACAAGGAACAGCCCGGCTCTTTCCGTGGCAGCCGCCCCATGTCCAGCGCTTTCGGTGCCCGTCCAGAGACTATGGCTACAAGCAACACTCCCCAAATGTACACATCTGCGCAATTGAGCGGCTTCGAGACTTCTTCCCCCGTGTCCGGATATCCCGGTGGACCCCCTGGAGCCGAGCGCAACTCATCCGCTCGCTTCGCCCCAACCCCCAGCCCCGGCCCCGGCCCTGCCCCGACTAATAACGGACCGGAAGGTACCGAAGTGCCCCAGCCCACCGAGTACCCCTACCGGGCGAAGGCCATCTACTCGTACGACGCGAACCCAGAAGACGCCAACGAAATCAGCTTTGCCAAGCACGATATTCTCGAGGTATCCGATGTCAGCGGCCGATGGTGGCAGGCTCGGAAATCCACCGGAGAGACCGGCATTGCACCCTCAAACTACCTGATCCTCTTGTGATCATGATGTCCTCTCTTCTGTTTTTTTTTTTGATCTGCCTTCTGTCGCAAAATCCTGTTCCTCTTTGATACCCTTCGGATCTTCTGTCGACGTGTGTGTGTGTGTATTTTGGTTTCCCTAACGTGATGTCTTGATGGCCTCCCTTTTTTTATCCCTACGCGATCTTTTCTCCGCCTCTCCTTGGAACGTATCCTGGTTTGGTTTGTCCAGTGTTGTGGATTATCCTACCGCTCTTTTCTTTTTTATACATGGTTCATATGCTTTCATTTTCCCCTTTGTCACGTCGGGATTGGACGTGACTGGTGTCTTTTGGACTCCGGTAGATTGTCTAATAATCTGCGTGAAAAGCCCCAGATGTATGTGTGTGCGTCTTTCGCCGTTCGCTGGTTTTCATGTTAAGAAAAACATTGAAAAGCTGGCTTTGAATGCAATCTGATGCCTCTGTTTATATACGTCGAGTTCGCGTAGTCTATTGCGTAGCAGTCTGTAAGGAAATCTTTAGAAAACAGGGCAAGATGAGATCAACGTTCAAAGACTCCGCTTGTGTAATTCTAGACTCGTCTCTCATCTCCAGAGCCCCGCATTCCCTCCTCATCATCTCCCAGATCCACCCACAAACTCGCCCTAAACAGCGTTCTAGCGTGGCATGAGGCAACTTGAGGCATACGAGATCAATTTCAAGATAACAGTTTTCTTTCTACAGCCATTTTGGTAGAAAAAAAAATAGCACTATCGAGTTTTTTTTTACCAAATCCAACGCCACCCACCTCAGTTATACCCGTCCAGGCCCACCATAGCATCGTAGATCTTTTGTGAGAAATAAGGGGAAATACCGAATGCCCTTTGGAGAAAAAATGCCAACGAAAATTATGGTTCACTCGATGAAATGTCGGACTTTCAATTGTGCATATGACAGCAATCGTCGCCGCTCAAGATAACCTTAGACGCCCCCAGAATCGCAGAGAAGAGACCAGGAAAGATAACCGGAAAGACTTCCTCGAGCATTTAGAATTTCGAAGAACCTATAGATACCCAGTAGCTAAACAATATTCTTATCAGAGAGACGCCGATCAGCAGGGCCTCCGCTTACCATCCTATCTGGTCCTAGTCTCTTGCCAACACTCAGATCCCGAGTCCCTGAAGCGGTATCTGATTCCCGGTCAGGACTATGTCATACTGCGGATTTCGGGACATTCGCTGGCCTCCGGTTCGACGGCTCCCATGCTATGCTTGCATAGCCTTGCATATATCTAGAGGTTTGCTCGTGTCGGTGAAATATGCATGTTTAGCGTCGAGTTAACCCCATTTGTTTCCTAGACGAGAGGTCGTGGCGCACCTTAGTGCGGTCTGAGCCGGTTAAATGGTTGTTTATCACCGCTGCTTTCCCTGTGAGTTATTCATCGCGGATGTTCTGCTCCGCGAGAAGATTCTGGGTTTGAAAATTCGAAGATTGTTTGTTTGTTGCTATAACTATACTGGTGCATCGTGCAGGTTCTTGCTGCGGTGTGACCTGTTTCACAGCGAGAGGGTCAAGGAAGGTAGTATCGTCGACCTAGTGACTGGCAGAGAGGTCATTGAATCAACCCAGTTTTTTGTACTTGGATCTGCCGACCTCGACGGTCTCGCTTCATTCATCCTGTGCTCTCTTTGCATGTTCACAGGTTAACAGCATGTCTGGAGATAATGTTACGGTGGCATCCAATGTGCTCGGCACTATCGGCACAGTCCTGTGGTGTATCCAGTTAATCCCGCAAATATGGTATAATTGGCGGCGCAAGACAACTGATGGGTTTCCGGCAATCATGATGCTTTTATGGGCTACTTGTATGTGTCCTATGTTATGTAGGAGATTGAGTTGCTAACAATTTGTCGTCCTCACAGGCTCAGTTCCGATGGGAGCTTATTTGGTTCTGCAGGTGAGTTCTGTGCTTTGGACAGTCCACATAAAGCACAGATGAGACTGGATAAGAGACTAAAAATGCGGTTGAGATAGAAAGTCAGCATACCGCTGCAGATCCAACCGCAGATGTTCGGATTCTTTTCTCTTGTTAACTGGGGTCAGATATTGTATTACAATCAGTCAGTCTTCTACCTTCTGTTTGAAACACTTGTCTTGTGGTTGACTTTGTGAAACAGCAACTATAGCCGTTTAAAGGCAACGGTCGTCTGCTCTGGTTGTGTTTTGTTGTTTGGGGGGGTCGAAGCTCTTCTCATTCTGACATTGAGAGTAGGCGCCTATATCGGCTGAATAGCCTGGCATTCTAGGACACCTCCTGACAAACTTTGCTAGATACCCTATGAAAGGGGAGTTACGTGGCCGGATTTAGTGGTAGGCATTGTGGCAGCCATTCTTTTGGTTGCTGGAATGTTGCCGCCATACTTTGAACTATGGAAGAGAGACGGGCGAGTGATTGGCATCAGTATGTAATGATAGTCTCGAAAAGCCATCTCCGAGGTTGCTAATCCACTATACATAGACTGGTTGTTCCTATCGACTGACACGTTTGGCGGATTGTTCTCGCTCTTTGCGTTAGGTATGCGACCTAGCCTGCATTGGAACATGGAATCATCGAGCCTTGCTGATGAGCCAATAGCTGCACAGGGAAAGTTTGATATACTGGCTGGGATACTGTATATCATTGTGTCAGTTACTCGGCTTCATTCCAGAGTTAAGTTCTTTGCCAGGCTAACCCTGTCAACAGCGTCGTTTTGGAGTCGGGCATCTATGCAAGCCACATAATATGGCGCATCCGCTACCGCGAACTTCGCAGGGAGGCCAAGATGACCGGTAAAAGCATCGATGACCTGTTAAGCTTGCAACAAAGCCATACCACAGTACGGGACCTCGAGTCGGGGGTACTCGATGACTCGGGGGAGACCCTGCCTCAGGAACCCACCGAGCACCGGCCACAACCCACATTGAATGTGGAACGGGAAAAGACGAATGAAAAATGTTGAATCGGGCACCCAAGTTCCATGATTGAGGATTTCTCACGCGTCTATGGAGACTGTGTACATAGCCAAGGTCGCGTCGGGCTGTAAATAGAACCTTACCTAGGTATTTATCCCGGCATAGGGACCAATTGATCGGATCAACTCAAGATACCTGAGCTGTCCAAATCAAGGAAAAAGCAAAGAGTTCTAGACCTGAGAAAAAAGAAAAAAAAAAAAAAACACAGAACCAACCCACGCGGCCCGATGTTTCGGTTTTAGCGTGAAAGCTCCAAGCTTTGCCCAACAATCGGGAGATCAGCACGGGCACAGGTTGTTAAATAAACGGTCTCGTGTAACTGCATCCCGTCATCTCCCTTTACTCCGCCCCTAAATTTTTCCTACCCTTCTTGATCTGGGGGTAACAAAAGAATTGTGGTCTGGAGTAAAGCTGGGACCTGCTAACCATCCTTGGAGCTAGGTCGGAAGCCTCCAGCCCGTACGGGACAACGGTGCCCCTGTCTCGCTCTTTCGATGGGTTTCGGGAAAAACACAATGCGAGGCTTCTAGCCTCTCCGGCAGCTATCACCATGCCAGAGAGACGTCTATCGCGTCTGCTAAAGGCAAAACTGCTTCGACGATCATCGACACCGGCGGTTCCAAAAGCGGGCAACGGGGCGGACCCGCGTGTCCACCCAAACTCAACCTCTCGCAACTCCAACTCTCGCGCTTCGCAACCCCTCGACTCTGCCAGCGAGAAGTCCCTGTACAACGTCGTTTCTTCGCCTGCCGAGCCCTCCTTTGACGAGCCCAGCCCCGGCTCTGCTCCCGACCGCCAGGGAGGCGCGCTCAAGCCTCGGCACCCGGACGAGTCTTATCCTTCCTCTCCATCGAGCCAGCTTCATCACCAGCGCGACGATCGCACCGGTACTTCGCCACCGACCGAGTCTAATCTATCGCCGCTGCATACTCCCCTCACTGAAGAGGCTCCTTCTCCTAGCTCGACTCCACTCCAGACACCACAGCATTCCGACGACAACTCCTTTCAGTCTGCCAACGCCAAGCTTCGAGCGGCGACTCCGAGCGACCCTCCATTGACACCGGCATTAGAAACCGTCGTCGAGCGAGCTTTGGAGATCAGTCAATCGCCGTCATCCGCGTTTCTTCCTCCCTCCGCGACCAAGCGACCCAGCCTTGCAGTTCGCCGGCAATCTTTGCTCACACCGTCCCATCAGCACTTAATCAGTGGGCTGTTGGAACCTACTCAATTTTTCCAAGGGGATTATTACCCTGTTCGTACACCTGAGCCTGCGAACGAGATGGTTCAACGCCGAGTCTGGGTCAAACGGCCAGGTGGCTCAGCCACCCTGGTCCCATGCATGGAAGACGCAGTTGTGGATGAATTGCGAGATCAGGTTATTATGAAATATGTCAACTCTTTGGGAAGAAGCTTCGATTCGCCAGATATCGTGATTCGGATTTTTACGCGAGAAGGTTCGAACAGACAGGCGCATGCCGAACGCCTACTCAGCCCTGAAGAGGTCCTCTTCACTGTGCTCGATTCATATTATCCCGGAGGGCAATCAATAGAGGAGGCGCTGGTAATCGATGCTCCATCACGTCGAACTCCGAAGCCCTCGCCCCGTCACACGGTTTATCATCACCATCAACCGGGTGAGAATGGCGACTATTTCCCTCTGATGCCGGCCCAGCCTAACCCCACGCCACCCGGCCACCCCTCGACATCAGCACAGCCTAATGCACCTTCTATATCAATTCTTACTACGGGTGTCGTCCCCCCTCTGCCATCACCAGGAAGTCGTGGATCACGGCATCACCGCCGGCCGCCACTCACCAGACACGCAACTAATTCCCCGACAATTCACGGTCAAGGGGTTACTGTAACGGGTATGTGTATACCTCTTTATTTTCAGGTTCAGTTTGACTAATTTTCAGAAGAAGCCGGCATTTCTCCTCATTCTCAGATGCCCCCGCCTGCTCCAACGCAAAATGTGCCTACGCCTCCTGCGCCCCAGCCTGACTCTCCCCAGATGAAAACACATACACCACCAGCACCACCGGTCGCGTCTCCGCGAGTTCTTCGCAAATCGAAGGGCGCCGCATCACCTGGTGCGGTCTTCGGTGGATTGATCGATGGTACTGTACCGCCAATTAACGTCTTGATCGTGGAAGACAATATCATCAACCAAAAGCTTTTGGAGGCGTTCATGAAACGACTGAGTGTGCGCTGGAAGTGTGCGGCCAACGGCGAGGAGGCGGTGCGAAAGTGGCGGCAGGGAGGATTCCACTTGGTGCTTATGGATATCCAGTTGCCCGTGATGAACGGCTTGGATGCTACGAAGGAGATCCGCCGTCTTGAACGTCTGAATGGTATCGGTGTCTTTCCGAAAAACGCATCTGGTCGCTCCAGTGCTTCAAGTGCCGCGACTACCCCGATGGAAGATAGACGACCTAGTTTGCATCGCTCTGTCAGCGTGGAAGATACATTGTCTGATTTGTCATTGTTCCGGAGTCCGGTGATTATTGTCGCATTGACAGCTAGCAGTTTGCAGAGTGATCGTCATGAAGCTTTGGCTGCTGGCTGTAATGATTTCTTGACCAAGGTATGTGCTCCGTCTCCGGATTTCTCATTGAACATTCACTGACTTCAGAACAGCCCGTTGGATTCCCGTGGCTAGAACAGAAAGTAACGGAGTGGGGATGCATGCAAGCTCTCATTGATTTCGAAGGCTGGCGCAAATGGCGTGGATTCATGGACTCTCCCCGGTCTTCCTCGCCCGGTTTTGACAGCGCCGCTAGCCCAATGCAAGGTGGCAGCCGCCATCAGTCGGTGTCACATACACAATCGGCGTCGCCGCTACTCACCCGCACCAATGCCAAGCTGCCTCGCCATGAATTGCAAAGGCCTCATCTGCCCGACGCGGGTGAAATTCTGCGCGAGGATTCCTGGGGTAGCGGCAGTGGTGCCGATACTGCCGATACAGGAGACTCGATCAGCCCCTCGGTGGCTCCGCAACCTTCTACGAATCCTGAGGTGACAGTGGAATCTCCCGAAGAAGCTGCTCCAAGTGAGCAATGATAGAACTGTGGTACATTTGATGTATTGATGTACCAGCGCAGTCACTTGATTATATTTTCATATGTCTCGACTATCTGTCTTTTCCATTGGATACCCCCACATAGTAACGATTATCTCTTGTTCTGACTTTTGGATAGCATTGGCGCTTCGAGGTCTTGGACCTGAACGTTTGTATCATTCTTCTCGTTTATTCATCTCATTTGCGTTTATTCAGAGCTTCATGGCATCGCAATCCGCCGGTCAAGTTTCTGCTCTTTTCTTGTTCCATTTTTGCCCTGCTCGGCCCTGCATTTTATATTTATGTAGACTGGACATACTCAAAATATACGAAAGAGATGTTTCCACGTCCAGTCCGGGTTTCTTTCCGGTTGGACTGACCTGTTTCAGTTGTCATCTCTTCGCTGGTGGACGTGGTGGATTTCCACTTGTAATTAGACATCTAGGCTCTTAACTCGTTTCTCTCTCCCTGAATTCCATAGCCAGGTTCCTCATCATTCCCGAACATAGACCAAATCAAAGCACTCAAGACTTAAATAGGTACTTACAGCTCCAAGACCAGCTTGACACCGCTGACACCAGCCTTCAACTCATCCAAGGCTTTATTAGCAGATTCCAGTCCCCCTTCCACCACCTTGATCTTCGGACTAACAACCACCTGCCTAGCCGCAAGCTTCTCCTGCAACCAAGTCTTGAATATCCAAGCACACTGCTCATGTCTCGCCTCAAGATCTTCCGGCGGTGAAACAAAAGCAGTCTCGACGCTCTCGGGAACCTTCACACTTGCATCAACCATCGGCGCAATAGCCAACTTAACCTTCTCCCCATCCCCTCTCAACGCATCCATAACATCCACAGATAACTGCTGCGATCCAGTAGCATGATATCCAATCTTAATTATCAGTCCATCTTCTTTCGCAGCATCGACAATCTCCTCCAATACATCCCCAGACTTGTAATCAAATACCCGCGAAGCACCAAGTCCCTTCAAATACTCATGATGCTGCGGACTGGCAGTCGCATAAACGATATATCCAGCCAATTTCGCCCCCTGCACCGCGAAACTTCCCATGCTACTCCCCGCTCCCCAAACCAAGACACCTTCCTTGCCCTTCGAAGAAGCTTCCCGCGGAACACCAGCCCATAACCACCCATTCCACGACGTCAGCGCAGCCATGGGGAAAACACACCCTTCGGCAAAAGAATACGACTCCGGGAGAACGGCAACCATCTCCTCACTGACGAGTACGTATCTCTGCAGTGCGCCGTAGTTCGGGCTTCCTTTGTGCATGAATGCGCTGGCGAATGCAGTGACCCGTGTGCCTGGCGCGAGAGTGACAGAGGAGCCTGTCTTCACCACGATGCCGCCGACGTCTGAGCCAAGCACGGCTGGATAATCTTGGATGAACATTCCCATGTCGCGTTGGTAGATGTCGACTGGGTTGAGGGCGACAGCGTGGACTTGTATCAGGAGTTCATTGGGGGCTGGAGTTGGTGTTTCGCGTTGAACAACAGCTAGGGGGCCACCCTTTTGGGGGACTATGGCGGCTTGATGGGTTGTGGACATTGTTGAAGTATGTGTTGGGTTATTGTAAGTAGCTGGCCGATTCAGAATTGTCGGGCTCTTCTGGGACTTGAATTTCTTTATTTATACCCCGACCTATCGGACTTAGACTGCTGTGTTGAGGTATATGGTTCACTGTCAAGTGATGTTCTTGGTCGGATTTAAGCCAGTTGCCCTTGGTTGCTTGGTGTAAACTCGTCGGGTTTTGTGTTATCTCCGTCAGCCTTACAGGGTTGGAAACGTCATGTATGCTTCGTGTAAATTCAGAGCGGGTTTCGGAATCGAGAGTCCTTGAGATTCTGTGGCGGTTTGGGAAATAAATATATTCGTGTGCATAGCATGTGCGTGCTCTTTTGAAAAGGCTGGTGGCTGCCCGGGAAGTGTCTCGGAACTTATTCGACCTCGGGCGAGCATGGATGACCAGTGTTTGATTGAACACTATTTATTTGAGAGTAAACCCCGGGAGGGAGTGCTGCAAGATATGTCGAATACGTAGAGTTCGGTTTGTTCAATTGGATGCTTCTATGCGAAGTGACCGAGAGGTCCAAGTGTTGTTGATACATATAGTGGCAGTGCACAACTTAATTAGGTTCAATGTCGCGCCCCGTTTATGTTCACACGAACGTGGAAATACGAACGTGGTCAAAGCATTCAACACTTCCTGTCTCCAATCATCATCGAAAGCTGAATAAGACCACTCCCAAGTGAAATTAGCCTGTGGACAAGTCACCCGTGATCCACCCTTATGTCTTCCTCCTTAGGAGTAGCTTCATGCGCCAAGGCTGCTGTAAGCCAAGCTAAAGCCTCGCCCCGCCACTACCCCGTCCCTCTATCAGGGACATGGTCTGGTGTTTTCCCTAGATTTGTTATGTATTCAAGCAAAGGATATAACCGATTTCCTTGGTGCTCGGGGCTGAAGCCCGAATTCGGGTGATGTTAAGCGCTGGCCCCCAAATCTGTACGACACTGGGGAGCTGGGCTTTCAACTGTGCAGTGAAGATCCTAGCAGCATTGACCTTGGCATAATTCCGCTCCTCTTAGTGTTATTCTGAGTCCCCACCCCAGTAGCTCAGCTGAAGAAACATTAATTCTCTATTCTTCGTCGCAGACACTTGTCAGCCTCAGATAATTTCTAACTAGCATCTAACCTCCCAGTCACTCGTTTTCTTTCCTTTCCCAACTTGATCTCTAGGATAAAGCCATGTCCCCAAGTCGCCAGTGCTACTGGCCCAATCACAAGGCTGCCGGCGGGAACTATCCATGCTCCGACGACGAAATCACCTCCTGTTGCGGCTCAACTTCCATCTGTCTGTCAAATGGATACTGTATGGACATATCGCAGCCCTTTACCCTGTCTCGAGGAGGATGTACCAGTGATACTTGGGCATCGGGATGCCCAACTGCGTGTCGTGAGCTCTCTATCTGATCTCCTTTCTTTTCGGCCCCCAAATATTGACGTAAGGCAGAACAAAACGAATTCACGAACATGGGCTCAGCAATTGTCAATTTAAACTACAATAGTGCATCTGGTGTTTCTAAATATTGTTGTGGTACACCCGTTGGCACGGACGAAGGAAATGGCACAGACTGCCAGTATGGCTACGATAGCTTCGCTTTAAACGATGCGACTATCATCGGTGGACATAATGCTCTTGCCGACTATACCCTCACATCAACTTCGTCCAATTCCTCTACAAGTGCCAATTCTTCGAGTGTGTCTTCAACCTCATCTCCAGGGACCAACACCAGTTCACATGATGTCGCCCTTGGCGTCGGCCTGGGTGTCCCGCTTGGGGTCATTGCTCTTGGCTCGCTGCTCTGGGCATTCTGGGAAAGGAAACGGGCGAATCAATTAAGTAGAGCTCTGGCGGCTAGCAACATTCCAGCCCAAGGCTTTACCGGTACCCCACACACTCCTCAACCGCGCCTCATGACCGAACGGTCTGGACTCACAGAGCTGGAGAGCACTTGGCACCCTCAGGAAATGCCAGTCAAATGAGGAAACGCTCAAGATACTAGCAATTGAGAGGTTGCGAGATTCCCAGTTTACTATGCATGTGGAGCCAGCTAGTACATAATTAATATCCTTCTCAAACGTGTCCTGCCCTATGAAAGTGAATGGAATGCACATTAATATCAGCTCATTACTCCAGTCGAGGATGAATCTCGGATGAACCATCTGAGACACAGGATGGAATCACGATGTAAGGATTGAGAGATAAGAACTCAGCAACATAACAAATGACAGATCACCCGGAATAGGTTCGTTATGTCGGTCTTCCTTGCTTGTTTTGAAGGAAGTCCGAGCTTCGATCCAATGGGGCTGTCCTGTGCTGCTTATTTCTCCGATCCCTTGTTTCCATGTCCATTCTTCACATTATCGCTCACGTTGTGCCATCTAGCCCTCCTTACCCACTGGCCCAATATCCACATTCCCTAGGGTGAACAAGAGTTATCAAGCGGTACTCGGGTCCCCGTGCCGAGTTCCTAAGGACTCTTTCGAGCCCCGTGCAAATTGACCCTCGGGACGGACGGGGGAATTCTATGCATAACCTCCAGGGGGTTGGAATGCGGCAAATACAAGAGGTCTGGACCACATAGGCTCTGCTTGATGGGCTGGGTGATCGAAATATAAAATGGAGCGGGAAGAATTGGTCTGCTTCTTCATCTCTTCGCTTTCTGTGGAGCTCACAGTCGATCACGCTGATCCATCGATCTTCACCTCGTGGCGGATCTTCGTTCTGACGCGTCCAGAATGTCGTCTCTGGGAATCCGTGGCAATAGCCTCAACATTGTGGCAATCCTGGGTGTTCTTATGCCTGGAATTATGACCGTTGGCTATAATGCTGCTTCGCTTGGTGGAATTTTGAGTCTGAAGAGCTTTGAAAATCAATTCCCTGAGATCGACGTGGATCATGCTAAAGATCAGTCGTATACATCGACTATACAGGGAACCGTTGTCGCTGCTTATGCGGTTGGTGGCTTCCTGGGTACCTTTTCTTGCATTTTCTTGGGCGACAAACTCGGACGTCGATGGACGATGATGACAGGATCTGCTGTGCAGATTATTGGTTGTATCTTGAATGCCACGGCTTCCACCCTAGCCCAGCTCATCGTTTCTCGGATCACCATCGGGTTCGGCACCGGTGCGTTGTTGGCCACAATCCCTCTTTGGCAGTCTGAAATCTCCCCTGCGAAGAAACGTGGCAGGCACGTTGCCACCAAGGGAATCTTCAGCGGTTTTGGATGCGCTCTCGCCCTGTTCCTTGAATTTGGAATGTCTTTCATGGGAAGCAGTGTTGCATGGCGTTTTCCATCTGCATTCCCTGTTCTGCTCTCAGCCATCGTCTTTGTATTCGCTGCTCTTCTTCCCGATTCTCCTCGTTGGCTTCTTCGACAAGGACGAGTTGCCGAGGCCCGTGAGGTTCTGGCCATGCTGGAAGATACTTGTGTCAATGACGGAATTATCGACGAGAAGGTCAACGAAGTACAGGCCTCACTAGACTTGTCCGGCGGGAAGAGGTCATTGGGTCAGATCTTCCACATGGGACCGCAGAGGATTTTCCATCGAGCTATGCTTGCAGTTGGACCTCTGGTTTTCCTACAATTGACTGGTGCAACGGTCACAACCTTCTATACAACCTCCATTTTCGAGAATAATCTCGGGCTCGACGAAAAAACCTCTCGACTTCTAGCAGGAGTCTACCAGCTCGTTGGACCAATCGGAGGTACTGTCTGTGTCCTCGGTATCGAAGGCTTTGGTCGTCGGAAGCTTCTGATGGCCAGCACGATCGGAAACACCATCTGCCTCGTGCTCATTGCAAGCCTTGGGTCCATGTCCGGTAACCTATGGGCATCACACGGAGCCGTTTTCTTCCTGTTCTTGTTTCATTTCAGCTATATCATCGGATTCGGTGGCATTCCTTACCTTTTTGCCACGGAGATCGCGCCACTCCACCTCCGCACCACAATAAATAGCATGAGCATCAGTGTTTCCTGGATCTTCAGCATCTTGATCACCAACATCACACCTCTCGCATTCAATCTGATGGGTCAACGATACTTTCTCGTTTTCGCCGGCCTCAATGCCCTGATGACACCTGCGATTTATTACCTGTTCCCCGAGACGGCAGGACGCAGTCTCGAAGAGATGGATGAGATTTTTGCGCTTTCTCGAGGCGTGCTGGATGCTGTTCATATGGCTAGAAAACTTCCACATCGTCATCAGATTGAATATCAGTCTGATAAGAAGTTAGATGATGACTTGAAAGACCCCGCAGCTTTGGCCTGAAAGTTATGTGAACATTCTAATTGCTGGGCAATTACTTGGTATGATTATGTTGCAGGAATTAATGACTTTGTATTTTCAACAATGAATCAATCATATTCAATATCTTTAATGCAGCTACCGAGTGTAAATAGAGCTCCTGAAGAATCCTTGAATTCGACTTCCCGAGCCAGTAACTACAGAGCCGAAGTTTGTAGAGCTCTCGATGAAGTTTTCGGTCCTATGAGACCGAATCCTGCTGTTAGAATATCAGAATATACCAGGAGAGCCTAATGCCTCACTAAATTTTACCTTTCAGGCATTCGTCAATTTGTTTGGTCATCTGCAAACATTCCTCATCCCGGAGGGTGGTAGTGAAAACTTGGATCGAGCACGGTGCTCCCTTGAGCAGCTCATAGTTCCCTGCAACGGTTACAACATTAGCACCTGCTCCCAAAATTTAGTTCAAAGTCAATCTTACAAGGCGGTGCAACCTGGTACTCCTTCAACTCCATGGTCTCCTTGGCATCGAGCTCTCCCACGTGTCCGAATGGAATGACACAGGCTGGATACTAGGGATGGGAATAAATCCAGTTAGCAAGCTGTGCTAAAGTGCATTCCATGCATAACTCACGTCGAGCAGGTTCAGGAAGGTGGTATAAGGCGCCACGCCAAATTTATCATGCGCCACCGCTGTCGATTGAGCAGGTGGTGCAAGGCAGATATCCAGATTATGGTGGAGCCACATCTTTCTGTAAGATTCACGCAGTTCTGCGCGGTGTGTATTCAGTAAAGCCAATTTACCCATGCTGTCAAGAGTGCTCATATCCGGAAGGGTAGGCTTCTTTAGCTTCAACACCTCGATTAACTTCCCAATATGGACCAGCGAGGGCACGGGAGGCTCTCCAGCTGCCTGCATATGACGCATTGCCCCTTGGTCGAGACTGAAGGTGTTCCATGCGATTTCGTTGGCTTCAATGATCTGACATTCCTTCTCACTCAAGGGGACAATCTCATGGCCCTGGGCTTTGAGTAGTGTGGCAGCCTCGGCTAGAACTCGCCGAACAGGGGGATGAAGAGGGAAGTTAGGGCTTTCGGGCACAACTCCGATTCTAAGAGTAGGCTTGGTGGATACCTGTCTCCACGGAATGTCGAGGATAGTGGAGTCATAAAGAGCGGGCTGAGCGTTGAAGATGGCTTTGAAGAATGTTTCAATGCCATTCAGATCCAGTGACAGGGGTCCCGCGCAGGATAAGATAAATTTCATTCCACTGGTTGTGCACACGCGCATTCCTCCGTTCGGAACCCTTGCTGCGCTGGGTCTGAATCCGTACGTTCCACAGCAGGTAGCTGGAATCCTGACCGAGCCTTGGGGGAACTAGAATTAGCTTCCTGAGCCTTTGGTTGCGCTTGGATTCTATTTACCGCCAATATCGGTGCCCACTCCCAATGGTGATCCTCGAAGCGCAATCAGGGCACCCTCGCCTCCGCTAGAGCCGCCGGGTCCTAGGGCTGTATTCCAGGGGTTCAGAGTACGTCCGAACACATTGTTATCGGCCTCAGCAGTCTTTAACAGAGGTCAGTTCTTGGGTATTATGTAAATTATCCGAGTCACGCACCATCATTGTTTGCGGGACATTGGTCTTCACATAAATGACCGCCCCTAGGTTAAGAAGGATATCAACGAGAGCCGAGTTTGCCGAAGCAACTTCATCCATAAATGTCACCATGCCGATAGTCGCTTCCCTTCCTTTATACTGGAAGTTATCCTTAATGCTGACAGGGAGACCGTGAAGAGGCCCGGCCGATTTGCCCTGAGCTCGGAGGTTATCCAGATACTCGGCACGAGCCTGGGCTTCCTCAAACATTGTCTCCGTAAGACAGTTGATCTAATCGAGATGTGAGCTTAGAGTATCATGCCGATAAATACCTGTAGGAACGAACCAACTGTTGAGCAACCGCAGCACGCTTGCAATATGCCAAAGTCACCTCCGTCGAGGTCAACGCACCACTCGCCAGAGCAGAGAGCAGAGCAGCGACGTCATATTGCTCAGTGATATCTAGCTCTCGATCTGTCAGGATCCCAGACTTGCGAACCACTTCTCCTTGGATAAGATTGGTTTTATTGTCTGACAATGGTGTCTGAAGACTATTTAGGTAGTTTTCCGACACTTTCCATGCTTGCGGGATTCTGTTCGCACAAGCCTCTCTCTTTATGGCTATCCTCTCTTGCCAAGGAGCCTTTTGGTTGATAGAGCCCATTTTGAACGATGAATTTGATATCCGAGCACAAATATAACGTAAGGTCTTAGCGTCCGCACCTGTAGGGTCCGGAAGTCTGCGTGCCGTTGTAGAAACAAGAAGAACAAACGGGTCTATTGGTTAGATATACCCTCTTAATTAAGTAGCTGACTTAGGAAACTTCCTTCGGTCGAAGCGAAGAAACTAGGGTCCTTAGGTCGTATACCTCGGCTAAGGTGCGGAGTCGCGGGGTTAAGTAGAGGTTGCCGACGAAGCCATTCACCTTCGGCAGGATGGTAAGCTAACGGAACGAGCTATTAATTCGCCGGCTCGTCATGACTCTCTATTCGTTGAAATTGCCGCCATCTCTAACGGAATGAAGTCGCCTATTTCCGCTCCTGTCAGTCAACGGCGATACGAGATATCTTGCGATCAGATCTCTAGCTTCATCTTCTCTCTATCAACACGACCCTGATCGCCTCCACCCGCTTCTCCACTTCCTCCATCCGAGTTATCCGTTATCAGTGCGATGCACTTGCTCAAAAGAACCCCTCAGTGATGCCGTCCCCTGCGTGTGACCGATGCCACTCTATTAAAGCTCGGTGTCTGACAGGCCCCGCAGGCAGCTGTTATCGCTGCTATCGTCTTAAGCATTCTTGCACTTATTCACGATGTCGTGGGAAACGAGGTCGAAAGCCAAGGGTTGCTATTACTGAGGGCTCGGTGACTGATTCAAGCGACGGACTGACGGGAAGCTTGGCGTCGCCGCTACCCAGCTCGCCAAACGATTCCACCGAGGACTCGAATCAACAGCTCAAGGAAGAAGATGAATGTGAATCTACACACAAGCTCGAGTTCTCGAAAATGATATTCCAAGCGGGCATCATCTCCCCAGTCTGCACCTCATTCCAAGTATGCACCTTCTACTCATTTGGACCTCGGCTCAGCTTCGAGATGAGCCAGATGATTCAGTGCCGAATGGAAGAAGCCCCTTCACTCCTTCTCCACCCATATGAAGCATTTGCTCGCGTACTATATCGGTGCATGACAAATCAGACGCCCTGTAGCAACGAAGAATGGTCCATGGGTGCATCCGCCCTGAAAGCCCTGCGGAACGCGCAAATAACCAAGGCTGAGTATGTGGGTGGCATCTTGGCCTTGGGCACGAGCTTGGTGGGCTTCCACCGGTTGATATCTGGTGTGTCGGCTAGCACAATCTGTCGACATACCTTGACTCTCATTCGGCCGCTATACTATGCGGATGAGCTGCGAGATTTCGACATGAAAGAGCTCCTGTGTCTTATATTTCTAGATACAACTCAGTCACTGTTCCGAGCTCGGGTCCCTGTGATTGAATATAGGCTTCGAGATCCATACATTGTCAATCACCATGCGGGCCTTTGTGCTCCTCTGCTGCCACTTCTGTATCGCGTTTGTATCGTGGGAGCGGCTGTTCGTACAGGGCATAGCGATAAGGTCTCCCCGGGGGACTTCGATTGTCTCACAAATGAACTCACAGCATGGTCACCGAACGTATCAAAAGATATACTGAAGCGCTTCTCGGACGACGAAATGCTTCTGCTTCTCTCACAGGCTAACCTTCATCGGACGGCGGCACTTCTTCTCTTGCATCGACTCCAATACCCATTTGGAGAGCGAGACTCCGAAGCAGAGTCCCTTTCCCAGTCGATGGTGCATGAACTGCTCCATTGTCTGCGGGGAGCTGACCAGTTTCCACCCAACGTTACTCTAGCGCTCCTGCTGGCAGGGGCAGAGGTCCACGACTCAGAGAGAAGAAAGCACATTCTATCATTGATTTTCAAAATTAAGGGTGCATATTTCTACCCTTTCATTTCCAACCTGCGCATGTTCCTCGCTCGTGTTTGGAAAGCCAGGGACCTGGGCACAGCACGATACCTTTTCTGTCTTTTTGAGAATGACCCAGATTTGAGTGTGCCGCTGTGATGCGGCACCTGAACAGGGATAGGAAGAAATCTTCAATAATAATTGGTAATCCGTCGTAAATTTCCAACATATCCCATGGACCTCGTGTAGTTTCTTTGTTGTACCCCTGGTGCCATAAGTATAGGCGTATTAGGATGTATGCTGCAATTCCACACTTGGCCCAAATTCAGAACGCACCTAATTTGGTGCCCGTTGATTGGTCTAAGGAGCAGTAAGTTTGCGTACCCCTTTGTATTTACAAAATGTATATCAGAGGCCAGCGAGGATAAAAAGTCACACCGCACAATCCCTGGTATTCATCCTCGAAGTTATAAGAAGGCAAGTAATTTTAGCTGTTGGAGGCAGTCAAGGCATCTCATCTGACTGCATATTCGTTGCCTGCCATGGAAGATCACACCTCTTTAGAAGAATTCCCACCAGGGACCATCTTACTTGAAGACAGTAAGCCATATTTGCTACTTGAGTTATTCCTATGATCAATGTCCTCACCAAGACCTAGGGGATACCTCCCAATCCGAGGTCATTCTCGGGCCCACCCCCTCAGACGACCCCGATGACCCTCTGGTAAATACATCGTCCTTTCGACGCATCCCCAAGTTAACAAAGACTCAGAACTGGACCCCGTTCAGAAAAGCGATTAACTTTGGGTTGGCATGCATTTATGTCCTCTTCACAATGGTCTTGATCGACATCAACAGCGTCGCATACCGTGAATACATGGCTGAGCTGGGGTTGACTTACGCAAACTTCAACAATGCCATCGGCGCCAACGTTGCCGGCCTTGCAGTAGGATGCCTCATTCTAATCCCTTGCGTGCACAAATTTGGTCGCCGCCCGTTGTATCTCATCAGCGCCATTGTGCAATTTGCCACCGCTATCTGGTGGGCGAAATTCCACACTGCTGGGGAGCTGATTGCTATCAACGTTATCGCTGGCTTGGCTGGATCTATCGCCGAGGCGATCGTTGTGATTACCATTGTTGATATGTTCTTCATTCATCAGCATGCCCGAATAAATGGCGTCTTTATCTTCATGCAGACTCTCGGCTCGACTGGTGGGCTTATCGCTGCTGGTTACATTGTCGTTGATCTGGGATGGAGGTGGATGTGGTGGATCATTGCGATCATGCTTGGGGTTAATTTTCTTCTTGTGCTTTTCTTCTTTGAAGAGTCAAAATATGTCCCGGTTATGGTCGGTCGTTCTACCTCAACTTCTTCGGATATTGTTGAGAACGGGGGAAAAGAACGTGACCATATGAGGAAGACACCGTGCAATAACCTCGCAGTCGCTACTCGGAGCCACAAATCATATAGACAAAGACTCACGTTCGTTACCAAAACGGATATCCCCATGATTCAGCACTTTTACCAACCGCTGGTTGTTCTCTTCACCTTCCCAGCGGTGGCTTTTACCGCTATCAGCTACGGCGCTATCCTTGCTTGGTTTGCAGCCTGCGTTTCATCTGTATCTTATTTTTTGATTGATCCACCTTACAATTTCAGTGCGGCTGCAATTGGATTGTTCAATCTTGGCGGCTTCGTTGGAACACTGATAGCCACACTTACGGCTCCTTTCCTGAATGACTGGCTTATTGTTTGGCTGGCACGACGGAATGGGGGTATCTTTGAGCCGGAAATGCGCCCATGGATGATTTTCCCTGCTGGAGTATTGAATTCCACTGGGTTGTTAATGTTCGGAATTGGGCTCGGTCGGGTCCGTCTACCAATGTCTTTAATATGAACGTGGCTGACGATGTATTACAGGATTTGGCGTGGATCATTCTTGCTATCGGTACAGGCTTGTTTGGATTCGGTTTTGTGGTCACTGCAGATGTTGCTTTGACATATCTCACTGATTGTTATCCTGATGTGGGTACAACTGCAACTTCATTACGCTATCTTGAATACTAACGGTCTCTAGATCCTCGGTGATGCCCTCGTAGCTGTTGTCTTTGTTCGCAATGGGTTGGCAATGCTTATCCTATTTGCCTTTACTGACTGGGTCGCCGGCATGGGTATTCAAAATACCTTCATTGTCATTGGCGTGCTTGCTCTTGCAACTCTCGCCATGTCAGCGCTGTTGATGTTTTATGGGAAGCGAGCAAGGGTCAAGACAGCCTTGAAGTATAAGGAGTTTGCTTCACGCCAACAGACCCAGCGATATGTGTAGCGATTTGCTCGGTTCGTCTGGATTACGCTTTCAGTCTTGGCTTTAGTCTGCGATGGGCGGTTTAAAGGTAGTTGGAAGCCGAGATTCTCGCTTGGATGAGCTACCAGTGGCTAATTCCACAAAAATGCGGTGCTTTGGGTCATAGTGATGATATTGTTTGTTCTGCCAAATGCCAAGTCAAATATTCACTCTTTATGTACATACCTAGGCCGCAAGTGCCTTCAAAAATGCCGGGCTCTCATAGTCCTGTACAACCTTGGAGATAGGATTGAGATACGCCTCGGAATCTTCTTGGTCTTGCAGAAGACGACGAATGTAAGCCTGGGCAACCTTCATCCACATAGCCTTCTCGGCTGCGCTGGCTTCCAAGCCTTGCCAGACCCAGATGCGGTTGCCAGTGTCATAGATGAAGACGTCGTTTCCGTCGAGGTCGGTCTTGCTAATACTGCCTCCATCCTTAACAAGATCGAAGGATAATGAGCCTGAGGCGTCGCTGAGCCGGAAAAGCTTTTGGGTCCGAGAACTATTGCTCTCCTCCACACCTCGCTTCGCGAAAGAGCCAGGTCGTGCGCATTGGAAGCTGGATTTATTGGCTTCCTTGCCACCTAGCAGGTCCACAACGATCCGAGATCTTGACTCGAGTTGGGAAAGAACTTCAACGTCGATATGCTTCGCCAACGTCATATCATTCACCACCTGGGCGGCCTTAGCCTTCTCCATCGGGCTACAGCTCTTGCCCTGCCAGACCCAGATCTTGTCTCCCTTATCCAAAACAAACACGTCTTTCTCATCGAGGCTTTCCCACGTAGGCTCGACTTCGTGTACAATGATGGTGCCCGTCCGGGTGGAGCCAGGGTGCTTAAAGATGCGCAGAAGTGTGAGTATTTCCTTCGCTTTCTCTGGCTCAACGTGGGTGAATCCGGAGCGAACACCTCCAGACCGGACCGCGTAGTGACGGAACAACGCTAAGAAATCGTTGGAGGGCTGTGCCTGAACTTCACGATGCTGGGTTGCAGCACCATGCAGGAACTCATCCAGCTCGACTGTCTTGTAAGCAGCGGTGCCAGCCTCGTCCTGAGTTGTCTTGCTGCCTAGCCAGAAGAAGATGTCGTGGCCTAGCTTGTCGTCGCCGACCTTGTATGTGTGGAGCACGATAAAGCTATCTCCGTCGTAGAACTCGCCGACCTTCTCCTTGGGCCAAGGGATAACTTCGAAGTTCTCAATGCGCCAGACGAAGACTCCGGACTCCTGGCCAATCTTTCCATTGTTCCATGCGGGCTCGGAGGCTGCGGAATTGTATTTGACGCGGTGGTCGAGGTCGGATCCGATCAGCTCGACATTGCTGTCTTTGACATCGTATTCTTTCGGGTGAACGAGACCTTCGTGCGGAGGCATGTTGATTTTGTTTGTAATTGTATTAAGGAGAAGAGCCGAAGCAGTGAAGAGACACGCAGCCTCAAAAGCTCAGGTGGGGCCAGGGCTGAGTCAGGCGGGGTATCGATGAAGTCACTCGTATTTGTTGATAGGATCAACCTGATGCTATTTTTAAACCAGTCCCGTTTCACACTGGTGTTCATAGCCTGAGGTATTCAAACACCCCTATCATGCTCGATATCCAAGGCTCCTGGCAATCATCATCCACGCAAAGGGAGTCTTCATCTTGGAGAAGAACTAGCCATTCGGGCTTACCAATGGCATTCCACAAGGGGGTATTTTTGGGCAGAGGAAATTGAAGATCACCTGCAGATAGCAAGGAGCCGGTTGCATCGGGACTATGTTGGCTTACTTTTTCAAGATTGGTGGAGCTCAACTTCCCGCAGGTCTTGTACAAGGCCAAATTGAATCGTTTCACTTCCTCTGTACACACCCAGGCAAATGATGCTAGGCCAACCTCTTTAAATCGGGTAAGCATATTCGGATAAAAGAACATGCCTCGTTTTCGACAACTTCGAACAAGGGTCTCCAGCAGTTCAAATTCAGCAGGGGGAAGAGAGACTTTGAAATCGAAATCGAGAGTATCACGACTCCTAAGGATTAGGGAGAAAATGACATGTAGCAGGATAGCCTGATATGTTGAAATAGGCCAGGGCAAGGTGTTCGAAGTTTCATCTTCGTCTGACACATCCCAGTTCGCCTATGAATTTCTGATCAGTCAACCAGATATGTGAGGAGCCGTATGGGCCTATCAAACCTTCTGATCACGAATAGCCAAGTGGAGCTTTTCATGAAGCTCGACTGCTGCCGACTGGGAGGACTTTTCTCCACTAGACCAAAGACCTATGACAGTCATTGATTGGAGGAGTAGCGGTGTTTCACGGTTTATGTTGAACGATCCTATATGGATAAACGGCCAAAATGGGTGAAAATTCTTAAAATAAAGACGGATGTACTGTTCCTTTTTCTCCGGGTGGTTCGACTGAAGTTCATCATGTTCCAGACTCGATGCAAGGTATGCTGAGGATATAGGGCGTTCCGTTTCTATCGTATCATCATCGTCGAAGAAACACTGGATCCTGCGACGAAGACATCCATCACATGGCACGCCTCCTTCGCAGCGAGATTTTCCTGCATGACAACTCTTACAGGCCCGTCTGGCACGATTGAGAGGCTCAATACTTTTGTGGCGTTGCCGCATATGTCGTCGAAGTGTATCACTGCAACGGAGACCCCGGTCAGAGTGGAGTGAACTGAACATAAGCAGATCATATAGTGAGATACCTTCGCCCAAACCGGATACCACAAACTGGACACGCAAATCCCTGCTGTTGGGAGTGTTTTGTTTCATGGCGGCGCAAGTGCTCCTTCCGCCGATAGTTCGCGTTGCAGCCCGGAAAGAGACAACTAAAAGTACCAGAGGGGCCCCGCGAGGGAGACTCATCTTCTAAGCTCGCCATCGGCCGTTTCTACTTTGCCGTTTCTACTTATCACAAACTTGTTGAGAAGGAAAAAATGGTGTTCCATCCCAAGTGTTCAAGAGTTGACTGTGACGATGGATGACAAATGAAGAGTCTCGGCTTTCAGCGCGCTCCTCTTATTGGCTCACCTCACCGGCATCCCACCGGTCTCCCACTTGTACTTTGAATGTCCCAGAGAGTTGATCGACACCTCTTTATCGAAGCTGTCAAAAACAAGCACTCTATCCGATCATCGGGTGATTGCTCTCTCGGCTGTGGAATTTGTCAAAATAATCGCAAAATTGGAAACTAGAAGGCCTAAAATTAATAGGATCGAAGGATATGACTGTTGAAATTATCGATTCCTACAACTTTGGTGTCCTCGCAGCCCACCTCCTGTCTCAGGGCAGCCTTTCTGTGCCTAACATGGCTAGGTATGTTTTGAAGATATGAGAAGACATCACTGGAAAGCAGGTAGTGGATATGTCTGAGCAGCAAATTGGCACATAAAGTCGAAGAGGCTAGCTACAAAAAGATGTCCTTTGTTAACTCAATGTATGCGCAGAGAAAGTTGAAAGCCAAGGATTCAAGTGCAACTCTACTTTCTATCAAGCCGGCATGAGAAGGGAAGTGCTCGGCCTTTATGACTAGCAAGACAGTTCTGTGGCTTGCTGCGACATTGCTTACAGCTGTTAAAAATTCAAGCTCCTGTTAAAGGACTGGCCAACAATTCCTTTGTATTCTTACTGATCATCAATATAGGAGCCGGGAGAATTGCGGGAGGCTGACAGGGCGCACAAACATTACAATCAAGATCCAATCACCAATAGTGAATTTGCTACTTCACATCATCATATCAGCCCTTCAGTACGCACGGCTCGAGTAAGGAGATCAAAGCGCCCTGACCGGAGGATGTTATTTTAGTTCTTGTCTATCGTTTTTCTACCATAGAGAATATTAGTTTCCAGCAATCCTCATGCCGAAGATAGTAATTCTTCTCGTATTTCGTATTCGTAAACGGATGGCCTTTTGAGCTGTGGCTGTGAGACTGTGGGTCAAGTCTAGTCATAGTCTTATCCACCCCTCTAGGCAATTGCCCTACTAATGGGGATAGCCTTTCTTGAAGGATTCCACTTTTGGCCGCTTCATGATTGATCTAATTTCTTTTCATTGCGCGCTGTGCAAGAGCCAGAAGATGTAGAATGGACAGTAAATTAGTTCCTGCACTGGAAAACATTGGATCAATCGCGTACCGTTCATACTCAGGGTGCCCAAGCTAAGAGACTCAAAATATCCGTTATTTGTCGTGAGACTAGCGGAGTGGAGTCGTTAACCTCACTTCAGCCACAGGCCGACTCGATCTACTAATCATGTAGAATGTTATACGAACAGGCAACAGGGATCTGGGAGCCAACTAGGCTCCACATCTCTTGTAGATTTGCTAAAAAGAAATCACTTTTGCTGCCACTTGAGCTAGGCAGCATCAAAAAGAACCATCAACGGATGATTTTATGGGGTCCAAAAACTTCACAAGGCAAGGCTCTCCAGGCTTGGATGGGACCCTGATGTTATTTTTGAACCTTTGTATGTTTCAACTACGATAAATAACATTATAGGGTCTGCAGAATGAGCTAGAACTCTGGATTAGTATTGCTGCCTTACTCGTATTCAGAAAACAGATCTTTATACGGGCAGGCCTTGCGTGATGAAGCCCAACATATTGCGGACATAAAGAGCAATGTTCCTCTTACAAGACTTTTCATATAGCGACTTCGTCTTTCATCTCATCTATGTTTTTTTCATTTTCTACAATCCAGATGATTGATTCGGTCAACAAATCATATCCAACGACCGAGTCTGGCTCGTTCATTTGTCTACGACACGCCTGCAGGGATCTGTTCATAGCGTTTCTATTGCCATTGTTCTTCCTTTCCCTGACAGGTAGTTTATTTTTCGACCTTATTCATTATATGCTTCACCGATGCAACAAATCATCACCACCGCTTTTGAAATGGCTGGCACGGCTTCATCATTTCCACCATCTGTACTACACTCGTCACTTGAAGTTTGATGATAAATACCTCTCGCGAAATATCTTCATGGCATTACCGCTTGAGCTCGGTTTGCAAATTCTTGGAAGTATCCTCGGATATATGCTTGCCCTTGTTGTGACACTTAATGGTCGTCTTTGGATAACCAGAAGCCATTTTGGGCTAAATGTCGGCCTTCAAATTCTGAGAACAGCTTACGTCACCCTCAAGAAAGGCCATGACTCGAATCACATTGTCTACAAAACTGTTCCAAAAGACTCAAACTGGCTATTTGTGGGTCCTGAATTCCACGCTCTTCATCACGCTTTCCCGGATCGCTTCATAGGTTCGTTTGTCAAGCTTTTCGACTGGATAGCGGGGACTTCCTACTCATTTCGACACAAGCGGTTTGCTATTACCGGGGATGATGGAGCGCTCAGTCATTCTATTATCAGAGAATTGAGAAACGAAGGCGTTAGCTGCATTCGCAAATTGAAGTCGGACACTGAGCGGGACAATTTGTCTCGGGAAAAAGCCATTTCGATACTTTTGGAGTCTGATATTCTCATTATTCTCCACCGTACCGAGAGTAATGACGCGTTGGCCCCAAAATGTGCTGAAATAGTTCAATTAATCCACCTCTTCAAACGGTACAGCAAGATATATTCAAAATGTCTGACGCTACCAGAAGTGTGGTGTGTTGGTAGTGAAAGTGAATTTTATCCATCTTTGGGAAATTCTCGACTTTACGGCCATTCGAAGAGCACCTTCTTGCCATACGCGCGTGTCTTTTATGATGATCCTGATATCATTTATCGGCATATCGTCTTGGGTGCCTATCAATCATCAAGAGGGGCTACTCTTTGCTCAACCAATTACGCGGCCAGGTCTATGATGTGGTGGATTCGGAGAGGCGCCAGGTATGTGCCTGTCACATATACTGGGATTGCCTATATAAATTTCTTCAAGTTTATGTTATGTGTTCCTTACATGTGGGAAATACCAGCAAAAAATACTGTTCAGAGTTGTGACAACTGAAGCATGAGATTTTCCAAAATTGGAGGCTATAGGAGCTACGCGTATATACACAGCACATTTGAACTTCAATAAGATCCCCTCCCATGATATCCAATCCTACATATCTGCAGAAACAGAGTACGGAGGCGGGTGCTCCAATCCCTCAAATTCCGTCATCGAAAGCTCATAGCCAAGATGTCGCTTGAGCAATTCATGAGTAATAAACCTCTCCGGCGCATTACCTTGCGCATCAACAAACGAAACATGAGGATTCACTTCACTGATTCGCTGCAACTCGTTTGCATGGCGATGGTGATGCGGGCACCCGTCAACACCAATCAAGAAAATCGTAACATGAACCCAAGAGAGACCCAACAGATCAAGCTCGAACTCGTCCATATCGCTCGCTTCTCCGTCGAGTAGGAGAAGCAACCGCAGCTTCGGGGTCTGTGGACCGGCTTGCCAGCCGTAGATCGGATGGTATGTTGCTGATTCGGAATGTTTTTGGAAATGGAGTTGCTTCACTTTCTGCCAGCCGGTCATAACTCGTGTGAGGCCGCCGAATGCGACGAATTTCCACATTTCTTTAAAGTTCCAGTGGTTTATGATGCCAATATGGTCGGCTTGGCTTGAGAATGTGATTAGTTCGTAGCCTTGCCAGTTTTGGTCGTGGTTGGCCATTGCGTCGGCGAAACGGCGGATTATTGACTTTGCCACGTCTGTAATGCTAAATTTCAGTACTTATTGACTATTTCTTAATGGGTTGGACTAACCTTTATTCTTTGGTTGAGTTGATTTCGAGTAGCCGTTAATGAGATACTGGTTGTAGTTCGGTCGCATGGGCTGGAAATCCATGGAGCCGGAAACATCCAGTAATATCATGGTATCATCAGAAGGAGTTTCAACGCCATCCACTGGCCTGAAAGGTGGAGGCATAACTTGGTTTGAATAGCCCTTAGATGTATGTTGAATATGACAGACATCATCGACAGCGAAGTAGGCAGGAGGTGGCTCGACTGCAGAGGCCATTCGAGCCCGAGCCATGTCTAGCGCAGATATGATATCTGGCTTCAGTCGGGCCCCCGTGCTCCCTGCTCTATGATTCAACACCCAGTAGAGACGTTCCTCGGCGGTGTCTTCGTATCCTCTCCATGATGGTGTAATGCCTCTCCAACCAGAGGCAGCTTCAATCGAAAATTTGAGAGGATTTGAAGCCATATCTGCCCATGCAACGGGGATAGGCTCAAAGTACCCGGCTCGGAGCAAATGAAGGTATTGAAGAGGGTATCGAGACCGAAGTTCAGAGATTTTCTCAGTCATGCCCATCTTCGCCTGATAAGTGATCGCGATATTGCGCGATGTCTCGTCTGGCCATCTTCCACGCTCTTCATTGAGAATCTCTGTGCGCAACCCCAACAGTTTTCTGGTTTTGATAGCTTCTTTCTCTTCGGATGATTTAATTGAGAAAGCCCGCTTGAGCCCAGCAAGTTTGGATGGCTTTGACCGTTGACCGGATGAATTGGAAGCCGAATCAGCGAATGACATGTCCGACATCGATGCCTCGAGTTGGCTGGTCTCCCAAATGCTAAACGGCGGTTCCTGGCCGTTGACAGCAGCTTGTGCTTTGGCATTTAGGGCTTCATTTAGCCGGATTGTCTGCCGGATCGACATTGCATGATACTTCGGGTCCGGTCTTTGAGATCCATAGAGAGACGCGCCACTGAATCCATAAGGAGAGACCACCGCGGTTGAATACGGATTTCCCGTAAACCAGCTCACTTGGTAGCAGTCGTGATATGTCTTCTCACCTGGGTACATCACAGCCTTGGACCATAGGTCCAAAACGTTAAGACGATTCATCTTTCTGCTCATATACCGGTGAATAGGGCAGTTGCAGTAATACTCTGTGTCATGCTCCGGCTCGATTTCCGGATTGAAAATGCGATATACTTGCTGGACATTCTGTAGCAAGAACTGCATCTCCTGTTCATCTCGAGCGCGAACATGGCCGGCTTCGATGACTGCATTCGTATGAAATGCAGGTGTGGCAGATGTGGGCCCGCCTCTAGTTGTGGCTGAGTATGAGGGGGGAAGATCGGCCGACATCTTGGCCATTGTGGATCCTGAAGAACTCTCGGGTTCGAAGTGATTATACCTCCTAGCGATCTTCGGGGTGCATGGAATGAAGAGAAGAGAGAGCACGCGATTACAAGGGTGCCTAAAGAGTCGAATAAATCGCGCATGTCACACGGGTAATCGGCCACGTTTTGCCCCGGCTCAGCCACAAGCGGCTTGTTCAATGTGATAAGCATTTCTTACCCGCGTCTTTTATGCGACCGTGACATAATGCAGAATGTTGCACATGGAGACTTGGCTCTGAGGTTTCTCACATACAACGCCGTGTATCCTGCAAACATGGCGTTGGGGATCCCGGGTTCTTGTCACCAAAGCCACTAGCCATATAGCCTCTCACGTTGTTGACAAATACCCCGGTCTCGAATACCTGGTGCGGGGTTACCGTTCGGGTTTCCGAAGCCACGATTGAACAAGTACTTTGAGCAGAAGTACGGACCTGGTGTTATTGAAAACGTCTTTGTGGAGTCTTTTGGCAAGAAAGATGAGCTAGATGGAATCGTGGATGGCGTAAACGGAGTCGTTCACATTGTAAGAAGCCCAACATTTTAATTTGCTCTTCAACTGGCTTAACACATGTTGCTCTCCTTGCAAGCATCCGATATGGCCTTCTCTGGTGATCCAAATTTCGTCATTCCCTGGTGAAAGCTGCAGTAAATGTCCTCGAGGCTGCGGCCGTGAAGTCCGCCATCAAACGAGCTCTCTTGGTTCCTCCTTCGAGTACCTTGTACGATCTAGTTTTAGAACCTAATGGGAAGTAAGCCATCAAAAGCCTCTCTAACATGGAAGATTAAGATGAGGATCTTGGACACAAATAGTTGGAATGATCGCCTCCTAAAACAGCATGGGACGAGCGTATTCCGAGAGAAGAAAAGGCACTCGCAGTCCTACGCCGACTCGAAAAGGTGGAGGCAGAGTGGGAGTTGTGGACATGGATACACGCACATCAACCTCGGGTTGAGTTCAAAACTGTGGTGCCTTGCTTCAATGTAAACTTTTATTTCTCTCAGCCAACGATGTATTGTGCTAAACTTCGCCAGCTTGGAAGAAAGTTTTACCCTGAAATGTACAGGTCTACACTGGGCCTTACACGCACGCTCCTGCAGGGGAGCAACATCATTCTCAACTTCCCTGAAGGTGAGTGTCTTCATTTGCTCCTGTCTTCTGTAAAATTCGATTGCTAAAGTTTGTTTCCAGAGTGGTTAATCGAGGCTGAAAATGTCGCTCACCTGTACATAGTTGGAGTTCTAGACCCAACTGAAATCAGAGCGAATTTCCGCATGCGGCGAACCAATGCACAATTCTTCGAGAATTCCGATCGAACAATAAAAGATGGGGGACCCCTGCCCAACCCAAACAGAGACCGAACAGAGACCGAACAGACTTCCTTCTGAGAGCTAAAACGGAGGAGTATCTTCGTAGATTGTTCGGTTTCCGGATTTGCCGGGTCAGGGAGAGACTTGAAGCGGAGGTTGACGGGCTGGAGTAATTGGAGGTACAGATTTCTGGAGTGATGAGAGCTTGATTTTCACGGTGTTTTTTGGATTAAGCCTATCGAGCCCTGGTTTTGTTTTGGAGATTTCGATGATTTTGATCTTATACGAAATCGTGACGTCTATGATCTCAAGAGTCTGAGATCCTGGATAGAGCGCGCCAATCATCGCGAGTATGTACTTCGGGAAGCGTTCCCGAACGACCTTTCCATGGTTGAACAAGCTTCAAAGTTGGACTGCTTTTTAAGATCGGGTTAAACGAGAACGAATTTTGTGGCAATATACAGTAGATTGTGGGTAGTAAGTCGATCGTCGTAACTCGTTAAAAGTGCTGATGATTATTATTATACATGTTCACGCGCAGTGTGGCGAGCTCCCTGAGATCCATCGTCGCCATCTGCAGACGTTTGCGTGACCTCGAATGTTTGGTGGATGCCCACTTCAATTTTGGGTGGGGCGGGTGACGGTTCGAAGTTCAACCTTTCCTCGCTGCTGCTTGGGCTCGACGATGACCCGGCCCATGTGTTTTCCGCGTCTTTTTGGCTTTCGATGTTCGTGACCATGACTGCCAGCTTGTCCGGTCTCAAACCTCCCGGCCGGCTAGTGTCGACGGATCCCAGTGGTAGCCCTCGCTGTGCGCTTGCTCTATTTTTGCGTGACCCTGACGGCCCTGGAAACCCTGACGGATAGTTCGAGTCGGTGTGCGAGCCCATCCAGTGACGAAGAAGAGGTCGGAGTGTTGCAAGACTACCGGCGGTAATTCCAAGCCCAGCCTCGATGTTAGACCAGATAGCGATTTGGTAGGTAGCCCCTAGCGCAAGTTAGTACTTCATTTGCGACGAGGAAGGATTCAAGGGATCGTACAAAGGAAGTCTTCGTTGCGGAATGTCTTCACGAAGGGGAACCTAACAATAACGGCCGACGAAGCACTATATATCATGTGAGTTGAATCCTGTGAGGTCGAGGGTAGGTAACATACACGCAAGCCATGCTAAGAATACCCACGACGGCCAACTTAGCCTCCCTTCTCATGTGCAACTTGTGCACGATGAAGATGGGCAGTATGCCGACAGTGAAATCACACGCGGCGGAGAATGCGCTGTAGACGTAAGTCATGGTGATGATAATGTCGATACTAATGCAGTGGCCCACGATAGCAGGGTCCAACGCCGCTCGCGTCCAGAAATATGAAAGCGGTTTGCATTGTAGAAGCATCAGGAACATGAAGACGAGACCGGCAAGAACGGTCAAAACCATGACGATATAGAGGATCCAAATATGAGTTCGTTTGACGGTGATTCGCAATAAGAAAATGCAAATGGAAATCTTGCAAAAGATGGAGGCGAAGCAGTATGCAATCTCGCAAAACCACCAATACTAGAGAAGGATGAGTGACCTGCATGGTCGGGGGAAGTTGAATGATGCGATGCGTACCTCCATGGCCGTCACACGATCAACGGGCTCGAGGTTCACAAAATGGTAACCGGTACCATAGAGAGTTCCTCCAATCATACAGGCAGAGAACATCACGTAGAATAACTAAATCATTAGCTTCTCATCGGATGGAGGGAGGAAATCAGCCTACCGCTGCGACCACCATCGAACCATCATCCCATCCAAATGCCTTTACTAAGAAGCCACGGACATAGCAACGCAGCATCACGGAGATGGTGGCAATGCACATGAAGACGGCCGCGACCGTCTTCACGGCAATGGCCCTCGATTCCTCGTCAGACATGCCGGTAAGTGTCAAGGCGATGTGACATGGAGTCGAGTGGGGGAAAGCTAGTTCATATTAATAATTTCCGGACCAAGAGTCAAGGGCAGAATCTGCCAGGCGGAAGGTGATCGCACTTCACCCGGTCCCTCAGGGGGGCGAATGCAGCGTACCGAGGAAGTTAAAAAACTAGCCACTTAGCAAGTGATCAAGACCTGATCCGCAACGCGGCGGTGGTAACGGGTCTAGCCAAAGCCTCCATACACGACCATCGTAATTTCAAAAGTCGCCGAGCACGTGGAGTGGGCAGATGAGCACTGACAGCTGTCTACCGACCGAGAAAGTCCCGCGAAGAAGAGATAACTGCAAGTAGAGTGGGACTCGGGTGGGCATCCAATTCCCGAGACTTTTATGGAGGAGCATCAAGCTATCGCCCTCCAGCGACTCTAGTGCGCACTTTGTGCCGCCTAGCGCGCCATGTCGACCCACCTCGGTCGACCGAAATTGGTATGACCCCCGCGAGTCAGGCAGGTTGTGCCCATCACTACCGTTGTTCAGATGCCTAGAACTTCTCCTGAACTCTGTCGTGCCCGTGGATCCCGAGTGAAACACGGGCTATCGAATGCGGCTTTTGATCTTCTCTCAATTTGACAGCTTTGTTGACAGCTCTTGAACCGTAGATCTTGCCTCTAGTCAAGGAAAGTGATCCCCGAGTTCCACTTTTCCTTGTGATCGCCCCGATCACCCTCGCTCCAGGCAAGGAACCCTGTTCGAACTGACCGTTGCTAATTAATTTGGAACGCGAGAGGACGGGGAAGAAGAAGGGGCTTCAACACATGGCCTGACTGGGATCACCTGCATGGCGTAACCTTAGTGGAATTCTAAACCAAAGAGGCGGCACGCTGGTTTGCCGAAAGTGGTCAAGCGTGGCGCCTGTGCACAGTCTGAAGAATCAGACAATTCCTTGTTTTTGTCTGCATTTTGTGGGGCTGCCTCAGGCATTCACTTCAAACTTCAAATTTCAAGTCGGATCTTGGATGCACGGATCTCTAGAATACAGTACCAAGAGACTCGAGATCCTTGGGAACCGAGGAAACCGAATTTAGAAACGCACGAACCCCCAACATCACACCTCGTTCTTGAGCCTGTTCGAAAGTCCCCACTGTGGCACCGGATCCAGGTCCAGGGAACCATACAGTATAATCATAGCGGGGATCCATGCCATCGCTTTCAAGGTGCCATTTGCCACCGTCACGGCATACATAGGAGTCCACGCCGGGGCAGAGTCACCAATAGCCGAGCTTGAATACCTCTTTTGGGAAAATGGTATGGTTGATTATCTCCGGCCTTCCCCATGTCTCCAGGTGCCAAGCGCGGGACCTCTTGATATCGCAAATTATGGTCTTCGTATCGCCTTAGATCGAGACTCAAGCTGACACCTTCTCATGCCCCACGCACACATTTTCTCTTCTTATTAGTCCAGTCCCTCTCACTGAAGCACACTGTCAGGAGCATTGCCTAGATATCTGAAATTTGATCTACCAACGTCTCTTAGGGTTCACCGGAACTTTGCCGACCACTCAGCCCTCAAATCAATATTCGCGGGAGTGGCGCCCTCGACCATAGAGTTGATGGGTTTGGTCGTATCTGAGACCGGCGTTCTCGGTTATAATGCATCGTCTACTTTTCTAGGGTTCCTGCAAGGTGCCATTAACGTGGACCTGCAAAACAATGAATTTGGTGATCGCTTCTAGGGCTGTCAATCTATTTAAATCGTCCCCATTTTATTTTATTTTTAGCTGACTTTTATGGCATTGCCTCGGGCTCTTTATCAGTTTGACTAGCAGCCGCAATACTCCTTGGTTCCCAAGTTTGAGCATCATCCTTTGATAGCTACGTAGCGTCCATTGAAATTGTCTTGGCTTTTTAAGGGGGCTGAGATTTAACCTACAGGCGGGTATCAAGGTTTCCGGATTTTCTGTAATCATCGCGGGTCCTGGTGGACTGTCGGTTATTCTTGCTAGAGGTTCTCATCATGGCCCCACAACATTGGAAGTGAGCTGGTCGTGATTTTGCCCAAAACTGGAAGGTGCAGCATCTGTTGACTCAACCTCGAACGATACACTTCCTCCCAGAATCTGGAATGCTTTGACCAATTCTAAAGCAAAACCAGCCGACTCGCTCTCGAATCCAACATGGTGGCTCAGAAACAGGGAACGCGGACATGGCAGACTCTTTACTTAGGGCTTGCCGTTCGCGCATAGAACGCGTCTGCAGTTTTGGCGCCACAAGGCTGATTGATACTCTGTTCTAAACGATCTTTTTGAGCTCGGGGCAGTATATAGTAAACTGCATGGATCCATTAGGCTAGAAGTTCCTGTCGCCCGCGAGGGCTGGTGTCGATGCTTGGTGAACTGTTTAAATCCCTTTCATCGCGGTGCGAAGCTCTTTGAATGCTGCTTCAAGGTTGACTGTTCGGTAGATATCAAGAAGCATGTTTAGTCTCACCGCCTTTGTCTTCTGGCCTGCTTTCTAGACAGATTGTAGCTTCTTCTCTCCTTTCTTCTTTTTCTTCAAAGCACAAATTCTCTGTCCAGGTGGTTGGTTGCATCGTCGAGAAATCCGATCGTCGGCGCCTCGTGAACAATCCCACGATCGACATAATCGGGGTAACCAGCAGTTAACTGAAGAGGCAATGACTCCGCTTCCACTGTTTCCAAAGATCGACGTCTTTTCTCCAGCCAAGGTCTTGCATATGGCAATCAAATCGCGCTCTTTTTTTGCTGGATTGATCACCTGAGGTAGGCTCAGCGACTTTGCTGTTGTCTATTTGACGCCGATCGTATGTGCAGACGGGCAATTGCTTGTCTAAATGCTCAAACAAGGGGCTGAACTGGCGGCCGATACGATTTCCGCCTGGGACGAAAACCAGCAATGTCCCGGACCCTTGATACCAATAGTGCAGATCTCACCCTTTCATGAAGACGAAATCACAAATCGGATCGTACGGCATACTGACATATTATGATCTATGGAATTGGATGTCTCACAGCTTCATATATGAGAGTGGCACGTCTTGTGGACCCAGGAATGTTCGTTATCCCGGCATGCGCATCTACGTTCCAAAGGGAACCAGGGCTGCCGAATGCGGCTCGCATGGTCTTTAACGTCAAAGATCTTCCGCTAATTGTCGCCTGGTCCAATCGCAAGATGATATTGAATGGTTGACCCCGCAATCAATGTGACCCGAGATATCTGTGCGATCTTGGGAAAAATCAATCCCTGCTGTGGCTGTCTGGAATGCTCATCTATGGGTGCTTCGAATAAAGCTACCTTGCCTTGAATCAAAAACGTCGTATCAAGTTTCTACTGTGCATTCCCTAGACTTGGGTCGCTTCCTGTCTCGCCCTCCCCTCCACCCTTCGTCATGGATGCGCCAATGACTGCAGCTGGTAACAAGCCCCAGCTTCAAAATGCCACATGGAAGATGCTATTCCTTTCCATCTGGGTTTCATTTGCAGCCTGGATCTCAGCTTTTGACAGCGGGTATGGAGGTGTTGTCTTAATCATGCCCTCCTATCAAAAAGCATTCGGTCACTGCGCCCAGACCCCCAATTCAAGCCCTGGAGCCCCTGATAAATGTGCTCTCACCACATTGCAACAATCTCTCATCAGCGTGAGCTACCTCTTCATGGGAGTTGGCAGCGCGGTAGCTGGAATTTTTGGGCCAAGACTGGGCCGCAAAGGGACTATCCAGGTGGCTTGTGTGTTCTGTATCATTGGAGCTGCCGGTATGCTCGGGACCTCAGGCAATTTCCTCAATTATATGGTATGCAAGTGCATTAACGGTGTTGGTAACGGTCAGCTTCTGGCTGCGAGTATCGTGTACGGCTCGGAGTGCGTCTCTGCAAATAAGCGGGGTCTCTTGCTCGGGATTTTCAACATCGGCCTTGCGATGGGAAACGTGGCAGCAGCAGCTGTTTGTGCGGGCTCGGCGACTCTGGCGCCGGACAATGACTGGCAGTGGAAAACACCAATTATCTGTCAGATCCCGTTGGGTTTAACTCTCGGTGTTGGTATTCTCATGTTTCCCGAGTCTCCGCGATGGCTATTGATGAAAGGCAAAGAAGGTGAGGCTCGAAAGTCGTTTGCTAGTTACCAGGGTATGGACTCGCATTCGGCTGAGATCACTGCGCAAGTGCAAGACGTTCAAGGACATCTTGAATTTGAACGATCGATCGATGCCAGCACATCCTGGATTGAGATATACCGTGGTTCTAACCTCCGTCGAACTGCAGTTTCGTCGCTGATCTTGATCGGGCTTGCCATCACGGGTATTCAATTCATTGCACCATATGCAGCCCTCTTCTTCAGTGGGGTGGGAATTGAGAATCCATTTTTGATCAATGTCATTGTTGGACTATGCATTCTTGGAGGTGCAGGCATTGGCCCGATGGTCCTCGAATACGGGGGACGACGATTCGCAATGTTATCTGGCTACGGTATGATGGCTATATGCATGCTTATCCTATCTTCCGTGAGCACTGCTCTCGGATCAGATAATAAGGTTTCTCAGAACGTTGTCGTTGCTTTTTTGTGTATATGGGCATTCATCTTTGGTGGATTCATCGGTCCCAGTGTTTGGCTGGCGTCTGCAGAGATGCATAGCGTGCGGCTCCGAACTTATGGTCAAGCGAACACAACCTTTCTCTATGAGATATTCTCGTTTGCGGTCCAGTTCTGGACACCATACATGCTCAATGAGAAGTATGGTAATATGGGAGTCAATGTTGGCTACTTTTACTTTGGACTGACGGTGGTTGTTTTGGTGCTCGTGTTCTTCTTTGTGCCGGAAACGGCTCGTCTGACCCTGGAGCAAATCGATGATTTCTTCCTTTCTGGCAATAAGGCGTGGAAGACATCGACCAAGAAAAACATTGCCGTTGCTCATGGCAATCTCCTAGGCTCATCAAATCCCACGCAGGAAACATTTGTACTTTCAAAAGACGCAGCCCCGCACTCGGAGCACGCGAGCGTGGCTTAATTGAACCCTTGCCGATTCATATAAACCAACCTCTTTTGATATTCATCCGGCTTTTATTGGGTATTAGACAAGAAAAGAAACTATGTGTGGAAAGGCGCGTGTAAAGACATGTAAAGCTATGGCTATGAATATAAGAGAAAGTGCATGTGTTCATTCAATAGTCGGCTACTAAAGAAATGAGGATGCACTCGGGGAGCTCTTTCGGAGATAAAAAATAGATTGCAAAGCTCGGGATCGGGGGCGATCTACTGAAGACTTGGAGGCCGGTTACCTGAGGTTTCCTCGGTCTGAGATTCCGCATTGGGGAGTACAGACCGACTTCCCGAGCTACCGATACAGCGACTTCATCGGCTCCGAAACGCAGCCTTGCATAAACTCGAAATCTCGGACTTGAAGTACAATAATTGATTATGATAGTCCCCGCATTACTACGCGTGTCCCGCATTCGATTCTTCAGGACCAATGTCAGGTCCATGTTCCGAGGTACATTGGGTCATGAACTCAGGTACACGCGTCAATTCCTCGAGATGCACATTGCCAATCCAAAATCAAGGCCACAGACCTTGAACTCGCGCTTCTACGGTACCTGATGATCAACAATTTGACATTGAGACATTGAACTATTGGCTACTGTCGTCATTTAAGCCAAACCTCCGAGTCCCCACACGCCGTGGACAACCCAGTTAGCCGCTTCTAAGGATCAGCAGCACCATTAACTCCCGCCTCAACCATGCTCAGGCCACAATTTGAGTGGGCCGGCAGACTTTGCGTCTTGGAGCGTGTCACATCTACCAGTCAAGCAAGTGTGCATATAAACCTGCTGATTGCCACCTCATTGATTCTCTCCAGTCTCTCTTCTCTTGTCTAACCATCTCGGCACCATTCACTTTCCTTGGTAAAAAGCACGATTAATGCCTTCCATTACCAAGAGCCTGGTCTCACTGACTGTGGGCGCTGCAGTTGTCCAAGCTCAGCTCTGGGACAAAGTTATTGAGACAAACTACGGCCCCGTCCAGGGATACAAGTACTTCAACGAGTCAACCCTTGAGAAGTACTTTGATGTTTCCGAGTCCAATGTGACCGCTTTCTTGGGTATTCCCTTCGCCGCGGACACTGGCTACCAAAATCGCTGGAAACCTCCTCAGTCTCGCGAAAAGTGGAATACCACCTACAAAGCCACCTCATGGGGTCACCCTTGTCCTAGCAATGGTGTCGACAACATCAGCGAAGACTGCCTCAACCTCAACATCTGGACCAATGCTGGCACCGCTGATGCCAAGCTGCCCGTCATGGTCTGGAATCAGGGCTCGGATGAGACTAGCGACAATACCTGGTGGTACGGTGGTGGCATGGCTCTGAAGGACGTTATTTTGATCACCTTCAACCGCCGTGACGATGCATTCGGCTTCCTTGCTCACCCTGAGCTCAATGAAGAGGGTTTCAAGGAGACCGGACACTACACTTCCGGCAACTACGGTATTCTTGACCACCTGGAGGTTCTCAAGTGGGTAAAGAAGAATATTGCCAACTTCGGTGGTGATCCTGATCGCGTTACTGTCGCGGGTCAGTCCTTCGGTTCCTCTCAGGTCTATCACGCCGTAAACAGTCAACTTTTCACGGGATACTTCCACGGCGGTATCTCTGAGTCCGGTATTCGATACCCGTACGACCCTCTTCTGGGTGGTCTAGCTACCTCTTACGTTAATATGTCTGCCGCCATTCAGCATGGCGTGAACTACACGACCAACCATAACGCCTCAAGCATTGCCGAGCTCCGCACCAAATCCATGGAAGATCTATTGGTTGGCTCCCAGGACCGTGTCAGTGATGACTATATTTGGTGGGTAACCGCGCTCTCTACCGACAACCCCCTGATCTTCAAGCCCGTCCTTGATGACTATGTTCTGCCCAAGAAGTACATTGAGACTCTTCTCACCGGCCCCGCCAACGACGTCCCCGTCATCACCGGTAACACCAAGGACGAGTCTGGCGCTTCCCCAAGCACCGACTACACCGTCGCCGAGTACGAGCACTACTGCTCGCTGAAGTACGGCAACCTCTCCAGCCAGTATTTCAAGCTCTATCCCGATCACAAGAATCAAACCATCGCCGACCGGGCCTGGAACGCTGCTTCTCGTGATGCCGGTCTTGTTGGCTCGTGGGCCTATGCTACCGAATGGTACAAGGCTGCCGAGTCTAACTTCTACACCTACTACTGGACCCATGCTCCCCCAGGCCAAAACCAGGGTGCTTTCCACCAGTCGGAGATCATGTACGCCCTCAACGCGCTCTACGCCAACACTGATACTTATCCATTCACCGCGGTGGACTACGAGATCCAGAAGAAGATGTCGTCCTACTGGGCCAACTTTGCCAAGACCTTGGACCCTAACCAGGGTGGCTCCTATACTGGCAAGGGTTCTCTGTCCGAATGGGCTCCCAACAGCCCGAACGGCACTCAGGTTGTTATGGAGCTTGGAAACTACTTTGGAAATGTGCCCATTGCCAAGAAGTCGCAGGTCAAGTTCCTCATGGACTGGTACCACCAGCAGGTCCCTTACTAAGCATGTACCTATCTTTCTCCCGAGGATGCTTGAGAAGTTCGATTTCATCTTTCATCTCCAGATCCGTCTAGGTCGCTTGAGAGAGACCTGTCTGCCATTTCCTGATCAATTCAATTTTAGACAAAGAAATAAAATCGACTAGAACAACAAAGACAATTGTAACACATAGCCTCCGATGATTGTATCTAAACTCTTTGTTCCTTCAAAGGCTCTCGTCGAATCTATCACCTGAGCGCAATTGCAAGCTGTGATACCCGCGCTCGTGCATGCTCATTCTGTAGCTTGCCAGCAGGTGGACTTCAGCCACCTAATTAGCGAGTTAAAACAAAAGCAAATACCCCAATCGGCATACGTGCAGCACGGCATCACACGGCATCTTAGTCGATCATTCAGCCGATCTACATGATCCTGTAGCCTCATAGATGCACGGGATCTGCACGCCTGAGATCTAGAGCTGCCGATCACCCAACTGCGCTGCACATTGTCGTCACTAGTAGCTGCTCTAGCCCCGCCGCCAGTCCAATGAGGGAAATGCCTTGGATGTGAAGTCTCACAGAATCCGGAAGCAAGGGTGCATGTGATACCATCGGTTCCTTTGGTTTCTGGGCATTTCCAACGGGGCTCAGCTTCATATCCAAAGAGCTCTTCCATCCAAGATAGAGTTTGTACATTTCATAGCCAGCTAGTGGGTGACCTTCCGCAGGTGGCATTGTCCTACATTGTTCTTGTTTCTCTTTTTGATTTGAGATTTGCTTATCTTTGGTAATACCTAGCCCGAGCTGTTCCACGGTCTCTTTCCCTTTTCATCTTCTACCCCGCTACCCCCCGGTTCTTTTCATCCATCGGCTCATTCCATCCTCATTTCACCCTCATCGCAGCCGGGGAAGGTACTTCATTCCGACCTCCACTCGTACACTTCATTTCTGGTGACAAAGTCTGACTATTCGATAGTCATCCAGGAGAGTGGATCTTCCTCCTAGCGTGACCTCGATTCCGTCCGCGATTCAACGCTCTTGCGTAGCCTATCGCGGCAGTAATGGACTCTTCATCTTCACTCTCCACCCAATCCAACGCTGCCACGACCATGGATACTCCCAACACAACCTCCTGGGTTCACAACATCCTCAGTGCGGTTCAAGGCCTGTTTACTCGCGATAATGGCGCTAAAGACAGCGAATCGGATGCTGTAGACGGATGGATTGGAACGCGAAAGGGTCGTGGCAGATGTCGATCGGTTGGAGAAGTCCATTGATTCAATTGATTTCCTTTTATGATAATGTGATGCTTTATGGGGAGATGCGTGATTTCAGATTTCGAGATGTTTATGTGAACGAAACGAAACATGGTTCTTAACACACTTCATTCCAGGTAATCTACCATATTGATCGTAGCTACTAGCATTCAAGACCTTGGAAATATCCATTCAAAACGGACATTAGGAGTAAGAAAGGGTTTGGTCCCTCGTAATATGCTTCTAATTCGGAAATCTCAAAGCCAAGTGCGTTAGTCAAAGAAGTAGAGTACTGGAAGAAGATGAGCAGCTTGATCTATCTCCGCGTTTAACAACTGAATATGGCATTCACGCTACTACCGCCCTGCCAAAGAGATACTTTCAATACGCCTCAAGAGGTGGATAGACCGTATCTTGCCGAAGGTATTCAGAGATGTCAGAATGATAGAATGGAGAACAGCAAAAAGACACCTGGAAATGTCTTTACCAAAACTGCTAGGAGGACCAAGAGTAAAGCCACGAGTGAATGGAGAACAAAGTCTTTCGAGCCCCCTTAGATTATCTTCAGGTTTAGCCAGGCTACCAACCGAGCTCTGCAATTGACGAGGCCGGGTTCTTATCAGCGACACGTCCTTCATACCGTTCACGAGTCCTTTTATTTGTCGGCCCGGAAGGGGCACATTCCTCAGCGGCTTGTGGGGATAGGGACGGAAGATAAGCCCTGCATGTGCTTGAATAATTGGGTCCGCTCTTGGAAAACGGTCTGGATTGCGGGACGGTCCTTGTTGTTCTATCTCCCACTTGAAGCTGTGCAGCTAGGGTTTGTAATGGCCACCTCCCGGGCCTGACACTTTCATGGCTTGAGAGTCTACTCGCACATCATGGGTGTCTTTCCTGGACTCCAATCATTCCTTTTGCTGGGTTTTATTGGTTATCTTCTCTTCGTTCGCAGTGCTTCGGCATCGTGTTATATGCCCAATGGCACGGTCGATACCAATTCGGAATATGCACCATGCCGAAACACAGACGGAGACACGAGTATGTGTTGTGCCCTGAATCGCGAAAGTAATAACGCCACCTGCCTTGACAATGGGTTATGCCAATATAGCCATGCATCGCCGACCTACTGGCGAGAATTGTGCTCCGACTCGGATTGGACAAAGGATAAATCCTGCTTGACCGTGTGCCTCAATGTACGTTTCAATTGGGAGACCGGGATCATAAGGGTTCTTCTCGCTAACATAATGGATTGCAAGTCTGTCCACGAGGCCCGCGCTGTTCAAATGACACCTTGCGACGGTACACCGGACTCAAAGACTTGGTGCTGTGGTTCAACGAAGGATTGTTGTACGAGCGAGCATGCGATTACCCTTGCTCAGGAATCTGGAACGCGAGCGTCGACTCATACAGGCTCGCAGCTTTCGAATGGGGCGAAGGCGGGCATTGGAGTGGGTGTCTCTGTCGGGGTCATTGCATTGATGACTTTCCTCTTTTTCGTTCGTCGTGCGGAGAGAAAGAGGGTTGGCAGTTCTTGGCATCAGCACTACGACTACCGGGCCACCGGGACGACGCAAGAGACAATGGGGATCCCGGTTGATAATCTGCCGTCAACTTCGGTGACGGCAAAACGTGCAGTGCCGGCTTGATGATGTAGGGGATGGAAGATCATTGGAGAATGTGTAAAATATGGAGCTGAAGGAATCCATGATGTGGTATAGATACATGGTCAAATCGAAACATCGCCATACAGTTATATAAGTACAAGTACAATTCTCCGTCGTGCCCGGCGGGGAAACGACGGGCAGTACCGCTTGAGATAGAGTTACAAAGCCGATTCGAAACGGCACTTAAGCCTCCACACGAGTGGGGATCTTAACCACGCCGCGTTTGCGGTCATTGGTAGGTACACCATAGCGGCGACCGGATGCCCAGGGAGCGCGACCATCCTTTCCGGTGGTCTCCGCGGTGAACACGGCATCCGAAAAGCGGTAGTCGAAGCGGCCACCCTCGGGCTCGACGTGCTTGATGCTCTTCTCGCGGCGGGCAGCAGCGCGCTCACGGCGCTCCTGCTCGGCCTTCTCTTGACGCTCCATACGCTCGGCGTGCCTCTTGCCGACCTCGCGACGCTCCTCCGGGTGGGCAGCACGGTCAAGTTCCAGCTTCACCAGCTGCGGGTGGGGGATACGCACATCGGCAGGCTGGAGAACCTGACGGGCATTGTCGCCCTTACCAACCCATTCAATCGAGTTGGGGTTCTCAATGGCCTTCTCGGCAAGGTCCGAGGGGTGTGTGATCTTCTCTGCAACCTCGCGCTCCAGGGAGGGTGCACCAGAGAAGACACGACCGGCATCAACACGAGTGAATGAACGTGACTCGGGCACAGGGTAGAAGATCTGGGGGCCAGTTGTGGGGTGGGCAGGGAGGTCGTTAATGGGTTCGTGGAATTGTTGGCGCTCGCCATCCTGGGCGAGCGGAGTGGTCGGAACCATCTCGTGGACCGAGCGGGCATATGGCAAGGCAATTGGTTTACCCTGAATTGCGGATGGTCAGCTAGGTTCCCATAAAAATAACCATTTGCAAACGAGTAGAATGATAGCATTCATATCAGTAACGTAAAAGTTTCTAACCAGTCAAGCGATTGCTTGTGTCTTCAAGACTAATCGAATTTTTTTATAGCTCATCATATGAGTCGGGGATGGGGGAAAAAGAGGATGTTGAACGAGATGCAAAATGGGAAGAATCCTTACCTGTGCCCGTTGTCTCTTTTCCAACTCGACTAATCGCACCACCGCCGCGATCCGCTTCATATCGACACCGAGCTGAACACTGACAGCGCGCACGCTCTTCTTCTTCTCCACGACCAGAACATAAATCTCGTTCCGCAACTCCTCACTCAGAATGTTTTCGCTGGTGAAGGTTGGGTTGCTCGGGAATGGTCGGTCGCCGCCGCCCTCGTCGTTCAAGAAATTTCTCAAGTAATTTGTTTGGCCAGGAGTGTGGTGCTTCAGAACAGCTCCTGAGGTGCTGAGCCACTCAAACATTTGCCGCCGGAGCTTGGTCTGGGGAGCTGCCGTGGCCGAAAATTGACGAGAAAGGTATTGTGATGAGGAAGATAGAGAGGGGATAGAGAGGACTGAGGGGGAAGATGACGGGGATGTGAGGTAGGGGAGGAGGGCGTTGGACACGCGACGGCTCTGTATCCGGGGCGCCATCTTGGAGCGCGTGATTTCCGGAAGCCGAGGAATTAAAAAATAAGGCTGATTGAGAAAGGGAATGGGGAGAATGAATCAAGATACAACAAGAGCAGCGGCCATTGACCTCACGCTGCAATTGTTGGGGTGCGGTTGGTCCGAGGCTGAGATGTTTGTGCAGGGGAAGAAACTTTTCTGCGCGGGAAGGTCAATCGTGTTATCACGTGACCGTTCCTAGCTCAACCATGGCCTTCGATCTCTGTTGACTCGTTGATAATTGGGAAATAGCACTCATCTGCAAATCTGAACCCCGAAATTACGAGGGATACATATCAAAAATTTAAATCTGACTTGATTGTAACCTTAGCGGCGCTGTTTATGGACTACAGGCATTTTCAGAGACCAAATTGTAATTCATCCATTGTATCAAGTACAAATTGAAGCAAATGCATCAGTATCATTAAAAGTACCAGCACAAGAACCGCCAAGCAAAGCAAGGGGCAGACAAGAAGAGAACGTGGTAAAAGACGAACGCGCCTCATTTCTCTCATCCAGACGTTCACAGAACATGAAGCATAACCGGACCTTGCACAACAGTCCTCCTGGTCTGAAAGCAACAAGCGAAGGACGATATGAAAAAGACGATGCAAGCAACCCGGATGAAGGGAGAGAAGCAGAGCTTGAGCGAAAAGCCCACTTAGACCGTAGGCGCCTTCTTTTTCTCCAGGAAATGGTAAAAGAAAGCTGGATAAAACGCCTGCGCATTCCGAACCCTATGCATTGTGCGGAGAATGACAATAAGGGGATTAAAATAGAAAAAAAAATATCAAAGACAAAGAACTGCAAAGCCAAGTAATAGCCCTTCTTTGGTACTTGCATAGAGAACAAGGAATTGCAAGGCGATAATAGTAAGATCCATTTCCGGTTCACACGTGAAGATGCAATGATAAAGACACAAATTTGAGCAGGTGGATGTAAAGGGGAATCACGGTCGAAAATAAGAGAAAATCCCCCACCCGTACAGATCCCAGCCAGGCAAAGACGACCTCATAAGGTGCAAACCCGATGACCCGAGCGTATATGGGGCAAGTAACATGAGCAGAACGAGAAATGACAAAAAGAAGTTAAAAAAACACAAGGGTATGAGGGAGATGAAGAACGCAAATGGTCGACAGAAAAACGCTGTGCGAGCGCCGCGGTCCGACCACAATAGGAATACAAGCTTGACGATGACCTGAAATGCAATCCTCCCAAAGGCGAGAAAAAGAAAAGGAATGTGGAAGTGCGCCCGAGTCCCCATGCAATACAGAAAAAAAAAAAAAAAAAAAAAACACAAAGCAACCAAAGCAGAACAAGGGCAATAAATCAAAGACATAAAAAAGTAGAGTCCGAATCAATACTCCCGAGAGGTATGCAGCCGCCGAATGCTGATCTAACTCACGAAAACGAAAGGAACCCCCCAATGCGCCAGTACCCCAGATTATTCATCAAACATGCCGGACATTATTTCAAATATAATGCTTAAGGTCTCAGCGACCCATCATGTAATCGGGGTAGAAGGAGTTGAAGCCGTTCATATTAGGTCCCGCGTTGTTGCCGGCCGCACCTCCAGGAGGCGGCGGCGGCGGCGGCGGCGACATCATTTGATTAACACCGTTGGTGCGAATTCCGAGACCCGAATTGTGGTTAAACGAGCCGGTGTTGACCATGTGTGGATGGCCCGGCGAGTGCATGGAAGCACTGCCGTTACGGACAGGCATAGGCATGGCAAGTCCCGGGGGAGCTGCCAGACCCGGAGGTGGACCACTCACTGCTGAGAACATGTGG